ATGATCTAGAACCTTTCAACAGCGACTGGATGCGGAAATACAAGGGACATACAAAGCTCGTCATTAAACCTGGCTCGACGGATGAAGTCAGTAAAGTGCTGAAATATTGCAATGACAACATGCTGGCTGTTGTACCACAAGGCGGCAATTCGGGTCTTGTGGGCGGCTCGATTCCTGTATATGATGAAATCGTGATCAACATGTCCCGTATGAACAACATCAGAGACTTTGACGAAGTCTCTGGTACTCTCGTCGCTGATGCGGGATGCATCCTAGAAGTCGTCGACCACTTTTTAGCAGAAAAGAATCATATCTTCCCTTTGGATCTTGGTGCAAAAGGCTCATGTCACATCGGAGGTAATGTGGCTACCAATGCGGGTGGGCTACGTCTACTGCGGTATGGCAGTCTGCATGGAAACATTCTCGGAATCGAGGCAGTGCTCCCAGATGGCACCGTGATGGACGATCTGAGCAAACTCCGTAAAAATAATACGGGCTACGATATAAAACAACTTTTCATCGGTGGGGAAGGCACGATAGGTATCATCACAGGCGTTTCAGTTCTATGTCCGCAGAGGTCGAAGGCTGCGAACGTGGCTTTCTTTGGCCTCGAAAGCTTTGAGAAGGTCCAAGAAGCATTTCGCGCAGCAAAAAGCCAATTGTCCGAAATTCTTTCGGCGTTCGAATTGATGGACGGGCAGAGCCAGGATTTGGTTCATGCAGTCACGGACAAGAAGCGCCCGCTGGAAGGCCAACACCCATTCTACTGTCTGATCGAGACGAGCGGTTCGAATCCCGACCACGACAGCGAGAAATTAGAAAAGTTTCTTGAGCACGTAATGAGTGAAGAAATCGTATCGGACGGCGTCCTTGCTCAAGATGAAACTCAGGTACAGTCACTGTGGTCCTGGCGCGAGGGTATCCCCGAGTGCTTGGGACACTGGGGTGGTGTGTACAAATACGACCTCTCGATACCATTACCAGAGCTTTACAAACTTGTTGAGGATACGAGGGAACGTCTCACATCCGCTGGTCTTGTTGGCGACGACGAGAAATACCCGATAGTCGGTGTTGTAGGTTATGGCCACATGGGAGACTCAAATTTGCATCTCAACGTTGCGACAAGAAGGTTTGATAAGGAAGTTGAGAAGAAGCTGGAGCCGTTCGTATACGAGTGGATTGCTAAACGCAACGGCAGTATCAGTGCAGAACATGGCCTAGGCCTTGCTAAAAAGGCATTCATTGGATACAGTCGAAGTGAGACTATGATACGGCTAATGAAGCAGATCAAAGATCTTTACGACCCTGTAAGTTTAATTGGACAACTCTTCGACTGCTCGGTGACTAATCCCACAACAGAATGGTATCATGAACCCATATAAGTACATTTAATTAAGGTGAATAGTAGGATTTGTCTGGCCAATGTCGGGGCAGCTTTCTTGTACATGCTTTGCCATACCGTACTAAGGCGAACGATGCAAGATAATTCCGATGGCATTATTGGAAGTCTTGAGTCCAACAGTATTTAGTTGTGACTAATAAGAACCGTCTATACGTTATTATGAAATTGACTCCCAAAGTATTACCATGGGTCTAAGGGGATTCGTGGAGGAACAGCTACTGGAGGTACTCCTCCAGGGGTCTGTAATAGTTTCGAACACCGAAAAGGGTTTGTCGCCGCAACGTAGCGATGAGTCCACTCTGAACTCACCTAAGAAGAGAAGTCGCAGTACGAGTTGTAGAAATGAAGGAAGTCTTTACTTTAATAATCAAACGATTTGTTGAGGGAGGTATGGCTGTTGGAGAAAAGTTCTGCGGGGGGGTCGCTTAGTCATTGGGCTGATTGTTGCCGTGTCATTTAGCTCTGTTTACTTATATATCCCAGTAATTAATTTCAGTAACTTCAAAATTGGATGTCAAGCATTACCGCACCTTTGCACAGGACTTCGCGCTCCTTCGTACACTCTTGACCTCGATTAGACGGGACCTTCGTGTTCTACCTGTTTTCGTAATGGACGAAAGCGCCATGGCGAACCAATATCAAGTCCTCGAAGAGCTCGGGAGTTAGTGATACCCAGAAACTTCCCTAAAGCATGAGCTAATCCATTGTTCTGATAGGTGGAAGCTTTGGAATAGTTTACAAAGCAATTGAGCTCGCATCTGGCGAGGTGGTGGCCATAAAACATGCATGCACCAACAATGGCTACGCATCCGAAACGTTGACTAACATGCTCCCAGATTGATCTCGAATCCAGCGATGACGACATCCAAGACATACAACAAGAAATCTCCGTGCTCAGCACTTGCGACAGTCCTTTCGTTACCCAATACAAGACGAGCTTCCTGCGAGGTTACAAATTATGGATCGTAATGGAGTACTTAGGCGGAGGGTCATGCCTAGATCTAGTAGGCCCCTTCGAAAGCTGCCGTTTTCGAAGCCGCTGCTGACATGTCCAGCTTAAACCAGGTCCATTCAACGAAGGCCACATTGCAATCATCTGCCGCGAGCTACTTCTAGGACTCGACTATCTGCACCAAGAGGGGAAGATACATCGTGACATAAAAGCCGCCAATATACTGCTGGCACAGTCAGGAAAGGTCAAGCTTGCGGACTTTGGTGTTGCGGCTCAGCTAACAAACATAAAATCGCAAAGAAATACATTTGTGGGAACTCCATTCTGGATGGCACCAGAAGTTATACAGCAAGCTGGGTATGACTTCAAAGCGGACATCTGGTCATTAGGGATAACAGCTATGGAAATGGTCAACGGAGAGCCGCCAAATGCTAGCACGCATCCGATGAAGGTACTATTCTTGATACCAAAGGCGCCGGCACCGAGACTTGAGGGGAGCGGCTATAGTCGAGATTTTAAGGAGTTCGTTGCGGCTTGTCTCGTGAAAGATCCAGACCGCAGGCCAACTGCAAAAGAACTCTTGCAGCATCGGTTCATCAGAAGCGCTGGGCGGGTAGAAGGTCTGCAAGAGCTCATTCAGCGTCGACAAATGTGGGACAGCAGCAGGGGAAGGCAAACCCACCCAAGATACTACGAGGAGACGCTGGGTTCAATGCTAGTATTGGAAGAAAAAGAAGATTGGGTTTTTGATACAATCAAAGCTCCCACAATGGTGATGTCAAGCCAAACGCAGAGGCACACCCAGAAGCGCCGAAAAATGTCAATTGTACACGATGAAATGCAAGAAGGCCCAGAGACTATCCTCGGCCGGCTGACCCTAGAGGATTCGCAGCCAAAACCGGAGTCGACCTTATCAACGATGCGAAGAGCAACCACGAAGCGTCGATCGTCACCAACAGGAGCTGGGTCTCCTGCTAAACGAAGATCAAGCGGACAGAAGCAGCCTCTGGCGCCTTGTACGGATTTTGGAAATAGCGGATCCACAATGAGACAGTTTCGACGTGTGTCAGAAAACTCTCCAGAAGTAGCGCCCAACGCATCTCTGGCGGAAAGAGATGAGAATCACCACTCAATGGCCGAAACAGTGACCAAAGAGGTGCTACTTGGGCGAAGGGCCTACTCGAGAGCCGTTGATCAAGCCTTGCAAGAGACGTACGCGCAGACAGGAAATCAGATCAAGCGCGAAGCTATCTCCCGAGTAGCACTTGCGTGGGACACTTTAGACAAAGAGGACCCCGAAGGAGAATACCACCTTCTGAAGCTCATAATAGAAAAGGTCCAAAAGTAGGTTTGAGATCAAAGACTTGACCAAGCGGGCCAAAACTGATGTGGTCTCAGTGATCCGAAGCTGTCAGGACTCCTGCCACCGTCACAACCAGTAACGCCCCCGAAGCCAAAACTCGTTTTAGCTCAGAATAACCCCCATCTCAAGAGTCACCGTCGCCGCCAGTCCTCGCTGCTGCCGGCGGATGATGTGTGGACAGTTAAACAACTACAGCTGCCTGGACAGCTTGTTGACGGGATGGACCACACAAAGCAATTAGCTGATGTTTTGTATGGCAAGTGGGCCGAAGGTCTAAAGAACAGGTGGCCGAATCTTTGAGTCTCGGAGGATACATGGCACCATTCACTCTGCGCATCTTGAGATCTTTCAGCTTTCCATTGTTCAACATTCAAACAGGATGCATAGAGCACGGCGTTAGTTATACCGTGCTGGGCATATCGACACCTCAGTCCTTCAGACTCTGGCCACATTGGGTATCCGTTCCAGGATAGGATAAGAAAGGACGAAATAGAATTGGATTTCTGTGGACAAGTTGGCCGGCGATTCTTTTCACTGTGCATATTTGGAACTATCGGCAGGATGGAGGCAACCCTGACTTCTGTAACATATTGCGTGGCTTGCGATTTTACTTGCAATATAGTTCCTACCTTGATTGCTCTATGGTTTTTAGCCTATGATGCACGAACATGTTGATGAGTAGAGCTTGTTGTTGGAAATGCCTCTGAACAACTCAGTAGTGACTGGATGCAGTGCTAGCGCTGGGTTTCTCACGCCGGAGAAAGCCCCGGCCTTAGTCCCATGCTCCCCATGCCATGCTAACCTCTTCTACGACTTTGATCTGCCCATATTGAACATAGCTGCCGAAATCGATAAATGGAACACTCTTCCGCAATCACCTGAGGTGATCATGGTACACATTGCGACTCGACGATCGTCCTCGCCAATGGTTGGGTTATTCATTGACCGCGTACGCGTATAAATAAACAATTTTTGGTACATATGCGTAGACAGCTGCACATTTGTCCTTCATTGCCATAGCAGCAGTCACAATGTCTGACACTACTCACCCATCACTGCCGCGGGCGACCCTTTAACTCCGTTTGGACTCCACAGCTGTAAAAGGACGAAACCATGAAATGTCCCCCAGTCGCTCCTCTGTACGCTCAAGTAGTAGCCAGTCCCAAGCGCATACCCCATCCTCATCAGTTCCGAATACACCACTGCTTCCTACCGGGCCACCGACCCCCGAAAAGAGGTCACCGTATCCAGCAGACTCGAATTCCTTTCTAACAGCATTGGCAGCGCAAGAAAGACGCGTTCTCGAGCTGAGGGAGGAGCTACATAAGGCAGATGAAGACTTGGAGAAGCTGAAAAAGCAATGGGCTGTGCATGAAGCAACGAAAAAGAAAAAAGAGCTGCGGCATTTGCAGCAGCTGCAACCCCTCAATACACCACCGCTCGGGTCAAGAATGCCTAGTGACGACGATTTAGCACGCCCCAGTAGAGAAATTGATAGACGGAGAATCACATCATCTAGTATCAAGCCTTCGTATCGAACGGTTTTCGCTGGATCTAGACACACCCGGGCTCTCTCTTTACTATCCCCCAGAGATCCGAGAAGTCACTCGGACCTTCTACTGCGTGGCAATGGACCATCGAAACCCCACCAGGCTGCAGCCAATGATGTCGCAGTGCCCGCTACAGTCCATGATCTTTCTCCCTTGGACGTCGAGCCAGGCTCGGAGATATTGGAGACTGGCAAGCAGCTCGTCGGCGACTTTCGGCAGGGACCCTGGACCTTCTTTAAAGACTTCAAGCAGCTTACTGTCGGAGACGAAGGCATTAGTACTGCTGGTCTGCGTAAACGCCCCGTCATAGCTCCTGGAAACATGCCAAGGCGGCAGAATATGAAAGAGAAAAGACCAGCTCTTGATGAAAGTCCATTCAGGACGGCGGGAGCTTTGGACGTTGAGCGAGAACCATCGAGAAAGCGTCAGATCGAGTTTTCTGATTCTAAGCAGGGAGTTGGTAGCTCCCTGGATAGACCTACGGAAGCCGTTGGGCCTACTTCAATCCTCACAGATGATAGACCCGAAGGTGGAGACAGTTCCAACTTCAGCGATTCTGATGGCGACGAATGGGACAATTCGGACACCCCAGAGAAATCGGACCCCCCAAAGAAAGGACCTTGTTGATGGACACGACTCAATGGCATCTTCTCTGACGGACAGAAGCAGCCCAAGAACAAGCATGAGGTGAATAAATTCGGCTTTCGTGAGTTGTAGAAGGTTAAAGCTAAGGCATCTCGAAAGCCTTTGTGATGCAACTCCTCGCCCCAAGAGTCGGCGTACCTCTATTCAAGATAGAGATGACATACCGTGGCCACCGCTCACCAAGTTGACCCGGGAGGCCCGAAGAGGGCCGCTTCTACGTTGATGAGCGAATGGAAGAGGAGTCTTGCGCCGAAGATTCATGATGAAGCTAACCCTTCAGCTAATTTAGCGTCGACAGACGACAAGACGGGTTAGTTCTCATACATCAGATATAAATTCGCCGTAGCAGTTAAATATCAGATACGACTTCATCGTTGGATGAGGCTTCCAGAACGTCAATCGTCATACGTCCAATATCATGAAGGGCTGTACTTGGAGAAGGACAGGTTTGCGCAAAATGCATTTAAAATGCAAGAGCACCAAACTTGAGTACAGAAAAAGGCGAGAGCTGTCTCCGCGAACCCTATCCTTAGCTATCCTACTTTATCTTTACCCTTCACGGAGGACTTTCTTCTCACCTTCTCGGTCTATCAAAGTCGGGTGGCCTGTGTGCACTCCAAGTTACTCGAGTCTCGCGCAAGGCACAATGGTCTCTGTTGCTTGCAGATCTGGACTGCCTTGCCAAGCTTGCCCAAGAAACATGCGCGTGTTATATGAGCATTGCGCTCCCAGACCCGAGCGGATTATGAGAGGACTGAAGGATGAGGATGCCAAGACTTGTCAGCCCTACACTAGCTGCCGCTGCTAACCTTCCAAAATCTCGTCCTAGCTAAGACCAACGAAAGATTCTGTGTGGGGACCAAGTATGAGTTTTCCTGGGATGCCAAGTGGCGCCGGTGGCGGAGTTGGAGGTGCCACCGCTGGTATGAGTGACCAAGAAGCAGCGATGGTCAAAGCTGTGAGCCCAAGCCTGCATGACATACAGAGCCAAGACGCGGCTGACAGTCTTTCGATGGTAGATGCAAGGAGCCATGGAAAGCTGTCCTTTTAAAACCGTTATTTCGGGGGGAATGGGCTTTGCTCTTGGAGGAGCTTTCGGCTTGTTTATGTCGAGCGTACGTGGCGCTAGCGCTGAAGATTTGGCGTCAACATGTTGTCGCTAATATGGAGGTCTTCTATTTTCAGATGAGCTACGATACCCCCTTGAGTGCCTCTGGCCAACAGCTTACCGACCTGCCGTTGCGGGAACAACTGCGAAGGGGCTTCAGAGACATGGGTTCGCGGTCGTTCGGTTCTGCGAAAAACTTTGGCTTAGTGGGCGCCATATTCGCTGGGACCGAGTGCTGCATTGAAGGCGTGGGTTATTATCCACATGAGTCTCACGAGATACGGGATTGATGATGGCTCTAGTACCGGGCGAAGAATGACCTTACAAACGGCATAACTGCAGGATGTATCACGGGAGGTGTTCTCGGTGCAAAAGCGGGCCCCCAGGCCGCTGCTATAGGGTGCGTTGGCTTCGCAGCGTTCAGTGCTGCCATAGATTCATACATGCGCATGGATTAAGAGACGAAAAGGGAAGAGCAGAGGGTATGGGATAGGCGTTTATAGTGGGAGCAAGCATAGCGCGGCGTTTTCACTCCATGCTCGATCAACTCCACTATCAGAAAATTGGTTTCAATGAGTAGGGCGGCGCTCCGAGGGTAACAAGGTACCATTAGAAACCAAATACCCAGACAAGAAATTGTCAGCAAAGCCTACAGTGTAACTGGCCATTAACCCAACATTCTGAAGGCAAGAGATACTGCTTGCGTTTCCGTGTTGGAACGGATGAAGCTTGGTGCTGGGGAGACAACGGATATATAGAATTTAAGATACTCAGAGATTGTACCGAGGAAATCGATCGACGAGGTCGCAACTTTCATTCGTAGAGCCTGCCGAACTTGCAGATATCACCACCAGTCACGGAAGGCGATATATGAGAGTACAGCGATTGGATGATGTCAACAATGGGCTTCTTCAAAACTTTCTAATAGATTCATCTCGTTGCTGGTTTCTTCGAGTCGAAGTCTCGCCATGCAATTTAGCTATTCCGTTGAAGAGCCACTCAATAGAGAACCGCCCATGCACGACTTGGTGTCGAGGTGAGCAGCATAAATAGGAAATATCTAGAATTTGTTGACTCCATGCAGTTTCTTTACAATCGCAGGTAACTACGATAGGAACCACGGGCCAATCCCCCATATAGCTGCTGAGGACCATATTGTTAAAGTCAACGGCCTTGTTCATCGACCTCTTGAGCTCTCGATTGAGCAGCTGAGGAGTCGGTACACGCAGCATGAGATCATTAGCGCTCTCCAGTGCGCTGGTAATCGACGCCATACCATGCGCACACTTCTCAAAGAGGTTGATGGGATCGATTGGGGTGATGGAGCCGTCATGAACTGCAAGTGGAGGGGACCCAAGCTCAAAGATATTCTAGATACCGCAGGAATCAATGTTCGGGATCGCAAAGGGGCCCATGTTGCCTTTGCTTGCTACAAAACTCACGTTCAAAATTCGGAATGGTACGGAGGATCAATAGAGTTGGACAGGGCGTTGAGAGACAATGCAGATGTCTTGATTGCACTTGAGGTATTCTCGCTATGTCAAACAAACCTTTGACGGTGCTTATGGCCCCTAGATGAACGGCGAGCCGCTCTCTATCAACCACGGCTTCCCCGCCAGAATGATCGTGCCTGGAGTGTCAGGATGTCGCTCTGTTAAGTGGGTAGATGAGATCACTGTGCAATCGGAAGAGTCAAGGAATCTCTATCAGCGCTATGACTACAAGAGACTACCACCCGAAGCCATGGACACGGAAAGCGCGAAGCAGTATTGGAACCAAACCTCAGCCCTTCAGGATATGCCAATCAATTCAGTCATCGCAGAACCCCAAAGTGGGGACACGGTCAGGCTGCCACCTTCAGGAAGAATCGAGGTTAAGGGCTATGCACTTCCCCAGGGTGACCAGGGACCGGTGGTGAAAGTGGAATGCTCGACAGATGAAGGGCAGACATGGGAGGCGGCTGAGATATTGAGTGGCAATGATCTTAAGGCGAAATGGTGTTGGGCATTGTGGAAGGCTACAGTTCGGCTTCACAAAGGGAAGAAGCGACGATTATTGTCTCGAGCCACTGACAACGGAGGAAACGTACAAACCGGTGAACCGGTAAGATCGAATTTCCATCTCCACCTACTTAAGACTACTGGGACATCTGACAACTCTTAGGTGTGGAATTTGAGAGGGGTAGGCTATGACGGGTATGGGGAGTCGAGAGATCTTATTGTGGTCTGAGAGGAGAAGGAGGAAGGGTATGAGTGTCAGAGGACGCAGCACCAGCCAGCATTTTTGCTTCCCATTCCCAATGATAATAATCAGATATTCGTCATGAACAGTCCATCAAGATAAAAGATAATGCAAAGGAATCAGCATACTCTCGTCACTGACTCTCAAGCTGCGTACATTGAACTTGGGCCGACCAAACCTTCGCTTTGTGATGAAACAACTTATCGAGTAGCCAGGGGCGCCACGCGACTAGCTTGGAAACCCTTGACGCCACAGAGCTTAGTCTACTTGTACAGTAAAGTAGTGCATCCCGCCTCTCGGGCCTACCTAGATAGGGCTGTTCTCGCCTTCTGGGTCTCTGGCTCTACCCACGACATTAGCGCGTCAACTAAGTACTTTAGATTATGATTTGACACTCGTCTTCTTTGTCAAAGTAAAATGGAAGCGAAAGCAGTACCAACAACGTTGAGCCTGTTAAGGTCACAACTTCTCCGTCGTTCTTCCTTTGTCGGTATGTCCCCGGAACGAGGGATTAGACCCACCCCCGAAACTCCCGCGACAAGTCCACACGGCATTCTGGATGACCGCGTAGCATTGCTGGTCTACTAATCCCAACCTTTTCCGCAGCTTCCTCCGAGAGCCTTCCGAATGCCGGGTCAGATAGGGTCGGAGACGAGCGCTTCGGATGCAACGCGCTTTCATGCATCTGATACAACCAACGCTCATGACGAAGGGCAGACTTCACCAAGCGACGATGGAAGCATAGAAAAGATGCCAGGTCCGTCAAAGAGGAAACGCCTCTCCGGCCTCTCTCGGCGGACCAGGGCAAAGACAAGAAATCTTTTCAAAATGGACGGTGCCGCGGAGGACGACCGGTCTGAGAATGAGGGAGAAGGGCCTCTAGACGATATGAAACGCGATCCTGCTTTCAATAGCAGCCAATTAATCAAGAAAAAGCGATTTCGCCCGGGGAAGACCGCCGACAAAACGCTCGGGGCAATTCAGTCGATCGGCAACGCCGTTGTTCACCCTATAAAGTCTGCCAAAAGCACGGCTACCAGGACCACTGCTGGTCAATTATCGAAAGCCGAGCGTCCTTTCCTCTCTCAGAAAGCCGACATGGAGTTTCTTCAGGCCCACGACAATCTCAAGCGCGCAGAGTCCACAAGCTCATCGAAGCAGGGCACGTCTGATGAGGAGCGAGAGTCCCTGATTGGTGGTCATCGAGACAAGATTCGAGAAATGGAAGAGCAGCGTGAGGGTCTACGTGCGGCGTGGACGACTAGTCGCCATGTCAGAAGGGTGAGAGTAGTCCCAAAAAGGCATATCAACTTTCCACACAACGAGTATTTTGTGGAAAGGGACGAGCGTGGAGAATTCGTACGCTACGACTGGCTGAAATGGCTAGGATATGTAATTCTGCATCGTTCCGGGTTTTAGACCAGAGTCCTAACGTCACGCGATAGAATCTCATCTACTACACCCAAGACTTCAGCGCTCAATACATTGACGATTTTGAAGAGCTTCCCTTTGACATCGATAGCTCAAGACATTATGTTGAACGATTGATAATGGCCAGTGCACCTTGGCAATCATGGGCTATGAAGGTTCGTGCAGTCTATCGATGGGAGCACCCTCGAACTACTGGCGAGTGGTTTGCTCTTTATGTATTTCTCTGGTACACCCAACATATAATGGGCTTCCTAGTAAGCATAACAGTTTCCGTTGGAACTCATGCGTTAACGTAGGGAGATAGTATTCTTACATCATCTACATTGTGGTCATGAATCGTTACTATCCTACCACGGTCGAGTCTCTTCGAAAATCTCAGCGAAGAGCTTTCGATAGCAGCGTCAGCGCCAACATGTTCAGCGAATTGATTGATAAGCACGGACGTAATGATTGGCTCGATCCAGTCATGGATAGCTTGGGACCTTATGTTCAGCTTCAACTTGGTGGTACGTCTACATATCAGAGCTATTTCTTCCTAATCTGTATCCCAATCCGAGTCTTAAGACTTGTACCGAGAGTATCGTTCTCATCGGGCTTGTTTGTGACTCCTTTTCCCTTCCAAAGAAGCAGTACTGACTAGGAAAACCTGAAGACATGGCCAATATGCTTGAAGTCTTTTCCAAGTGAGTATCTTCTCTCCATCACAGCAATTCAATCGCGAGCGCTTATCGATCCCTAAGCTTTTATCATTGGAAACACCCTAAAAAGACTGTCGCCTCCCTCTATTTCTTTGCATCATGTCTCCTGGTATCAGTTCTCACCGACATGGAATTCTGTATGCAGATCGTCTGGTTCATTGTTGGGGGAGCTTTCTTTCTCTGTTGGCCGGTGTCGTCCCACTACCCGAAGTACCGATATCTGGTTTCCCCATTTAAATGGGTGCTTTGGGATATCCCGACGAACGCAGAATGGTCATTCATCTACTTGAGACGCAAAGCACAGATCACCCGTGAGCGAATCATAGAAAAGAAGGTCGAAGAAGGCCACTTCCGGGAGCTCGCCAGTGCTGCAGTAAACGAGTATACGGGACGCATGACAAATGTGCCTAAAATTAAGGTAGGGGGCAGTGGTTCGGAAGACGAAAACAGTGACGACGATGACGATGAAGGCTGGTATAGCGCGTGCTCAACGACCAGCGTCTTGGATGCTTCTGACATTCGATCCTTCCGATGTCAGTCACATAAAGTCATTGGGCGACTGATTATACATTCGAAAGGGATTCGCTTTGTTAGAAGTCTACCGAAGAAGGAGTTGTGGAGACGGGATTACCTCGACCTGGCGGAGATGAGAAAGGTGGAAGGGTCAGCAATGTCAAAGCTGGCTTCATTATCGCCCGATGAGCTTGAGATTAAATGTATCGACGGAAGCAAGATGCACTTTGAGGGAATGAAGGAAAGAGATGAGGCATTCAATACCGTGATTGCTTATTCGGGGATGCAATGGCAGAGCCTGCAAATTCTAAGCAATACCAAAGCTCAATCCTGAGACATGTCATTTGAGGTAACGGGCGCATGACACGAGACGGCGAAACAGCTAGACGTGCTCTTTTGCCAAGATGATGAAAGCACGGCCTCTGAGCGTTGAATTCACCCGTCGCGCAATGAATACCCAGGTGTATTAGAAAGTCGGAGGGTAAGTTACCCTTATAATGGACCTTAAAAATGCTCACGCCCCAGAACATCCAACAAATAATTGCAGGGTCAAAGCCTTTTCTTCGTTGGTATGTTCGAACCTTCAATGTTGTTTCGAGCACTGCGTTAGGCTGGACACTAAAATCAAGGTAAGGTACGAGTACCTTATATATATCAACCTGATCAAAGTTTGAATTATCAAGAATTGAAGTTCCGCCTGTCTTATTAGACTAAATGACATAATTGCTGAGGAGTGGTGCTGGCCAAAGCTAACGACTCGTATTAGTAGTGTATAAGCCTCAGAGATCCGAAAGAAAGATTTATCTTCCCGTGCTCTCTCTCTCTCTCTCTCTCTCTGTTATCTGGTAATTCGCCTAAACTGCGAGCTTTCTCCTCTCTCTATTCAAGACCATCGCCCGTCCCTTCGCTCATCAAGCATTCACTCCAACTCATTGTTAAGCTTTCATCCTACGCCAGGAAGAAGAAGAAGAAGAAGAAGAAGAAGAAGAAGAAGAAGAAGAAGAGAAGACAACGTAGGCACTCTCGTACTTCGCTGTTGGCACTCTTGATACTCTTGATACTGTATCAGGAGCCGCTCTGGGATCAAGAGCAAACAGATACCCATCTTACAGTAAATTGAATTTTTCAATCCTCGATACATGTGAGCATCCATTCCTTCCGTCTGAAGGTCCTACGCCAACGTATTCGCAGACGAGGGAACAGCTTTCTTTGACAGCTTCGAATAATTTTACTGGAGACGATCCGAGTGACGGTTTCATTCAGTGAGTAGCATCAGCCGACTTTAATTCTGTGTGCTAAAGACTGATTGTCTCAGCTACGTCAATCAACAAGGCTCCGTTGAGCAGAAGCTGACCTTTGCATCTGCCAACTCGGTAATACTACCGTTGATACAACTGATGAGGATGCCAGTACGGGCCGTGATTCGGTCCAAATCACCAGCAAACAGACATTCGATTCAAGCTTGTTCATATTCGACATTCTTCACACACCAAACGGCTGTGGGACTTGGTAAGCAGAAGAAGAAATCTACGCGGGGCTACTGGTGCGAAGATGTGCGTAGGCCTGCTATATGGACTGCAGATCCCTCGTCATGGCCCAAGACTGGTGGGATAGATGTCCTCGAAGCGGTCAATAGTGCAACCACGGGCAATCAGACGACTTTACACACAAGCAACGGATGCACCGTGCATGCCAAGCGCAAGGAGTTGGGCAAGGTCTTGACCAGAGATTGCTACAACGGAACAGACCAAATGCAGGGTGCGGCGTCCAAGGGCCAGACGATACTTTCGGGGAAGCACTCAACAACAATTGTGGTGGTGTGAGTAATCAATAAATCAGATCATGGCGCAAGGCAAATGTTAATAAGTTTCCATAAGTCTATGCAATGAAACTTCGTACCGTCGGCATCAGAGTGTGAAATTGTAGACGAGACTCCCTCCCAACAGACATCAGCGATGGCTGATCCATCATCCTAGAGCACCCCGCTTACAGAGTTTCCTTCCGCTGATTGCTCCATCACCGACCATTTCACTAACCAGAGCATCATCGTGAATAATGATCTATGTGGCAACTGGGCTAGAGAAGAGAATTCCTTTATGTCGAACACTGCTTGTTCTAGTTCGGCTAGCACCAATCAAGGATCATCGTTGTCGGCGTGCGAGACGATTGTAGCAACCAACGGAATAAATCTCGCCGAAGCATACTGGGGACTCGGTAGTATAAAAGTGTATCAGTCTCAGTGATGAGTGCTTCGGGGCGAATCATGATCAGAAAGGTTATCGACTAAGAGGAAATCAGAGGTTTTCAACGAGTGGCTTGCTTTGTCTGCACTTTCTCAAGCAGGCCGATATCATGTGTAAAAAACAACGGTCCCAGACTGGATAGAGAATTCGCTTTTTAGCCAAACCTAAGTCGTCCTTGAACAATCGTGTACAACACACTGTATAGGTCCGTCAAGATATAGGCTAAAGGCCAGACCAACTTTGCATATGGGCATCTCACTATTCAACACGCGGTTTTCGATGATCAATGTGCCCCCACAAGCGTCATGATGCACAGCAAGTCATAATCCGTAACCGGAAGACCTCACCCCTGCCAAAAAGATACCCTTAATGGCAAACACATTTGTTTTGACGTCCATTATGCGTCTTCCCTGGATTCTGCTTTCGATTGTTTGCGCGTCTCAGCCCATCCATGCGTCGAGATCTCTTGTGTCCTTCTTGGCTTTTGGACTCCCTGACCGAGGATCTTCACTGGGCACGGCCAGAAATCCTCCAAATCCATTACCTACCATTACGCTCTCTCTTCCTTTGTCCCTCCACTGAGGACTCAGTTGGTTATCAAGATACAAACTCATTGGTCTTGTGGTGGTCGCGGTAGCGTAACGATCCGCTAGCGTTGGAGGGCTAATGAGGGTAAGATTCCACTCCATTTCTGTGACAGCTTTGGTGTACAGACGAAGAGGGCGAGACACTACAGGAGTTACAGGCCGGTATGCCTTGCTGGTTCCGTTCACTGCGAAAGCGGGCTGTGGAGGCGGTAGGAGCATCGTCGGAAGCGCAGTGGAAAGGGCGTAAAGGTGTGACAGAGAGGGCAAAGCACCGCTGAGAATGGAGCTGGAAAGGTAAGAATAGTAACTGTCCGACAGAGATGAGAGCCCGCGAGGCGATGAATCTGCACTAGCGATCTCGTAGTAGAGATTGCGAAGCGAGCAAGAAGCTAAGGGTGGAGATTGCGACTGTGGGAGTGCATGAGCTACGCTCTCCGCAACGCGAAGGGTGATGAGAGAGGGAGCAGCGGCCAAGATTTGGAAGAGATCCGAGGGTAATACACCAGTGTTTGCCAGAGTTAGGGAGCTGAGAGTCTGTTTGACCTTAGGGCAAGAGAGGTAAGCTAAGAGTCCTTTGGCTGAGATTTTGGGGACATCTTGGAATTCCAGTACTGCCAGCGGCGGAAACGGGCTCATGTGCAAAGAGCTGAAGATACTGTCGTCGAGCGACTGAAGACTTGTGAATTTGATGTGGCGAAGAGCCTTGAGAGAGGCAAAGACGTCAGCGATTGTGGCCGGTATAGCAAGATGTAATAATTCGAGTGCCTCTAAATTCGGCCACTGCCTTGCCCCCGCCAACATCTGAAAGCTCGCTTCCGCACCGCCGGCATACTTCATCTGCCGAATATCTCCGCACCGAGCCTGCAGCTCCTGTCTCAGAGTGTTCGACGATGGGTCATCGTTATAGAAACCGTCAGGCAAATCAACATAGCGGAGGTTCGGCAGGACTGAGACAGTGCGTGCCAGATCTGCTTTGCACACCTCCCTTGTCATGTAGGGAATCTTAAGGTATTGCACTTGACAAGCCAGAGAGTAATTCTCTCGGACGGACCTAGAGAAGAGGTGTAGCCGTTCTTGCGGAGGGTCTTTAGGGGCGCCATTACGGCCAATGGAGGATCGCCTTTTACGTTTGGCAGATAGGTCTACTTCTCGCTCGCAATAATGGACGGTATCGATCCGCACATTATGATACCTGTGAAGGGTGAACTTAGCCTAAGGCGAGCATTGCTGAGTGCAAAGCCTTCCCCCCACTTGAAAAGTACTCACAAGAGGTTTTGCGCCGCCTCTGACAATTGCCTATTGACCAAGGCGCATTGTGAAAGGTCTCTCATATCGCATAGCATACATCCTCCATCAATCATCGACTCCTCACAGGAGGTATAGAAGTCGTCCCGCGAGTGCGGGCACACATAGCTAAAGAGCTCGGAAAGCAAAGTTGTCGAGAATCTAGCGGAGGGGTGGGGCTTTGGCAGACGATTCGGTGTGTCTGTTGGCGGCCATTTATATTGATTGTCAGTCCAGGTATCATCAGTGCTCTTAAGACGTGATCGTGTGCGGATATGGTCGAGGAGTTTCATCACGCCGTTGATGCTCGTCCCACAGATCAGGGCTCATGGGAATATGCGGGGCCCGGACAAGGGGACGCGTTTGCCGCGACGCCTCAAAACGTGGCTTATTTCTTGGCTGGAACACGGACTGAAGATGTGAAGGAAGATGTGAAGCGCTCCTTAGTAAAGAGTTGGAACCCTTTTGCCTAACAATTTTGCTAGACGATTTGGTACATGAACTGGCCAATGAAACAAAGGTATTTATGAAATACAAAAATAGCGATTCAAAATGAAGACAAGCCCCCCCCCCGCCCATTCCTCGTCTTGTTTGTACATGAGCAGACGTGGTTTCGAAACCTAAGCCAAGGTTATCTTGAAAGGACCCGAAAGATGCTTTGTTCTCGGACAAAGAGCGCTTTCTAATTGATATGAGAAGACACCTTGGTTGATTCATTCCAGGAAATGATGAAAAACTTTGTTGGTCCGGACGTATCCTTCAGCTTCCTCACAAGATGCTTCGGTTCATTTGACTCAAGGTGCTCATCGCTAGACGCCCATCATGGACTTTATAATGTAGTAAGTCTATCTATTCTCTGACACATACGTGTTGCAAATACGATCAGAGTGTTCTCGCATCTTTATGATCAGTATTAAGATCAAGGTGGAGCACGCATGTTTCAAATTCTAGCTCCCACGTATGAGCGCAAGCATCTTCGAAAATCGAAATAGATCGTAGTCTCTGCTGGTCGTGCTGGACAGGGTGACCAGTCAGGGAACCTTGTAATCAACACCCTAATCAGGTTTGCTTCAATGATGATCTACCATCTGGTACAAACACGTTCTCATACCCAACCCAATATGGTGACTCCAACAAATGAAGAGAACATAGTAGTGGACAAGTAAACAATGTAGAAGCAAGCAATAGCATGAGTGGAAAAACGGACCAGAACATGTATCATCGTCTTGATAATTGATGCTCGATACTCGACAGAAGCATGATGAGTTCTGATGACCCTCGTACATAAAGTACCTACGAGCGTGGTGCATACCTGCACTCTGCAGGAGGTGTAGCAGGACCTGAAACAGCCTAGTGGCGTTTCCCGACGGGGCCCGAAGCGAGATCACGTTGTTTCCTCTCGTGACAATTTCACCATCAATAGCCGACCAATTATTGCCAACCTCAGACCTCCTATCATTGATATTTCCTTCCTCCTCCCTTTCTACCTTTCTACCTTCTCACCCCAGTCGCTCCTTCAGCACCTCTCCTACAGCCACGATCTCGCGTTTACAGCAGTCCAGGAGACTTCAATTCCCGCCCATCCAATTTTTGCCTTCCAAATACCTCCGCCGCTCCTATCCATCAAGCGATACCTCCAAACGGCCAAGGCTTACCCTACTTTCTGAGTAAATAATATCGCACTACACGTCAAAGGCATTAGAAGCCTGGGCTATCGGCATGTCAAGCACTCAGGGGGCAAAGCCTGATATTGACCGCTACTTGGTTATTCATGTTGGTACTACTTGCGACGAACACGGCGTCTACGTGACCAAAGACTCCGCCGAGGTCATCGAGATTGGTTGGCTTTTGCTAGACGCCAAGAATTGTGAGGAGGTAGGTTATGGTGATATTTGGGATTACATAATTCAGCTAGCTCATACGCCACGTTATAGATTCATCGAGAGAGTGTCCTTGTCAAGCCTGTCAACACTCCCATTACTCCGCTTTGCAGTGAGTGTCACTCGCGACCCCCACCAAGCTTTATACTATCTGTTGCCTCTTTGCTGATCTTCCACAAGCGAGCCTGACCACTCTCACCTGGGAGCATGTACGGACAGCAGGCACCTTCCGAGATGCCATCAACCGCTTTGACGCATTTGCTTCCGAGCATCTGACCTCCAAGAGCCTCGAATTCGCTTTCGTTACCCTCGACTCATGGGATCTTCGCGTGCAGCTTCCCCGCGAGGCGCGAGACAAGGCTGTTGTGCTTCCTGCCTACCTCCAACACTCTCGCACCTTTGATCTACGTACCGAGTATCAACGCTGGCAGCAACACCACCCCGAGTCTCTGCCTTTTGGCCCAAGCTCTCTGGCAAACATCTGTGCAGCGTTGGAGGTCGAGCCTGTACAATCTTCCGCCCCGATCAAGCACAACCTTCCATTCCATCTGCAAGCTCTTGCGCCAGCTTCTCCTCGTCGCGCCATGGAAGAAGCGGTGACTCTAGCTAGGGTATTGCGTGGGCTCATCAGAAAGTCTCAGCCACCTCACGAGCATCCCGACGTACTGAGCCGGCCGATGGACGCAAGGGCCGACGTTCGTGCATTTCTCTCGGAGCGAAGTAAGGTACTACACATGAGCGGACTGCCCCACGACACTACTCAGTCCGAGCTTGAGAGCTGGTTTACCCAGTTCGGCGGTCGTCCGATTGCCTTCTGGACTTTACGTACGCCAGACCAGCACAAGCCTACTGGATCGGGGTTCGCTGTTTTCTCTTCGCACGAGGAGGTTAGTTGTTTCTATTCCTTGCAAATATTATTCTATGTGCACTACTTCACCCCCATGTCTCCGATTCAAGCACTCGTACCCACCGTACCTTGCATCTCCGAACGGCTATCAACTGACAACATCTCAGGCTGCAGAGAGTCTCTGCATGAATGGGCGTGCTCTCAATGAGAAAGCAATTGAGGTCTCGCCTTCATCAAGCCGTGTACTTGATCGTGCCGCCGAAATCCTGACGCCGTTCCCTCCAAGCAAGAATCGACCTCGACCTGGAGACTGGACTTGCCCTTCATGCGGCTTTTCGAACTTTCAGCGTCGTACAGCATGCTTCCGCTGCTCCTACCCCGCTGCAGGACCTGGCGGCGATCCAATGGGTTACTCAAACTATGGCTATGGTCCTCCTCACATGATGCCCCCTCAACAACACATGGGACATCACGGTGGACATGGCATGGGCCACGGACGTGGTGGAGGGGGTGGCATGGTTCCATTTCGAGCTGGCGATTGGAAATGTGGTTCTGAAGGCTGTGGATATCACAATTTTGCCAAGAATGTCAGTTGCCTCCGCTGCGGTGCTAGCCGTGCTGGGGCGGCAGTTGTAGCAGATTCAGCATTCCCATCTCCGCTTGAGCCACCATCGGGATATGGCATGGGTCCGCCTTCGATGGCTGGTACCCCGGGACCAGGTCCCTTCGCTGGTGCCTCGGGCGGCTTCGGCTCCGGCGGCTTTGGCGGCCAGCAGTACGGCGGGCCACCTAGTCAATACGCTCTACCCTCCGGCCTCGGTGCTCCGACTGGTGCCTATCCTCCTATGGGCGCTGGATACGGCCAAGGGCAGTCCGGTGGGCCGTTCGACAGTAGGGCTGCCGAAGCCGCTTTTACATCTGCTGGCACTGGCCCTTCTCCTTCTACCGGTGCTCAAAACGGATCATCAGCTTACAGCGGTACTGCCACATATGGCGGTATAGACGGGGGCTCTGATCCTTTTGCGTTCCTCTCGTCCGGTCTCGGAGGATTGTCGATGAACGACGACTCCCGGAGGAACGGCGCCAACTCGAACAAATCACCTGTTTAAGCGTGCAAAACCTATACTCTTCACGCGCTAAGAGCCAACTTCTGGAGCAATCTAATTACGCAACCGTGATGGGCCGAGGAGGGAACCTTGTATTTGTGTGAGTGGGACCGGTTCATTTCTCAAAAAAAAAAGCGGGGGGGGGGATTTACATGCGGACGCGACCTATTCAGGATAAGCATGACGATAGATCTCCACGTTTGGTCAAGCATAGCGGGATACGGCAGCAGAAAGCGGTGTTGGTTGGAGGACCAAAAGAATGGGCGATTTAGAATGGTGGTTCGCGCGCATTTCGAGCTTCTTTCCTCCATTTCTTTCTTCGATTTCCTCGTCACGAAACATTCAGCAAATGCACGGCTCATCTTCATACTATTCCACTAAGACGATCTCGTCGGTGGCTTTGGACGTTGGCTATATTGGCATTACAAAGAGCGTGGTGTTTGCGTGGTGGGCAATCGTTAGACACATGCATTCAACAAATACAGGGCACTTTACAAGTGCAAGTATTTACGGAGGGGGGGGGAGGGGGGTTGGTGGCAGGAGTACAGATTTCTTCGGTGGTGTAGTCGGATGGAATTACAAGGCTTAGATGATCGAGTTTGGGTTTGGACAGGTAGAATAGCATAGCATAGCTTCAATTTATCCCTTTCCGAGACCTTTGAGAATCCCTTTCAGTTACTGCTGCTTTGTGGTGGGTGAGAAGGTAATGAATGATTAACATTATGATGGACCTGCAATGCTTCCGTTGGCTGTCGGACCGTTGACAACTTGAATGCAGCCTGAGAGTGAGAGCCTCAAATCCTCGTGGCAAACAAATCGGCAACTGATCGGCTGCTCGGCACGGATACAGATCTAAAAAGCTTAAAGTATTTTACTTTTTTCTTTACTTTTCTTACTTCACGTTCCATTCACCGATTGTTCAGAATTCATAAGATCCTTAAGTCCGAGCCGAGAACACAAAATTATGCAAAGCATGAAAGATCGTCATTAAGCATCATTCATGAATCCCGTTGGTGACATTCTGCTTTCATTATTTTACATGGCGAAGTTTTGTTCCGGATTAGCATTGATTCTATCGTCGTAGGTACTCGTAGGTAGGAAGAAAGTGTCTTATGAAAGGGTAGCTTTGTTATTCATAATATTCTCCTTCTATATACACACCTCTGCAATATGTTTTTTCTCTTTTCTTCTTCTTCTTCTTCCAATTCTTCCAGCTCCGCATACCAGCCCCGCCACTCGCCATGGCTAGCGATACCTCGTCCAGTACCTTGACAGATGTCGATGCGGCTTCGCAATCCAAAATAAAAAGAGCAAGCCATTGGCAACTCGTCTCATCTCACGCACTCCTCACTCCTGCCGTCCTCAACCACGAGTACAATGGATCGGGCACAGAAGAAGATCCCTACCGGGTCGAGTTCATACCCAACGATCCTCGAGATCCCATGGGCTTTGCCATGTGGAAAAAGTGGGCGATTACTCTGTTGGTCGCTTTTGCAACGTTGGCCGTAGCCTTTGTTTCCTCTGCATATACTGGTGGCGTGAATCAGATCATATCGGGCTTCCACACCAGCGATGAAGTTGTCGTATTAGGAGTGTCACTCTTCGTTTTGGGTGTGAGTACTGGGCGATATAAGCACAGAAAAGAAAATAAGTCTAATTGACCCGCAGTTCGCCATTGGGCCCTTGCTTTGGGCTCCTCTTTCCGAGCTCTATGGCCGGCAAATCCTCTTCTTCACCACGTACGGTGTCCTTACGGCCTTCAACGCAGGAGCTGCTGGCGCTCAAAATATCCAGACTCTTATCATCCTCCGATTCTTCGCCGGCGCTTTTGGCTCCTCTCCCCTGACGAATGCCGGCGGTGTCATCGCGGACATGTTCCCTGCATCCCAGCGTGGGCTGGCCATGTCGGTTTTCGCTGCCGCACCGTTCATGGGTCCCACCTTGGGACCTATTGTCGGTGGATTTCTGGGTGAAACAGAGGGCTGGCGCTGGGTTGAAGGCCTCATGGCAATCTTTACCGGGGCCCGTAAGTTGTAATTTCCAAGGCAATTCTTCCCGATCATGCTGTCTTATGAGTCATCAGACATGTCTATTCTCTGCTCCTAAGACATGTCTCGCGATTCCGAATCCTTCCCGAAAGAGTAATGCTGACTCCGAAATCACCAAGTCTGGATCATCGGTTCCCTCACTATCCCCGAAACGTATGCACCTGTTCTCCTCAAAAACCGCGCAGCAGCCATGAGCAAGAAGACTGGTAAAGTCTACAGGTCCAAGATTGAATACGATAGAGGAAAACAGTCGCTCGGTCGATCTTTCAAGATAGCCTTGTCTCGGCCCTGGGTGCTTCTCCTCAAAGAACCTATCGTGCTCCTGCTTTCAATCTACATGGCCATCATCTACGGAACCCTTTACATGATGTTCGCAGCTTTCCCTATTGTGTACCAGCAAAATCGCCACTGGAGTGAGGGTATCGGTGGCTTGGCATTCCTGGGTGTCGCCGTCGGCATGATTGGTGCCGTCATTTACACTATTCCTGACAATTCTCGCTTTATACGCGCCGAAGCAGCTGGTATTGCCAAAGGTGAAGGAGGCGCGGCACCGGAAGCAAGACTACCGCCTGCAATGATTGGTAGTGTGTGTATCCCCATTGGACTGTTCATCTTTGCGTGGACAAACTACCCTTCCATCCACTGGATTGTTAGCATCATCTTTACGGCACCATTCGGCTTCGGCATGGTCCTCGTCTTTCTTTCGATTATGAACTACCTCATCGATGCATACACGATTTACGCGGCCAGTGTGCTGGCTGCTAATTCTGTATTACGAAGCATGTTTGGGGCGATATTCCCTCTCTTCACGACATACATGTACGACAATCTCGGTATCCACTGGGCGAGTACGATTCCAGCTTTCTTAGCCTTGGCCTGTGTGCCGTTCCCATTCTTATTCTACAAGTACGGACCTATCATCCGAAAAAAGTGTAAATACGCGAGAGAAGCTGCTGAAGTGATGGCTAAGATGAAGCAAAGGCAGCCGGAAGATGAGAGTATCAAGGACGAGGAGAGCGACTCAGGTGACTCTGAAAAGAAAATCGAACCGATAATGGAACCTGAAGGCGTGGAGGCTGCAAGATCGGATATCCGAGGGGATGACTCCGAAAGAGCAGCCAAATTGCAAGATCCTGAGAGAGACGTGGAGAAAGCGGAAGTGTGAGAGAAGGCGTACCTCTGCTTGGTTTGAACATATTTGGGAGACAAATTCATATTGCACGTTGCAGCATTAAGCGATCGGAGTTCTCTTTGTATATATTGCATGGGGAAACTTAGATGAATTGGCTGCATAGCCGAATGCCTACAGAGGGTATGTAAAAGTGGGAGCATATTAAGATGCATAATATCTGAAAAGGCAATTCGAATGATTTCGAACACTTCAAATTTTTGCGCACGTCACAATTTTGGGTTGAAGAAGTACTGGTGCTTGGATGGGATTCCCACGACGTCCTCGCTGGTCAGGTTGTGTCTGGGCAATGATCAAATCAACGCTATTGTTGGTGGCAGAGTACTTCTTAAGTTGCGTTCAAAGCTTCAAAAATCAAGTCACAGAGGAGACTTTTCGGATTCCAGTTCCTTATCTAGGTACCTTTGCCCATAGCTGCAATGATCTCTCTTTTCTTCTCCATTTCGATCGTCGGGAAGGAGCCTCCATCTTGCCTTTCGACGCGCTCTAGCAGACTGCCAGGCGCATACTGACGCTCCTCTCCTACATCCAGCATGGGTTCTTTCGCCTGCCTAATCCCAGTCATGACTCCCCTTCCCGTCCTTGCACCACCTTGACCACTACTCCTGCTGGCAAGGAGTCCACCAGTGAAAGCCATATCTCCCTTTCCTGGTGACACCGAAGTCTGCTTCCGCTCTAAGGGCGCACTGCTGCTGTGATCTCGACGCACGGTTTTCGACCGACCAATGCTGGGCCCATCTCCACCCCTGCTTGTAGGTCTACGCCATGTGGTAGAAGGTGGGATCGGCATAGCAGCCTCTGGTGTATTAGCCACTTCAACCAGGCCTCCAGCAGGTATTTGCTTAAGTACGACACCTCTGCCTTTCTTTGCATGCTGCGGTGGCTCCTGGTACTGAGGAGTCAAGTCGATCAAAGGCTTGGGTTTTGGACGTTGTGAGAGCGTTCGATTCATGCTGTTAACGAGATTGGTATTCGGCGTCGCCACGGCTTGATCTGGCTCAGCATTTTGTGTCTTCTCGCGCTCTCGTTGGGCTTTCTGGCGCTGGGTATATGTTCTACCGAGCAAACCTGTCGCCGCGAAGGGCTGAGGCTCTTCTTGCTGTACAGCCTGCACGAACGAAGGACCATGTTCATTTGGGGCACCTATATTAGCGTCTTTAGTGAGTTTCTTGGAATTCGGGGTCTGATTTTCGCTTCGACTGCGGAACGGCGTATCGTCGACAGAGTCCCCAGCTACACTGCGCCTAGGGTTGGCATTTCTGAAAGGAACGACATGCTCTGTGCTATCATTGGCCAATGTAAAGGCGTTGATCGAACTCATGCCTTGAGATGACGGCTCTGGCGGTCTGCGCTGGCCCTCCGTTTTCGAGAATTCACTATTTGAAAGCTTATGGATGTCTGCTTTCGTGGATAGTTTCTTAGGGCCCTGTGCACCTTCTTTTCCCTCGCCCATCACATTGACCAAGTACCAACTTCTCCATTCTAGGACGGCTGTGTACCAAGATGCAGCCAACGACTTATCGCTCGTTGAAAAGAAATGAACAAAATTGGCTGTACTTAAGAACATGCTCGACTTCTGCTGGCTCTTGACGGCGAAGCATATCTTTCTTGGTGGTCTGATCCTCTTGGCCGACTGCCGTGCGGTCGGAATATAGATATCAAAATCAGATATGTGACAGATGTTAGCTGTTTCACCACCTTCTCTCTTGGCTACTAGCATCTGTCCGTCTGAGCGTAGCGTGACCCATCGTTTGTCCCAATGGCCAGGTTTCTGTGAATAATGGATATATACCGATGTGTCCATAGGCTGGGAGCTCGAGCTGGAATGGAGATCCAGCAGATCATCCCTGCCGCCTGTAGGAGTTGGCTTAATTATCAATGTATTTTGCGCATCGTTGTCCCAGGAATTCAGCACATCACGGACATGCTCATACCTCCTAAGGGGGCGCTCAAGTCCTAATTGTTTGAACGACTCAAGGAGAATTGTGCTATTCGGATCAATAGACTCTGCCAACTGATCGGCAGCGGAGCCAATTATATCCAATGATGTCGTTGATGGCGTTACAGGAAGCAACATCAGATTCTGGTCATATTTGACCTTGACCCTGCGCTCTCCAGCATTGACAGCCGACACAGGAGCATCAAAAGCAGGTCTAACGCTAATTTGAGGCCGTTCAATGGCAATGGGCGCTGAGATCGTCCTCTTGAGCTCCTCCCTACTTTTGCGTAGGCGTTTTCCATTCGAGTGTCCAGCGATACGCTGCGTAAGGCCTCTCCCGGGCAATGTAGGTGATTTAATGATCGCAATCGCTTCGACGTTTTGGTGGGAACGGAAGCCCGGCCCCAGAGCGCGAGAATATTGCTCAGGGAATGTTGCTACCTTTTGACTCTGCGTTAGGTCTTGACCTGCTTCCTTGTGAGGCTCTGCTTCTATATCGTATCTTCTGCGCGGACGATTTTGCTGGTAGCATTGCAGAGCCTGTGATTGAGGAATGACCTCATCCTGTAACGTTGTACCATTCTTTGCCTTCCCCAGTTTCTCATGTTTCTGGGCCACAGATGCTTCAGATGGTTGGGCATCATTTGCAGATACTCGGTGCCTCTGCGTGGATTCATGAAGCGGTGGCCGTATCATAAGCCCTCTTCCATCTTCCCCATCGCTCTGGAGCCTTGGTTCGCGCGGAGAAAATGTAGTACTGCGCAGTCGCTGAAGCTGTTTTGCACTGAGGCTCGGAGAGTCTGACGGTTTGACGAGAGTCTTATGAGGACGTGGACCTTTGTATCGAGACCTGCTTCTTGCTATGGTCCCCTCGGCGGGTAGCGAGAGGCCGTCCGGGGAGGAAGGTGGAGGCATAATTGGTCGTGTTACAGGGTGTGGGGAGCAGGTCTGATGGAATTAAGTGCAAGACTTCTGCTCTTTTTTTCCATCGCTTGTACTTCAAGCGGTGCAGGGTGCGTTTTTTGCAACGTAAATCTTGAAATAGATGCATCTGCAGGATTGCGGTATGTAATTTCAACAACAGCTATAGCCTCTGATGGCACTTTACGTTTTAGATTCTGGTTGTACACGCGACTTTCCAGTAGGGCTGAAACAAGCGAGTAGAGATCCTACTGTACACTCCCCAGTGAATATTTGAGCCTCCCTCCAAGAGCTCCTTTCTAATGAGTGACGAGTATCCTTCTCTCCTGTCTGATACTCGTAGTAGCCTTGGAAGATGGCATGTGTTGGACAATAACATGGGTTCAAGACACGATTGCTGTGATAAGGATATCGAAACAGCCAAGAGAGCCCACTCTAGCGGGAAAGACATACTTTGCGTTAGTGAATGAGAACGATCTATGTAATCGTGTGGAAGTGTTGTGTTGGACTGGAGGAGTTGAAGACTAGGTCTACAGGTCAATAAATGATTAGATCTGTTTCTCCGTGTCTGGAGCTATTGTAAGGTACTCGTAAGTCGTATAGTTGGCGCTACTCGGCAATTTTCAATACCCATTCCTTTAGAGTACCTCAGGTACCGAAACCACAATATCTAAAGTAGCCACTCACCTCTTGCTATGACTACTCGACTCTCGACTCTCACCTCAAATTTCTTACCTTATTCGTTATGACATCTGTTGTAACTTCACTGGCGAAGGCTTTGCCCAAGCCAAAATACACTGGCGAATATGAGGAATTACCTAGTCAATCAAGAGGTCCACGAATCCTCGGTCCTGGATCTCTAGATGAGACACAGGTAGTCCTTAAGGTGAGCCCGTGTCTACCTCATCGTAGTGCTGCTTCGACTTTACTAACTCCGTCGCAGCGAAATGGACCTCCAGCATATGGATTAAGAGCAGGATGGCGCCCAAGGTCAGCGGAGGACTACGGCGACGGCGGGGCCTTTCCGGAAATCCCGGTGGCCCAGTACCCTCTCGACATGGGCAAAAAGCCTTCTTCGTCATCAAATGCTTTGGCTGTGCAAGTAGATGCGGAAGGCAAGGTCAAGTACGACGCCATTGCTCGGCAAGGCCATAATGACAAGCGGATTGTCCACACCAGTTTTCAGGATCTGATTCCGTTAAGACAAAGAGCGGATGTTGGGGAGATATCCTTGGATCGGCCGTCGGAAGAGGAGATCGCTGCGCAGACGGAGAAGACCAAGGATGCTCTGGCAAAACTGGTTTCTGGAGCTGTAGCTGCGCAGAAGCCGAAGAATGTCAAGGGCATCACCAGGAATGATCCTACATACGTCCGCTACACCCCGGCAAATCAAATGGGAGATGTGACCCGCAAGAATGATAGGATTATGAAGATCGTAGAGAGGCAACAAGATCCCATGGAGCCCCCAAAATTTAAGTAAGTCTGCATAGCAGAGTGGTTCGTTCTACAGAACAGAAAAAGCTGACTGTGATATCTTTCAGACACAAGAAGATCCCCAGGGGCCCTCCTTCACCGCCGCCACCAGTCATGCACTCGCCACCACGAAAACTTACTGCAGAAGATCAAGAGGCATGGAAGATCCCTCCTCCCATTTCGAACTGGAAGAACCCCAAGGGATACACTGTGCCATTAGACAAGCGCTTAGCGGCCGATGGTCGCGGCTTACAGGACGTTACCATTAACGACAAATTCGCCCAATTTGCAGAAGCTCTATTCACTGCGGACCGCCATGCTAGGGAGGAGGTGAAGCAACGCGCGGCCATGCAGCAGAAGGTCGCAGAAAGGGAAAGGATGGAGAAAGAAGACCAATTACGTATGCTTGCACAAAAAGCTCGTGAGGAACGATCGATGGCTGGGAGACGTACATCACATGCAAGGTCCGCCTCTGGTAGTAGAAGTCGACCATCCTCATACAGTCGGTCAGACAGCGAGGACGAAGCTACAAGGGAACGAGAACAGATGCGGCGGGAGAGAAGGCAAGAGAATGAGAAGCAACTTCGCCAGTCGCGCATGGGCACGGAACGCCGAGTCCAAATCTTAGCAAGGGAGCAAAACAGAGATATTTCCGAAAAGGTGGCTTTGGGCCTAGCCAAGCCTACACAATCATCAGAATCGATGTGGGATTCGCGTCTCTTCAACCAGACCAGTGGATTCGATACAGGATTCAACGAAGACCAAGCCTATGACAAGCCTCTTTTCGCCGCTCAAGACGCTATCAGCAGCATATACAGGCCTCGTGCGAATGTGGATGATGATGACGACGAGGAAGCTGGGGGAAAGGAGTATGACAAGATTGCGAAAAGCAATCGATTCGAAGTGCTAGGGAAAGCAAAGGAGGGATTCAAGGGCGCGGCTGATGCGGAGGTACGAGATGGTCCGGTGCAATTCGAGAAGGATGTTTCGAACGCCACGGATCCCTTCCATATCGATGAGATGATAAGGGATGTGACGGGAGGCGCAGGTGGGAACAAGCGGTACGGGGTGCAGGAGGCGGAGGAGAGGGCGTCGAAGCGTGCGAGAGTAGACGATGACGATCGATGAAAGCGCTCTGTATTTTAATTTCCATTAAAGGTACAAAGATTAGCTCCGCTGCTATCCCATGCCTGACTATTACCGGAACAGTGCTCTCTAGTGACCATATCTACGTCTCGGACGGGCAAAGGTTCAACTTGAACCGGAATTTGTGCAAGATGCTAGTCTACGTGACCATCTTTGTCGTCTAGGCCAATCCAATCGCCTTCCATATCCTCATCCATACAATCATCTAAAGCGCCGTTGCCATTCACCATCAATGGCGCCTCTTCGGACCCGTGATCCACCCCTGCGAGGAGCAACGGCTGCGCAAGCAAATAGTCCAGTGCATAAATATTATCATCCGCTAATCTGGCCAACTCTAATTGGATTTTCGCTATCGCCTTTTGTACAGTTCGCAGCTCGGAGGCCAATGAGCTAGCGTGATCTTTCAGATAGGGACCATGTGCATGTAATAAAGCCTCAATCCATCGAAGATTGAATTCGAGGTGAGGACTCTCATCGGTAGCTTGGGCGACGAAACGCAGGAGTCGGGCGAGGTATACGATAGGTATGTCCTTGACAAGAAGAGTGACATCGGTAACAGGAATTGCTTCATAGACTCGACGAATTAACAGCCGCTCGTTGAGTCGGAAAGCCATGATAAGGGCAAGAAGAAAGTCTTTCTCCTTGATGGCTTGCAGGGTAGAAGCCGGTGTGATATTGATGTCGAGATCGAAAGGGTCGAATTGGAGGGCGCTATCAAGCGAATAGACAAGAAGACCCTCAGTCGATGCGGCGCAGAAGGCTCCGCCTGTGGGCGAGAACGCAACTGCTGGTGCGCGCACTTCTGGCTGCGTCCGCCGAACAGAAAGGTCGCCACGAGTAGCGCCAGGTAATGTATGGTCAATGCGGTCTTCGAGATCCGAAGCTTCACCCTTCTCATCTATCAAGCCTCTTGGACCAGCTTCGGTGAGGTTGCGGCTGTTTAAAAACTCTTGGGTGCCTTCCAACGACAAGTTGACCGAAACGGTAAATTTCTTGATGAGTGTGCCGGACTGGACGTCATAGAGACATATGTACTTGGAGTTTCCGCCAGCAATGACGCAGCTACCGTCAGCACTGTAAGCTATACAGTTGAAAGACTTTGTCCCTGCGACGTTGGCTGCGGTCCTTCGATCCGAGATTCTTCGACCGCCCGAGACATCACGACGGCCATCCACACCAGCTTCCTGACTAGCTTCAGAGACAGACCAGAAAGTTAGCTGACCGTCCAAGGTAGAAACGGCTACCTGTTTCGAATCGGGGCGGAATGCAACATGAAGGACATTCGCTTGTAGCTGTATTGGCTCACTGGTCTGGGTCCGACCAAAGATGCTCCATATGCGCACTGTATGGTCCCAACTACCGCTTACAACGACATCACCGGAAGGTGCAAATGCTAAAGATGCGACTGGGCCTTCATGCCCAGATAGCTGATCGAGTAATTGGCCCGTTTGAACTGACCAGATATGGATGTCAAAGGAGTCCAGCGATCCCGCGCACACGACTTCACCACTAGGGTCCACAGCGACAGAAGAAAATGATAACCGGGTAGGTGCTGTGAATGTTCTAAAATTCCGATACCGTATTAAATCCCACGCTCTGATTGAGCCATCAAGACTTGAGGTGAAAAGAACATTACCTCTCTTCGCAAACTCGCAGGCAGTCACGCTGCTTGAATGCTCGGTAAATGTGACAATACAGAAGCCTGATTGTGTGTCCCAAACCTTGATCTTGCCGTCATCCGCAGTCGTAATGATACGTTGACCATCTGGAGAGTAGACCAAAGCGTTCATGGAGTCGAAATGGCCTTGTTGTTTCAGGATATAGGACTCTGATTGCCACTCCCAAACAAGAAGCTGGCCAAGTTTCGACGCACCAAATGCCAACCATTCCCCTGAATTGTTCAAAGTCACAAAATCTATCTCATTTTGAGATATACTATGAAAGCGTCGTCAGCATTTCGTATTCAAGCAATCAGAACCGTGGAAGTGCACCTTAAGGTGTGTATCATGTTGAAATCCGGGAGCTCATACAATCCAAAAAGGCCGTTGGAAAAGCCGGCTACAAGTAGATTGGATTCGGCATGATACGCAGCACACTTGACTTTCGCATTGTTCTGCATGAAATAATGTCGTTGTACGATTCTCCACTGTAGAGGGTCTTCGTCATCTTCACGAATGTTGACGTCGCCGTTTGCGCCTGGCCTTTGCGAGTAGCTCCATCTAAAGAGCGCACCATCTTGGCTGACTGTGTAAATCTGCCTTGATCTCAGAATCTATTCCAGCAACGCTAGGTATTTCGGCTTACCTGTTCCTGATCGCATGAGAACCACGCACCCAAAACGCCTTCTCGATGGCCTGCTAGTGTTGTAGGGATAAAACCCTCTTCGGGATCGAGGCTCCATATTCGAGCTGTAAGGTCTTTCGCGGAACTCAAAAAGAAACGAGAGTCACTCGACCATTCTATACTCTGGACAGTATCGTAATGCCCAGCATGCACTCTATGCCGAACAAATGGCGCGTATTCAAGACCCTCATCTGTAGTTGCATCTGGTGTCGAAGGTGTTTTCCATACTTCAACAAGTCTTCCAACACCAACAGCGAAGTGGTGACCAGAAGGTGAAAAGGCTAGGGCAGAAACAGGCGCTTTAAAAGAGAAGTGGTGAAGGGCAAGCCGTCGAGGAAAGTTGGCTAGAATGGCCCGACCATCTTCGTCAACAGAGAGGAGTAGGTTTCCGCGCGGACTGAGGGCTAAGCGGGAGATATTCCGGCGATGCGAAAAGGGAAAGGTATAGGACTTATTGCTGATAATGTCAGTCTTAGTGGCTACAAACTTGCGGAATGCTGGGGCAGCCGGGCCACGTACTTGATCAGGTCAAACACAGTGACACGATTACCGACTGGTGAAAGCAGACAAGTCCCATCAGGAGTAAAGAGGAGGTTTCCTTTGCAATAGACTGTGCCCAGCAGGTTAGAGAACTGTTGCCAAGCCTTAGTTTCTGCAAAAAGCATTGACAGAAGGGGACAACTGGGAAACGCTACCTTGAACTCGGTCTTCATAGTGACTATCTAAAAGACATAGCTTCAGGGAACAGAAAGGAACCAAAAGCCATGGGTTGAAGCGCATGCGTCGAAACCGTCGTTGACCAATTGTCGCACAGTCTGATCCGAGGTCCTTCAAAAAAAAATCGAAAAGCTCGGACCGTGGCGCTAGTGCTAAAGTGGTTAGCCGGAAAATTGTCCCTTTCCAGAGTTCCCCTTAACGAGCTCTGTGTCGGACTGACTGGTGAACGTGTTTTCAGACTTCGAAGTCACTCGACCTTACACACGCCTCTTCCAATTGCAAGAGCCAGAAAATCTCTGACTTTACAATCCCTTCCCAGCTTTTGCACCTCAATTACTGCGGGCCCCTACAAATTGAGCTTTAACATGGCGCCAGCAATGTCTGAGGCTGCTTCGCCAATTGGCATTGCCAACGTGAGTCTATTCTCACGTGCTTCACCCACAGCAATTTTCTAACATGTGCCGTTGGGTGTAGCTTCCAAACCAGAGGTACATACTTTGACGTGTCCGAAAAGCACAGTCCAGCCTCGACTGACTTGGCTCCAGGCATAAGATCGTTGCTAAACGTGGAGCTGCATTCACCATCATGGTATTCCCACACCTTTCCAGTGAGTAACTTGAATAGGCTTATCTGTCCCAGGTTGCAGGCGAATCAGGCCTGGGAAAGACGACGTTCATCAATACCTTGTTCTCGACAACCATCAAGAACTACGCAGACCACAGGCGCCGCCATGCGAAGCAAGTAGACAAAACTGTTGAGATCGAGATCACCAAGGCTGAGCTGGAAGAGAAATTCTTCAAGGGTATTTATCTTCAACTGCTTGGGTTATTGGAATACCTATTCTAAAATTATGGGACAGTCCGCTTGACGGTCATCGACACTCCCGGCTTCGGCGACTACGTCAACAACCGCGACTCGTGGATGCCAATCATAGAGTTCTTGGACGATCAACATGAGTCGTACATGTTGCAAGAACAACAGCCTCGCCGAGCCGACAGGATCGATCTCCGTGTTCATGCGTGCCTTTACTTCATCAGACCGACCGGTCATACGTTAAAGCCCCTGGATATCGAAGTCATGAAGCGCTTGAGCTCGAGGGTCAATCTCATTCCTGTCGTAGCCAAAGCGGACACACTGAGTCCGGCAGATCTGGCTACATTCAAGAGAAGAGTACATTTACTCCGAGGATTCGAACAATTCTGAATGTAACTGACGCAGATCTGTAGATCCGAGCTGTTGTTGAAGCACAAGGGATCAAGATATACCAACCACCGCTAGAGGAAGACGACGACGCTGCCGCCCACCACGCTCGGGCTTTGACGGAAGCCATGCCGTTCGCTGTCATTGGATCTGAGAAGGACGTGAAGACCCATGACGGGCGTGTCCTGAAGGGACGTCAATACTCTTGGGGGGTCGCAGAGGTTGAAAACGAAGACCACTGCGATTTCAAGAAGCTGCGGTCAATTCTCATTAGAACCCACATGCTGGACCTCATTCACACCACCGAAGAGATGCACTATGAAGCGTACCGCGCCCAGCAGATGGAGACGAGGAAGTTCGGCGAAGCTCGACCGAGGAAGCTTGACAATCCCAAATTCAAAGAGGAGGAAGAGAGCCTACGTAAGAGATTCACAGAGCAGGTGAAGGTGGAGGAGAACCGATTCAGAGCATGGGAGCAGAAGTTGATCTCTGAGCGTGACCGCCTGAACAAGGATCTTGAAAGCACACACGCAGCGTATGTGTTGTCCAGCATTTATTCCTATCAGAAGCTCCCGCTGACGATCTTGCAGTATCAAGCAATTGGAGATGGAATTAGAGCAAATGCAAGGCAGTGTTCAGCGAAGCCACGGACGTCGTTAGAAGCGATCTCTGCCTGCAAATAAGTCGGGATGGAAAAGTTCTCCGGCTTGCACTTTGTGGGCCTGCTCATCATTCGAAGAACCTTTGCAACCTTGAAGGCCGTGAGTGCCAGTAGCTGGCAATCCATCCTTCTTCCTTTTCCAGTGGAGTCTCCATGTTTGCTGTCTAACGTAATCAAGCTTTCTGTTCAACTAGTAGTACTCAGATGATGGGAAATGAAGCTCTCGAATGCAACAGCATTCTCAATCCTACGATCTGTGGTTTTAACAATTTCTTGGCTTTCTTACACTCGTAGCGTAGAGTAGTAGCCAATTATGTTTAGGCTCCGCAATCGTAGACGAATGAGCAAGCTCCAAACCAGTCCACCACTACCCAAAATGTGATGATATTTCCCAATCGTCAAGTGACGACCCTCTCCGGGCATTCAGGCGCAATCCACGCCGTGGTGTATAGCTGTGGGGCTGGTCAATATGTGAAATCCCTGATTTCATCCCCTTACGGAACTAATGCTTCGTTCTCCCTAGATCCTCACGGGTTCAAGTGACCGCTCCGTCCACCTCTACAACCCCTCCAAAGCCTCCAGCTCCACTCCCAAATCAGGCCTCATTCAAACCTACAGAGCCCACAGCTACGAAGTCCTCGACCTAGCCGTTACAGCCGACAATGCCCGGTTCGCCAGCGTCGGCGGTGACAAGCAAGTCTTTCTCTGGGACGTTGCCACAGCTCGAACATTGAAACGATGGAGCGGGCACTTCGGCCGTGTCAACTGTGTGGGTTTTGGTGGGGAAGATGGCAGTGTGGTCATCAGCGGGAGCTATGATGCTACTGTCAGGTTGTGGGATTGCAGGAGCCAGAGTACGAAGCCAATACAGGTTCTCGAGGAGGCAAGAGATAGTTTCAGCAGTTTGCATGTGGTTGGGCATGAGATCGTGACGGGGAGCGTGGACGGGAGGATGAGGGTCTATGATTTGCGGATGGGAATGACATTTGTGGATGTCATTGGCCGTATGTCTTTTCTAGCCGTTGTGGATTCTGGGTCGCTGATCGAAAGTACTTTCAGAACCCATCACATCAGTCCAGCAAACGCAAGATGGCAATGCGGTCCTGGTTTCTACTCTTGACTCAACTATTAGACTTATGGATAGGAGCAATGGCCAGTTGTTGCAAAGCTACAGAGGCCATACGAACAAGGACTATCGAGTCAGATCGTGTCTGGGCATGGCGGACTCAGTGGTGATAAGTGGAAGTGAGGATGGGAAATTGTATGCTTGGGACTTGCTGGAGGGGAAGGTGATCGAGAAACTCGAGGCGCATGGCGGGAAGGTGGCCAGCGCTGTAGCTTGTAATGGGGTAAAGAAGGAATGGGCTAGTGCCGGAGTTGATGGTGAGTACCTATCCACCCCTTTCTGATTGATCTAGATGCACGCTGAGTTTCCAACAGGCACCGTCAGTATTTGGGCCATGCCAGAGTGATGTAGCTGCACTCGGAATTGATAAACCGGGGGAGCAATGGTGGGCTACAGGCCCTTGACACATGCCATCTTTGTAACACGCACGCGCTCCTTCGAGGGACTGCTTGAACAAACCGGAAGAGGCGAAAGCGATACTGCTGCTTCAATTCCTGTAGCCTTGATGGTGAATAGGCAGTCGGGTCTCAAGTCCCCGTGTATGCTGTTTTACATTCTAGTAAGCCCAATGAGGCCGTCAACTCTGTAGCCATTTTTCGGCTTGCTATCCATCCCGCTAATTCAATGCAATGTCTAAGGCTTTTTGGTTCTCGATGATATGAGTCCATCCATCACGGCTGAATTTCGCCATTCACGCCGAGCCTCAGTGCCTGCATTGCGCTATCAAGGTCACACTCGTCCACCATAACAGTCCCAGCTTTGGCAGTAGAAAGGTAAGTCATCTCAATCGGGTGGAGGGGCCCGTCCACAAGTCTCCCAGCAACCCCACAGACGATACCACTTGCTTCAATTGGCAACGATTCCAGGTTCAGGACAATTGGGATGAGATAGTCTTCCCTAGCACCGAGTAAGACATTATCAGAGCCCGGCAGGTCAAAATTAGGGAGAAGTCGCTTCTCTAAAAGAAGTCCAGCGGATTCATCTCTGGTTAGGGTCACACTCGCGAATTTGGGCTGGTGAATGAGACACCTAGTAAGTCCGTGTTGAAGGGCTAGTTCGTCGGCCACAAATGTCTCTGGGTTGGTGTTTCGGCCTCCACATTGGACAAGGCGGATTTCAGAGTGTACCATTGGAACGATCGAGTGGCGATTGAGCAATCCAAAGGTGCGAGCCTGAAGCTCTGTCATGTTGGTAGGCGGTGGAGTCGAAGGTAATCCGGAGCTCAAGGACGAGCTCGAGGACGCGTTCCGGTGGTGGGCAGATGAGTTGACATACGACTCTGAAGACTTCTCGAATGCAAAACCACGGTTTTCCAGGGCACGGACGACCTGGCTTTTGGCTTTTGCAGGGACGAGGATAAAGTCGGAATAATACGTGGTGATGAAGAATAGCGAACTGCTCATTGTCAGGAACTCTAATGACGATTAGCAAAGAGTAAAGCTTACATTCCAGCGAGAGCGAGAGGACTTGTCAATTCTAACACTCTCTGCCCAGCCTCCATGCCAGCTCCTTCTACGGAGATTACAACGAAATCTTCCGCAGAGATGGAAGCATACTGATCACCATCGGCGCCGGGTGACGATAAGGCCCGATCTATTGCTGGTCTGAACAGGTCTTCGGCCACATCCTTTTCGCAGACGATGGAGCATTCAATGGAGGTGACAGAGACGTTCAAGAAAGCATGACTGTTTGCCCAGGATCCACTGTTGCGTACATCCTCGTTAGGACCCGCGACCGAAGGGAACAGCAGCTGAAGGACTGAAGGCAAGTAATGCTGATACTGCTCCAAAGGGATATGGACGAGGCTAAGCTGTACTTCCTATTTTGATAAAACAAGTCAGCAGTGGCTTCGAGACGCTGTTGTCTTTTTGAAGGAACACCAGCCCCATCTAGTTTTCATGAAACATTGAAAAACAAGATATATCCCCACTGGCTTTGGAGCATAGCAGACTTACAAGAAAGTGGACTCTGGCCGACATCAGAAGGCTTGACTGCTCCATTGTGAAGACGAATAATCAGCGGTTGGGTAACATGAAAGGCAGCGGAAAGAAATGTGACACAGAAAGATTGGACATGAAGATTTTTGAAAGTCAATCGGAGAGGACTTCTCAAAAAGAAAAGAAAGTACAAGCACGATATGAGCTGTGCTACGTGGACACTGATTCCGGCAGGCGGATGATAGAAGGACAAGTCTCTGCCATGCTTTCCCGTTCGCCTTGGATTCCCTTCATGCACGAGAGCTAATTTGTATTCCAACGCGAAGCAATGGGGAGCGGGAATGGCAGGATCACGGCTGAGGAGCGCTCAGACACCGAGATGCTCTGAGTAAGCGAATAGTCACTGTGAGAGGAAGTGATGGGATAGAAGGATAAAGACCAGGCAAGACGAATACATACAGGATCGGCGTAGTTGGGATTCTAGTCAGAGATGTTTGGGACGTGCAGAGCAGAAGTATTTGCAGGACATTAAATCGAAGCCGTGATACTCGGTAATAGGGCAGGTGAAAGATGAAGCCATACTTTACCATTCACTCAAGGAAGGTTGGAGTCCGTGCTGAGCATGATGCAGCTTGAGCAACAAGTACTTTTAGTGGCCGTATGCAAGTCAGTACTTAAGGCTACGAGTATGCAGGCGCTCTCGCAGCGTGGGGTAGGAAGCTCGGAATGTGGATGATGTGGATGAAGACTCGGGGGGGTTGGAGGTAAGGTACGTTAGTGTCTATGTCTATATGGTTGGGTCTTTTCCAAACACGTCGTAGCGTAAGAATAGGTTGTATGGAAGCAAAGTTGCATCAAAGATCTGGACAGCGAGCTGCAGGGCACCCTCTCTTTGTAGTATAGCCTATCGGGACTGCAGAGATTACGCACGTGAGAGAATATGGTGGGAACAGGGGGAAAAGGGAGAAAGGGAAGAGAGTCGAGAGATGGGCGAATGAAAGAAGAGTACATGGATTCATATCTCTCGTCCGGCTTCTCTTTTGTCTTTTTTCTCTTCGCTTATTCCTTGTTGCTTATTAGCAAAGTGTTATACTTGTAATTTTAACTACCCCTCGTACCCGGGGACAAGGCCAATCCACATGGCCTCTTTTCTCCGAAGCCAGGGTCAGTACCTGAAGGCGGTACTTGTAGGTGAGTTTTTTGGAGTGACCCTGGTGAGCTACTCTTACACAAATGCTTGCTTCATCTGCCCTGAGACAAAGCAAGGCCAAAGCATTCGCAATACACAAGTTAATTCTTACGTGTTACTGAGGGGAAAGGGTGCTGGTGGTGCTGTTCGTCATTGGTGGTAAAGTAAAAAAGGGTAAACCGAGAACCAGTCGAGCGTACGAGTAGTGTAGTAGTCGTGCCGTCAGAGCCGATGAGGGAAAGTTGCATCACACCAACACGCTACAAGTACATGTACCTAGGTAGCTTAGGATCTATCCTGCAGAACATATGCAAGACCCCCACCCTCCCCAAACTCCCCACACTCTTCGCTGCAGTAGCTTCCCCTCGCTTACTCCCCACACTCAAGACTAGACTAAGTAAAGTGAAGTACAGAAGTACCTACAGTCAAAGCTCGATATAGCTGAACCAATAAATCTTATTAGTTAGTCCGTTGTAGCGAGACGAGTAAAGGCCTATGAATTAAATTCATAACTATTTTATTTGATTAGGGCTGTCGAGTAAATTTAATAAGCGATCTTTAGTAAGCGATTTTTGATAAGCGATATTTTGAATTCTATGTCTTTGAAGAACTATAGAATCTAAATTCGAAATTTTTTTATTTTTAAAAAGCGTAAGCTGTAGACTATAATTTGAAAAAGAATCTCAAAATTTTAATAGAAAAAAAAGAGTTATTCTAAAATTAAATAATATACACCTATTTTTTTATTAGGGCTGCCGGTAAATTTAGTGAGCGAACTTTGGTGAGCGATATTTAAATTTCTTGCGCCACCAGAGGGTGAAGAAGTCTAAATACCGAGGTTTAACCGGCTACCGTAGGCTTCCACCAAAAAAAATTCTCTATCAGTTTGCAGGTAGCCGGGTAAACCTCGGTATTCAGACTTCTGTCACCCCTGGTGCGCTTTAATAATTATAAGACTAAATTCTAAAATTCTTCTTTTATTTAAAAGCGTAAACTTTACTCTATAATTTAAAAAAAATATCTTAAAAATTTAATAGAAAACAAAAAAGTTGTTCTACTCGTGCTGTCAGAGTGAGTTCTTTAATAGAGCGAGGACACCAATAAATCCTTCCACTTAGTCGAATATCGGTTAATCTATTGATGTCCTCACTCTACTCGTGATTCAAAAGAGTTGATAGAGGAGGACACCAAAATATTCCACTTAGCGGCATGTCCTTGATCTATGGTGTCCTCGCTCTATCAAAGACTCACTAACAAGTATTAAAGAACTTACTTCTGGATAGCACGAGTATATGTAAATAACGTACACCTATTTTTTTGATGAGGGGCCTCGGGAGGGCTAGCGGGCTGACTCAGCCGGTCTAACCAAAGAGCGTAGCGGACTCGAATTTATCCGATAAACGCCGAGACTCCGGCAACATAGGGCGAAATTTGTTGCCTCTCGGCGTTTATCGGATAATTGGCTGCATATACAAATTCAAGGTTTTATAGCTCAGCCCTACCTTATTCTTATCCGATAACCTCCCGGATCTAATGTAACAAATCTACCTCCACCCCCTGTTATTATACTATCAAGGCATTTACGAGGTAATCATAACTGGCAGGACTTGAAGGGTAGTCGTACGTGTGTTCAATGTCGCATAGACATTAAGGGAAGAGGTTTTGGTAGAGAGATTAGTGGTAATAGTGGTATTTCCCCAAGGACTAAGGGGGGGTGCAGTGTATGTAAAGTCTTCTTATGTCGCAAAGGGGACTGTGTGAAGCGATTTCATGATAGGGTAGTTGCTATGTAGTCTCTAGACTAGATACAAGCCATTCATAGTAGATTATATGGTGGGAGTGGAGTGGTGGTGGAGATGGTAGTAGGAAAAATGGATTTGTTACATGTGGGAGGTTATCGGATAGACTAATTCCGTAATAATGAAAGTACGCTAGTAGATAGCCCTAGCCCTATATATAAAAAAATACCACTTGATGGCTATCAAATTCATTTATTTCGCTCCAAATTAGCTATTTAACTTACCCTGACGTAGCCCAATAACCTTACGAAGTTGCAGTTCCTTTTACGCTTCACCTATATCTCCGAATTCCTACTACCACTAATAGCCACAGGAGTCAAGAGTTTGCTTCCCATTGGATTCGTCCTTGTACCAAGCCCGTAGAGCCTTCCTTTGACTATCTTTGATAGCCCTTCGTCGATTTTTATAGGTGAAGGGGCTATTAAAGGCCTAGAAGGCTTGTAGAAGTTTCAACCATTCCGTTAATTTGAAGAAATTATTCCGTTGTAGAGTTGTAGCGAGAGTTTCCCTTATTTGTATGGGATTTGTGTGGAATCTGCGGAGTTTCTCCGCTATGGCGAAAGTTCCGTTAACTCGAATTCCGCTATATCGAGCTTTGACTCTAGTACTGAGCCTTCTCACACGTAAGGAACGACCATGTCATCATCTCAACCGGCTATCTTTCACTAGATCTACCAAAGACCCTCGTCACATAGTCAGGCACAAGACCCACCAGCGAATCACCTCCACGCCCTGCAACCATTCTTGCCTTAACCCTTCCTGTACACAGCTTTTTCCCCTTCGTATCCCTGGCATCCGCATGCTCAGCGTAATGAAAATGGCCAAACGCGCAGGAAGATACGAGCTTCGTACACTTGTGCCTGCTTGTTGTGACGCTGAAAGTAGCCTTTGATTTGGGTTCCAGGGAAGCGTTAGCATGTTGATGATCGTACATGAGCCCGTCTGAACTATTGCTACCTGGTCCATCCTCCTCGGCCATATCCTCGGCCCCTACTGTTCTGAATATTTCCATTGAATGGCTGCTGTGTGCCACCACGGTCCCCATAAGGAAATTCACTGACATGGCCTAATTGCTGCTGACCCCAGCCGCCAAAGTTCTGCGGCGCTTGGCTTTGAAGGCCGGAGTGGGAGCCTCGTTGAGTTGCAGCTGCACCGTGATTTTGACCTATCTTGGGGCCTGTTGGTGGGGCCGGCGCCGGCACCGCGTTCACTCTGTTGAGGTTCGGCATGGGTGGTGGTGGTGGTGGCCACGGACCGTGATAGTTAGGAGGTGGCGGAGGAGGAATAGGAACCGCTCCAGGACCGAGTGGGAAACCTTTCGAGAATGGGTGTTGGAAAGGCATGGAAGATGGTGGGGAAGGCCTTCGAGCCTGTGTTTGTTGCATGGGCTGTGGACTTGCTGGCGGCGGTGGTCTTTGAAAGACTGAAACCGTCTGCGGCGGTGAGTACGGCGGAGATCTTGATCGGGAGCGGCTGCGCAGGCTGCGGTATCGTCTTCGCTCTCTTGATAAATTTCTTGACTTTGAAGATGGTCGCTGGCTATCCCGACGCCTCGAACCTTGATCTGATGACAATGAACTCGACCGACTTCTGTCCATGGTCCTGTCCCGGCTCCTGCTGCTGCCAGCATCGCTGTATCTTCTCCTCTTGCGGGGACTCAAACTTCTGTCGATGCTTCCAGCACGCCCCATAATCTTTCCAATATCTCCAAGGCCTACTCCTCTCTTCTTCATTTTCTCACAAAATGCTTTGGACCACCCATAGTATCCCTCGCCCTCCAAAATGTTCCCTGTGACCTCGTCGCCCAAGACTGACTGACCCAACTCATCGATATCCATATCATCTTGTCGACCTTCAAAGCCATGTGCATCTAGCGAATCCACGTTTTTCAAAAAGTCCTTCACCGCTTTCACCAGATTCTCATCTGCTGGTCCTGCTGTAAACTGCAGTGCTTTCACAAGCTGAGGGTTGACGGCTCTGGCTGAGTTCGGCATGACATGAGGCATCATGTTACCAGCAGGTAAGTCATAGAACGGGGTCAGAGGATCGCCATGGGAAGGTGGAAGAATATAAGGTGCATCTTTTCTCTCCTCGCTCAAGGCCTCTCCCGAGAGTTTTGTATCCTCGTCCGTGTTCGCGTGGCCAACTTTGGAAGCGGCGGAGGCTGTGTCTCTTAGTTTCTGAATGTATGAAGACTGGTAGTAGCCCTGCCCTTCCCAAATATCGAGGAGATCTGTAATACATTTGTGTTGCTTGACGTACACCTTCAAGCTGTAGGCAGATGCAGCTCCGAACAAATCCACAAGACAAGACTGGAAATTTTCATTCATTATAGAATATGCGGAAGGCGACTCGATATGGTATTTGGTGTGATGAAGCAAATCGTTCAATAGATACAAGACATGAAGCTGTCTTCGCGGTGCGGACGGAGCCGTCTCCCTGGCTGGCTTCTGATCATCTCCATATGCGGCCTTCGCAAATGACAGGGAAAGCGCAACGAGGTATTTCCCAATGGCGGTGGTCCGGGCAGCAGATGGTATGATGTTCTTCAGTAGCCAATCTTTACACAGCTGTTCTCAGGATTCCATTTAGCTATCTCATCATCCATTCAGATGTAGCCGTCAAACCTGGATGTTTGCCGAAGAGCATTGCCTTAGCACAGCCTCAAGGAGAGTGTGAAAGCGAGCAATTTCCAATTTGGGAACTGATGTCGGATCCGGTCTGATCATGCCAGCTGCTAATGATGCTTTGGCAATTGCCAAGGAGTGAGATGCCATTATGATTGGCAATACATTAGAATTACCCTAGCACAGCAGCAAGCCTGTAAGGTTCTTCGAATTGAAAATTGAAGGCATGAAGTACGAGTGAGTACAGATGAAGTGTAAGCTTTGCTGCTTTCCTCGGCAAAATGTTGGTCCGCTTTGAACATCGCCCTCGAGGACGGCCGAGGGGTCGGAATATCACTCCACTTATCCTCTATCGTAAGAGGGTCACTTCCACTGTCTACGACTACATCGCCGTGGGGAGAACGTAGACAAAGAGTTTAAAGATGGCGAGGACCATTGAACGACCAAAATTTGAGGTAAATACGCTTGATGCTTGCCAGCTGTCAGACCTTGACAGCATGGTTGAAGCCATGCTGTCATGACTCTTCCACACTGTCAAGTGGCCTGCAGCAGCATGCTGTGCATAAGGCACATATTCCTGTGCCACTCCCCGCGCAACTCCTGCACTCGTCAGAATTCTGATTCCGAAACTACTTCGCGGTGTTCATGAAATCCCTTCATACTTTTCGCGTAGACATTGTGACTTCGGTTAGTTGGAAAAGCAATTTTTTGCGCAATGCAGCTTTTTGCTGGTACCATAGACAAGGTGAATGCCTTTGAGTAAATCCGAACGCGGATGGGTGCTCAGCAAGCCAACGTCTTCAACGAGAGTCGATGGGAAGTCGCTAGGAGAGAATGACCGAAGTATGCGGTTGCTATCGATCGTCCATGGTGCAATTCCATCATAGGATTTTAGACGCGAAGGCGGTATGAACACCCCAGTGATGGCACACAATAGAAATGAATCCCCTAGCTAGTGCGGTGCCTGCCTTTCAGGGCTTTTTCATGACGAGTGTTGAGTTATTGCGATGGCCGCTACCAGCTGTCCTTGCGCCTTTAAGGTCCGTTGAATGTTTCCACCTTTCAGTGCGCAGAGTGCAGCCTCCTCTCTCAGTACCAACATATCAAACGCCATGCCCTACCCTCCACCCTTTAACTAAATCTATCACCTTTTTTTGATTTATAAGGCTTACTCGCGACATATCTGGCCTCCTCCTGATCCTTGATACCTCCATTTTCTAGAGGATGCTCCGTTGGCGCAGGATCGTGGCTGGCCTCGGTACTGGGGCTGTTGGCATGATCGTGCGGCCTTTTGTGGCCCTGCTTCGGGCTGGGAGGCTTTGCGTAGAACTCCGCGTCGAGGGCGTCCTTCAATCGCCGCCGCTTCATTTCCTCCTCGTGGCGGGCTTTCTTATCAGCATTTACGGAACGCTTAGCGAAGACGTAGGCACCTCCACCGGCTAGCATCGTAAATTAGCAAGAGACACACTTTAGAGTTCCAGCACTTTATACCAATGATCAAGGCACCCCAGCCAATCCTATAATGAATCTATGAGCTCCTTTAAATTGTCTTCCTGCGTCTAAGACCTACCATGTTGACCGGATCTGATTAATTAGCCGCTGAACTTGTAAGTAGGGAAGAAAACGTACTGTATTCATCTTTCACGGTGATTTAGTCAGACTAATGTTGTCGCGGAGGAGAAGTCCCAAGGAATTTCACTTAGCGCGATTTGAAGCCGCTAAGTCTTGGCAGACATTCCACACTGACTCAGCCAACTTCAGTTCATAACCAAGTCTTCTGCGGCAGACATGTCGCCGTAAGAAGTCGCAAGCTGCCACAGGACCGTCGTAGGGTTCTGTTACGGCAAGCACTGTTTAGCGTCGCAGCTGGTCCTCGTCCGCAAACAGTTATGGCATCTAAGCGCAAGGCTTCTACGACTTCACGAAACTCGAGACCTGCAAAGAGATCCGCCTCAGGTGCGGCTACACCTCAGAGTATTGGCAGCAGTGATGAGTACTCAGCCGACGGTTCAGAGGCCAGTGAAAGCGAAGCCGAGAACCTCAGCAAGGCCGTCAAGACATTCTCTGCCGACTCTTTGAAGAGCCGAAGTAAGGAGCAAAGTCGAACGCTTGATCGTGAAGCCAAGACTAGCGGCATCAGTAACCTGTCATATTTGAGTCTCAAACCTGATCACGAGAATCGCCCGTTATGGGTTGACGCCAAGAAGGCCAGGATTACTCTGGAGAGTTTCTCCCCTCTGGCTGCTCAGGCTCAAGACTTTCTGACGACGATTGCTGAGCCTTTGTCTCGACCGGAGTTTCTACACGAGTATGCCCTGACAGTGCATAGCCTTTATGCCGCTGTATCTGTTGGTCTTGTTCCTCAAGACATCATCAATTTCCTTGATCGTCTGTCAAAAACGCCTTTGCCGGAGGAGATCAAGAGCTTCATCCTGGGATGCACTCAAGCATTTGGAAAGGTCAAGCTAGTACTCAAACATAACCGGTATTTTCTTGAGACGCCTGATAACAAAGTGTTGCAAAGGCTGGTGCAGGATGAAGTTATTGGTGCTCAACGAACAGGGCAGGAAGAAGGCATCATCACAGAGAAGGCTCCGAAACTGGGTGGACTCGTCATTCCTGGCACTAAGGATGCTGCTGGCGTCAAACAGCAGCCCGGTTCTCAACAGCAGATCACGGATGGCCAAGGCGGAGTAGCCAAAGAGGATGATATCTACATGACTCTACGAGAAGATGACGACGACGACGACGATGACGATGAGAAGCATATTCATTCAGTAGAAATACCGGCAGGGGGCGTCGAGGCGGTCCAGAAAAGGTGCCTCGATCTTGGATATCCTGTTCTCGAGGAGTATGACTTTCACAACGACCAAGTCAACCCCAATCTGGATATAGACCTGAAACCAAATACCACGATTCGTACCTACCAGGAAAAAAGTTTGAGCAAGATGTTCAGCAATGGTCGAGCTCGCAGTGGAATCATAGTGCTACCATGTGGTGCAGGGAAGACTCTGGTAGGGATCACAGCGGCCTGTACCATCAGGAAAGGTATCGTGATACTCTGCACAAGCTCAATGTCTGTAGTACAGTGGAGATCAGAGTTTTTGAAGTGGAGCAATGTGTCCCCGAACGACATCGCAATATTTACATCTGATCACAAAGAAAGATTTTCGAAAAGTACTGGCATTATCATTTCTACGTACTCAATGGTCACGCAGACAAGGTCGAGGTCTTATGATGCAGGGAAGATGATGGAATTCATGCAAGAGAGGGAGTGGGGACTCATGATACTCGATGAAGTGCATGTCGTCCCTGCTTCTATCTTCAGAAGGGTCACGCATTCCATAGCAACGCATTCGAAACTTGGTCTTACAGCCACACTGCTACGTGAGGACGACAAAATTACAGATCTCAATTTCTTGATTGGTCCCAAGCTCTACGAGGCAAATTGGATGGAATTAGCTGACCAAGGACATATCGCAAAGGTACAATGTGCGGAAGTGTGGTGTCCAATGACGACCGAATTCTACCAGGAGTATCTACGAGAGACTTCTCGCAAGAGAGCGCTGCTGTACATCATGAATCCTCGAAAATTTCAGGCCTGTCAATTCCTGATTGACTATCATGAGAAGCGCGGAGACAAAGTCATCGTCTTCTCCGACAATGTCTTCGCTTTAAAAGCTTACGCCCTCAAGTTGAAGAAATTCTACATTTATGGCGGCACACCTCAAACCGAACGCCTGCGGGTGTTGGAAAATTTCCAACACAGCGAACTTGTCAACACCATCTTCCTGTCAAAGATTGGAGACACGTCACTCGATCTCCCAGAAGCGACTTGTCTGATCCAGATCTCGTCACATTATGGTTCCCGTCGCCAAGAAGCGCAGCGTCTGGGCCGCATTCTTCGAGCAAAACGACGAAATGACGAAGGATTCAATGCGTTCTTTTATTCTCTAGTGTCAAAAGACACGCAAGAAATGTATTATTCTTCGAAGAGACAGGCTTTCTTGGTCGATCAGGGCTATGCTTTCAAGGTGATCACGCATCTGCAAGGCATCGAGAACCTGCCCGGTCTAGCATACGCATCACCAGCAGAGAGAAGGGAGCTACTGCAGGAGGTTATGCTGCAGAACGAAACATCGGCAGACGTGGAAAAGGTGGACGACGATCTCTTCTCGGCACGCTCCAGCGGTACTAAAGGAAAAGGTGGCATGGTCGGCAAGAAAGGCGCGAAGCGGACGGCGGGCATGCTCAGTGATCTCAGTGGCGGCCAAGATATGGCCTACATCGAGTACAACAAGAGCAGGAACAAGGAGCTGAAGGGCAAGCACAACCCCCTTTTCAAAAAGATGGCCCGGGAGCAGCAGAGGCGGAAGCAACAGCGGCTGGAGGAGAATACGTAGCATCCAAACCATTGAATTTAATTGCATAGCGATGGCGTTTGCAGGAGGATAGTCCTTGCTTGAGGGGACGTTTGCAGGGAAGAATAGAAAGCAAGTGAAACAAAGAAAAAAGCAACTAGACCCTCTCTGCCCTCAACCCAATCATGGAAGATCCCTTTCGGACACGTGAAGATGGCGACTTCTCGGCACTTTCTCGGTGCCGAATCTGGCGGTACTTTGGTAAGCAGGATACACTACCATAGTGCAGCTACGCCTATGGTAGGTAGGGATAGTTTCCTGACCACTCACCTTTTTATGCCAGCAGGCAAGCAAGCGGTAGGACATGATCAGGGAGGGACCAGAGCGAAATGATGCCAGCAGTGTTCAGGCAAGCAAGCAGTAAGACGTCATCAGACAGCACCAGAGCGGGGAAAGCATCTGGTACAACATACCTGGTGTTGAAAATACCTATTCTTTCCCCTTTCCCCTTTTGCATTTTGTAAATCTCCCATGGCAAAAGATGGATTGCGCTCCTTGATCATCCTCTGATACGTCCAATCTGCCCCTTCTTCTTCTCGTCTAGGTAAAGAGGGCATCGGTCGTCTACAGAATCCGTAGCCTCCGGCATCATACCAACATGTCTGCCTCAGCTTCACAAGTGAAGCTGTCTCCAGACCATTGTGGCATATTCCATCTCCCCGGTGTCACGAAAGAATCTGCGGCCAAGGCATCCGATGTCTTGCAGGAGGACCTCGAGAACCACCATTGTTTCTTCAATGCGTCTGGTTTCCACAGTAGGTCTGCGCTTCGTATTACTTCTTCCTGGCTTCGGTCCACCATTAAAGATCGGTGTCCGGCTTCTCTGACGCGCGGCTATAGATCACATTCCTCATCACATTCTTACATTGTATGCTCTCGGCGCGGGTCCGGAGCTGATACAGAAGCATTATGAAAGCAACAAACAATATCAACGACCCCTGCAGCCAATCACCGACTCCATACTGGAGGATCTTCATGATAACGAGAAGTTTCGAGAGTATTTGGGCAGCGGTCGCTACTACCATGAGTGGCTTGTCTTCTTTCAAGGCGAGATAGACAAGAAAGGCTACGAGGTGGTCATCAATGAGTATTGCTTGAAAGGTGATGAGCGGGCAGATGATATGCTCGTACGCTTACACGGCGGTAAGCTACCACTCCTTGCGCCTGACAATTGGAGAGATACCTTCTAATACTATCCAAGGTTTCCTCCATCCGTGAGTGTACCCATGGAGCAGTTCGTTTCCGAATGACATCGTATCTCGAATCGCAAGACACGCTCCAAGAGCAAACCACCCACTGAGCTTGCCTCACAGCCCATATCTTCCCCTAAAGAAGCCATGCTGACTCCTGAATTTGTAGGATGATTCACTTAGGCTTCGGAGTCGAATTTAAACAGCCAGCAATCGTTGCTGAAGCTCTTGCTCAAGCAGCCGTACATGAGTCATGGCTAGGGCCATTCATGCTGGATGCTGAGAAAGCGGCCACTTCAACCGGTAAAGGCAAGCCGATGGTAGAGCTATTGGATGAAGTACGTGCAAACAAAAAACTCAGTGAAGCCGCCCAGTGGGACGACTCGAACAAAATCCGAGATGGTATTCTGGTCCGTGCACCCGATGAGATGATAAGCATCGCCAAAGAATGGAAGGTAATGCCAGGTGCAGTAATCGAGAAGACAGGCGAAATGACGAACGTGAGTTGTGTTTCCGCAATCAGTTCTTCCTGATTCGTGCTGCATTTTGAGTTGCAAGACTCGTCGCAGGAACAAAACACTCCCGGAACCGATTTCACGACTCCGATTTGACACGAGCGAGAAGGGATCTACTGACTCCAAGATTCTTCAGGCGGCTGTCTATTATACCGGAGGAGCCCAGTATCCACCAAAGCCGATAAAATTCGACTTTTACTACATGCACTGCGTCAATTGCTCAATATTTTATGACGCATTCTCAAAGCAGGCGACTTGGATAACCGACGAGAATAAGGCTCGTCTCTTGGAGTGGAAAGGACGACTCGACCTCTGTATGTATGCTTCCAGAAGGTCACCAAAGCCGAGAATGGACATCATCAACGACTATGAACCCAAGCACCCGGAAACAGCGAAAGACACTGTTGTTGAAAAGGATTCTTGGGACGGCATTGTCACCCGTGTACTCCACCTCGACGACGATGGCCATGCTGCTAAACTCGTCAGAGCTCTCGCACACGCGGAGAACATCTGTGCAGCGTATAGTATGAACGACCCTCTTTTCCGTATCAAAGGCGACATGTGGTTGCAGCTCGGGCATATGGGTAAGCTTCCACAGGATCACTCCTGGGATTGGCTGACCATATTCTTAGCGATCGACAGTGTAGAAGGCGCAGAAAACACTGGAGGTGCTTGGGTCAGATCAGCAGGATTCCCACAAGCTTGGGAGCAGTAAGTTATATCTGGCTTCCTGCTAGTGTTCCGGGCCGTCAATCTGGTCAAGCTGCTGACTCTGCGACTGCAGATTCGAGGACCATCCCCGGGCACAGGTTTGAGGCCAATAATTATAGCTTACCTTTGTTCTTCGTATCTGATTGCAGTGGTCAAGGATGTAAATATCTATTGCGCTGTAGATTTGGCGGCTAAGAAAAAGGCAATCTGCTTATTTTTGGGTACGTGTTCCATAATGTGTGTAAATGTGGGGATTACCCAATGAACGAAGATGTGGTTGGGCTGTAGCCCTTTCAATCTGCTAAGCAGATGTAAGAATGGACTGATCAAGCAAAGCATTCTGCGATGTACGTGCGGAAAAAGACCTGGAGTCTCTGGGGCTCGCCCGGGATTACGGTCCTATCTAGATGGATATGTAAAGGTTCGATAACCGACCGAAATTTGACAGCGCGAACCGCGCGGTGGACATCCAATCATCCACTTTGCCCTACCAAATGGTGTCTGAATATATGGCCCGGCCCCTTCGCTATGTTCTAGGAATCATTACTGCTGCTGTACTACCACAGTCGCTTTACTTCGTAGCGCTCCTCTTCCTCTTGGAAGGATTCCACGATGAGGACCGCCCCTGACCACGCCTCGTCCTCCTCTACCACCTCCTCTGCTATCTAGACTTGCTGGGGGTGGCGTATTTGCATATGATCGTGACTGGAAGGCTGAATTGGTTTGAGCCACAGCATTGTCAGCCTCGGCGCCGTCCAGCCTTGCATAAACGTTTCGGTTGATTTGCTGAGAGTTAGGACCGCCACTCGTGCTATTTGGCTGTCCACCTCTTCCACGAGAGCCATTAAATTGCGCGGACGGTTGATTGCGTATTGGAAGTGTTTGCTGTTGCCCATCCTGCCCATCGATACGGCCGGGACCACCTCGACCCCTCGGGGCTCCACCACGAAATCCATTCGACTGTCCAGCCACGGCTCCTCGGAAAGATCCTCGAAGAGGTCCTGGCACCTGTGCTGGAACTAGTTGCCCTCGACCGTTTGGTCCAAGGGGCGCTCCGTATACATTTACGGTTAACCGCTGCGTTTGAGCTTGCGGCCGATTTTGCTCGCCGGCACGAGATCCGGCGACCACCTGACGATCCGTGAGATTTAATACAGTATGAATAGGTACGGTAGATCCTCGAAACGGCGAGCATCTGTTTTCCAAGGATGTACCACTCATAAAGGTGACATCAAAGACGACATCGAGAAGAACAGTCCTTGAGGTCCGCGTCTTCCCAACGACTGTCCCGCGTGTTGCTATCGGCACTCGGCCTGAATCTTGGACATACACTACGCGATCGCCAAGCGAGAATCGCTGGTGACTCAGTCTTTGCTCCGCATCTGAGGGTTTCAATAGGGCGTTCCTAGGTGCGCCATTGATTTTCTTGTTGACACCTTTTCCCGGTGGATCCATCTGGAAGGCCTGATCGGCAGCCTGCTCGATCTTGCCGACTGCTTCAGAGTCCAGCTGCTCTGCGTCCAGAGGTACTTTCTCAAAGCTTTTGGATTCAATCTCCTTGAGCCAAGTCTGTATGGCCTTTATCCTATCCTTCGCTTCGGATTGAGGGTAGAAGTCAGTGGCGTCATAAACGTTGCCTTGCGAGTTCCGTTGTATTCCAGCGATGAATTCCGGGAACTTGATCATGTATTGTTGTATCAGCTGGACTGCCTTCTCGCTGAACTCCCAGCCGGACGTTTTTCGCGAGTACCCAAGCACCTTTAGTTTCTTCGCTTCAAATTTCAGATTCAGGCCCAGATTGACCCTATTATCATCAAGAGCCACTTGGAAAGAAGAGGTAATCTTGCTGAGGACGAGAGGGTTCAGGCCTAAAGTTTTTGCAACCGCGAACGAAGGGGTGTAGTGCGAGTGACGGTCTGCATCCTTCACTATCTGACGGCCGAACTCTGGGACTTTTGCTGCCACAGTCGAGACCCACAGGTCCGCTTTGTTCGCTGTGTGGCCAACAACCTGTAAAGGCCTGCCGTAATTGAACTCCCCAAGGAAAAAAGCTCTTGATCCTATGGGAAATTCTTCTTCTATTGAGAGTGCAGCCTTTTCCAAGAAACGCGGGTCTTCGCTGGCTACTTCCTCTACCACGGTTTGCGAAGCATAATCCGTTTCTATACCTTCTATGTGTGCGTACTCCTTGACGGTGGCCCCGTCATCAGTCTTCTTTAAACCTTTCAGAGTGTCGACGTGGACGAGTGATTGGATTCCCCCAATCATCATTCCTAATCTCTTGCTGTAGACAGATTCGATCCGCTCGGCTTTCCTATGCCACATATCGATCTCTTGGGGGCCGTGAGGTACCGCAATTGGCTGACCTGCACCATTCTCGGGCATGCTATAGTTGAACAATTCATCGGAGACCCGGATGACTTTGGCTTCGGATAGAAAAGGGTAGCCAATATGGACTTTACGACCAAGCAAAGACTTTGCGGCTTCGACCTTTGTCCGCGGCTCCGGCTCCAGCAAGGCGATGACCATACTCTCGTTTCTGCTGTCTTGTTGGAAGATGTTCACACCATGGAAATCAAGGTTTCCCGCGAAGGGTAGCGTGTTCAAGCTTGGAAAGCCAGCGAGTGCAGACTCCCCAAGTTTGACACCACGCATTAACCCGACATGATAATCCAAGCCTTCCATCGTTGGTAGATCGAAAATGTTCTCCACACAGTGGCAATTCGATATATCGGGAAATATGCCAACAAGAGAACTAGGATAGGTAAATTCAACATCTCCCGAGTAGGAAAATCTCAACGACACTCCGAATTCGTTGCGATCCTTTTCGGCTTGGGATAGCATATGTTCCTTGGTTTTCATTGCTGGCAACAATCGACGCTCATCGATGAAAGGAATTTTGACTACCGCCTCCCATTCCATCTTCTTGCCGTTCATGTCCAATTCAAAGTCTCGAGGATAAAAATCGATGATGGGCGATTTAGGATTTGTCATAAGATCGTGATAGGGTGTTGGTACAATGGTCTTGCTTCGGTCAGGTAAGACGCCCATCAATTGCTGATATGGTCTGAACGGCTGTCCTAGCTGAAAGTTTATGTCTGCGTTCAAGCCCAGTTTGACATCTATAACGTGTCAGTAGAAGCACTGAGGATTCGCAGCGGAGGGAAACTGAAAGAGCGCTTACCCGATATCATTGGAGAGTAATGGTACCCGTAATACCACGGCCAGGATGCCACTCCACGGTAGTAATACAATAGCACCCACTGCAACCCCTGAACGTAATTTTCTGTCAAGTTGCGCATTTCTGTGTCGTTTTCCCGGCCCCATCCGAACTTGTTCTTATAATATTTGTCTTTCCAAGTCTGAAATTTCTCCTCGTACTTCTTGTCCACTTGCTCCTGCACTTCTTCTGGCGTGATGTCGACTACCTTAGCATTATCGTAGCGTTTGATGACACGAAGCAATGCGATCGATGCCTCCTCATCTTCCACATCCTCATCATCTTCGTCTCCTTGAAGTTTGCTAGGAAAGTCGAGCTGCAAATGTTTTTCACCCTCATCATTTGCCACGCTCTTCCATTGCAAATGGAAATCTTCAGCCAGCTCTTGGACAAATTTCCTATCTCTGGCATTCAAGTTTGGAGGGAACTCGAAAGAAGCCTTTGGAATGGAAGGATCATTGGACCGACTGCTGACGTATTTCTTCACTTGCTTGAACAGGTCCTTCTGATGACTAGACATCGACAAAGGCGCTTTTTTGTTCCTCCGCCCGTCTTTCTCCATGACATCCACCTTTCCCATTTGTTTTCCTTTGAACCAACTTTCATCAGCACTCTCGGATTCGAAAAAGCGATATTCTACGTGAGAAAGTTCCTCCAAGAGAAGTGCTAGCCGCGCCATGTTGATAGCGCCGCGTTCATTGATGTAACCACCAGCTTTCGGTAAGACGGATTTATACACCTTGAACATGAGAGCCAATGCCCCTTCGTTAATATGCAGGTTCGGAAGGTTTGGCAGAAAGTCATTCCCAACAAAGAAAGCCATCAAGATAAAGTCGTCTATGACTCGTTCCATGTCAAAAGGGATATCCAGAACAGATGGTTCCTTTAGCTCCTGAAACTCCAACTCCAAATACTCTCTGACAATGCACAGGTGCATCAAGTAGAAATTCTGATGCTCCAGTTCCTTGGATTTCTTCTGGGTCGCTCGACCGAAAGTGACCTCCTCTCGCAGCAAGCAAAAATGAGGGTCGTGGCTGAGCAGGCCCAACATGATAAGGTCCGCGTCAAGGCCATAAAGACAATGTCTGATGTTAGCATCATACTCTGGCTGAGCTTTCGCAAGTCTGATATATTCCATAATTTTGTGCTCTCCTTCCCCAGGTACTTCGTGCCCTGAAAGCACAATCTCAACGCCCTGCCAGTCAATGTCCTCTGAAATCTTTTTGTTGATGAAATATTTGAGTTGTCGTGTCAGCTTGGCCATGAAATCCGTCCCTGTGCCTGTAAGCTCTTTGCCCGAGTTTTGCGCCATTAACATAGATCGGCCTTACCCGGGGTGATGCAATTGCTATCGAAAGCATCCTCTGTGGGCATCTCGACACCTTCTCGCAACGCCTTCTCCTTTGCTTTCTCGGCGTCCAAAGCCGTTCTGAATCGGCGAGCTCGCTGCTGGTTCATCTTGGCACGAGGAGCAACACCATCAATCGCCATGAAAAACAACTTTCTTGGCCGGATCTTGCCGAATAGATGTTCAATGTAGTTGAAAATAGCAATGAACATCTTCTCCTCGGTCATGCGATATGTAGGCGAATCTGAATCGTTGTGGGTACAGTTGTGTATGATGCCGTTCATGTCGAGGTCTAGAGACATACATCAGGCGCTGTAATCATCCTCATCTGTCCAGGTCTGCATAGCTTACAGAGATTGTCAAATTCAGGTATCCGGTTCTCCGCTATGAGTTGAGATATTGCCGGATACCTCTCGCTCATCCTGCGCAATGTAAGTATTCAATCCTCCTTCTGAATGACAAGGGTGGTACCATCTGAAGAATTTAGGAACACCCATCTTGACGTTTTCGTAATGCTGTCCGAGAGGCTATTGTCTGGTCAGAATGCCAATATCCGTCAGAAGTCCATTTGTGTTTGTGTGTACTCACTGCCTCATCAGCCTCTTCACTATATATGGAGACAGAAAGTGAAGGGTCTGTGTGAATTATGAGAAAAGGTCTGGTAAGGAAGCTGGTTGCATCTCAAGGCATGCCACTGCCCGCACTAGGCTACTTTCGTTCACGCGCTGGGAACCGCGCTGCTGCGCGTAACCCCAGATTGACTACTTTACTGCTTTCTGCAATACCTAGTACCCATCATCCAAATTCTTACCCTGTCAATTTCGAAGACTTTCAATTCACACCAAGCGTAGACGATAACTGTGATCTGCCTTCCAGCTGGTACTCTACCATACGGCTTGGACTAGGGATCTGCGATCCTCTCCTTCACGATGGAGAACGGTGGGGATCACGAGCTCGGCAGTAAAGAGACTGTTCCTTTTGCCAGCAGGTCTTAGACTGACATCTTGACTGCAGTGACCATCGACGAGGAGCGAGAAGAGGAGCAAATGGAGGAGAAGATTGTCAATGAAGAATATAAAACATGGAAAAAGAATGCGCCCTTTCTCTACGATCTGATGCTCAGCACCGCTCTTGAATGGCCTACACTCACGACACAATGGCTGCCAGATAAGCAAGAGTACGTTTAAACAGGCTGCATAGAACAAGCATCCCACTCACAAGGGCAGGATTCCAGAAAAGGATTATGCAACTCATCGACTTCTTATTGGCACACACACCTCCAACGAAGCTCAAAACTATTTACAGATAGCTCAAGTACAACTGCCGAAGCCGGTCACCCCCGATGCAGCAGATTACGATGAGGACCGGGAAGAGATTGGCGGATATGGGGGCGGAGCTTCAAAGAATTCACCAGTCATGGAAGTCAAATTCAACATTGTTCAGAAGATAAATCATCCAGGCGAGGTCAACAAAGCCAGATATCAGCCCCAGAACCCAAATATAATCGCAACATTGTGCGTGGATGGGAGGGTCATGATATGGGACAGAACAAAACACCCCAGCCAGCCCACGGGCAACATAAATCCGCAAATGGAGCTCCTGGGTCACGATTCAGAAGGCTTTGGACTGAGCTGGAGCCCCCACCAAGCGGGACATCTCGCTACTGGGAGCGAAGACCAGACAGTAAGATTATGGTGAGTCCGCAGAGTATGCCGTTACCTTCGACTTGCTCACTTTCTAGGGATATAACGAAGTTCACCACCAGCAACAAAGCTCTTCACGCTACTCGAACCTATACCCACCATACCGCCATTGTAAATGACGTTCAACATCACCCTCTACATGCTTCTCTAATTGGTACCGTCTCTGATGATCTCACCCTCCAAATTCTCGACACTCGCTCCCCCTCGACCGCATCCTCCGCAACACAGGCCATCGACGGACACCAAGACGCCGTTAACGCCTTATCTTTCAACCCAGCTAGCGAGTACGTCCTGGCTACAGGTTCAGCCGACAAGTCGATAGGAATATGGGACTTACGGAACCTGAAGTCAAAATTGCATGCTCTTGTCGGTCATAATGACTCGGTTACATCGCTTGCGTGGCATCCCTTCGAGGAAGCCATTCTCGGAAGCTCGAGCTATGACCGGCGCGTAATATTTTGGGATCTCAGCCGCGTGGGCGAGGAGCAGACGCCTGATGATGCAGAGGATGGCCCACCTGAGCTGTAAATATATCCAACCCCATCTAAAGGCTGACTGGGAGGTGAGGCTAACTTATGAAGACTGTTCATGCACGGCGGCCACACAAACCGCATCGCCGATTTCAGCTGGAATATGAATGATCCGTGGGTTCTCTGCAGCGCAGCGGAGGATAATCTGATACAGGTCTGGAAGGTAGCAAATGCGATTGTGGGGAAGGATGCGGACGACGTGCCTATTGAGGAGCTGGAGTAATGAAGCGTATCTTTTCGGAGCTGATCTCATGTAGCATGCTGGATACCACAGCACCTTACATACTACACAGAGCGCTAAAGGCGGTCACCTTCTCAGAGATACCATGGACTTTCTACCATAAGTGATGGATGTGATTCCTAATGTACGTGAAAAAAGTCTCCGCTACCTAAAGGCCGTATGAGTGAATAGCTACATCATCAAACGCACTGAGTGGAATCCATAGCCCTACGAGCAGAGAGACAGAGTCATAAAACCCCCCCCCCCCAAGAGCAAAAGTGTTTGCCTTTCGACCAAGCTATGCTACCTAGGGTCTAATGCTACCGTCACCAGACCCCATGCTTAGCCAAACTCCATAAAGAGAACATTCAAAGCTTCTAGGACCAAAACCAGCCGCTAGGTTTGTTCACTTTGGTCTCCCTGTCCTTCCCAGTGTTCCTAACATCCTCACCTTTGATAGACTTTGACGCAGCATCATGTGTCTGGCGGACAGCATTCTGATGTTGTACTGTTTCCGTGTTCTCTTCGCGCCCGTCCGAGAAGCGTTTTATGAGCACAACCTTGGTGTGTACGCTACCGTCTTGGAGAGTAGTCCGCTCCGTAGTGGTGAGGGTGGAGAGTATACTCGGGTTTCTAGTGTCTGTGTCGGACGGAGAGGAGTCCTGTTGGAGATGTGCAAAGCGTCGAGCGGCGGCCCTGGCAGTACCCTGTGATGTTGGCCGCTGAGAGCCAAAGAATCTGTCGTACACGTCCAATTCCGTAACCCCAGCATCACGTTCCTCATCGAGATCATCATTGTCCGCGTCTTCTTCCTCATCAGCGTCATTCTCCGGCTGCCTTGCGTTGGTAAAGCGTGACAGAAGTCCGAGATCCTGGTTTGTAGCCTCTGACGTCTTGCCAGCAGCACTGCTCGATTCCTCGGTATCTTCTACTTGTTTGCATATTGCCAAATCTATCATTCCTCTCACCCAGTCGACGCTGCTTTCCGGCATTCTCTGCGAGCACTTAGGTGGTAGTTCCTGACCATTTTGCACAGCTAGCAGATCCTCGAACGCTTCTCTCCACTTGGCGCCGTGATCGCAAAGATGGGGTTGCTGCTCGAGCCGCACAGGCGAATATGGGCTGTAAAGTAGGTAAGCTATTGGAACAGAGGGCAGCTGCTCCCCAAGCACTGGAGCAGTAAGAATGTTACTTGGGAGACATAGGCTGAAGGTAGCAAGTGAGAGATAAGAGCGGGTAGCATCGTCCATGAGGCAAATGTTAAGGCCTGGCTTCTCCAACGGAAGTCCCTCCTGCTCAGTCGGTCTGTAAGGGCATCTCCGAAGTTCACTGTCGTCACAACTAGTGGGCTCCTGGATGTCTCCCTGGATAGCATGCTGACCCTCCTTGTGGGCTCTTGTATACACGTCCATGATCCTCCCCGCTTCATCTGCTTCGCGGGCAAGGCATTGTGATGACTCTCGTGCCTCCTGTAACCATTTCTCGTAGTCCTGAACTGAGCGGCGAGGAGTGGTCGAAGGAGATGCAAACAGTGAGGATATACTGAAGACACCGTTCATGAGAGTCGACATCTGGTCGTCGGCAAATCGGCGGAAGGCAATGAACGGGTTCGCGTCGTCCTGTGCTTTCTGACGTGTATTCTCCTCGTCGGAGGGTGCCATGGTAGGATACAAAATTGACTCCAGAGGATATTTGGGACAAAATGGGAAGTGATCGAATGTTGCGTTCGAAGACAGTCAAGGTCAAATCTAGGTGCGAGGTCGAGGGGTATCATTACATAGTAATAACCAAAAAAATTTATAAATAAATTAATATCACTACCAAAAATCATACGATTTAAACATAATATTATATCTTAAATACAAATAAACAATATTATATATTACAATCTATAAATCTTTATCCACTATTAATTATTAAAAACTAATAATTACATACTTATTAATTACAAAAATAAAAATCCAATAAATTATTATTACTAACTCAAAGAGACTAAATATAAATAGTAGATATAAATACTATAGGTATAAAACTTACATTAAATACTAATTAAAAACTAAGTTCTAAAATTAATAAATATAAATTAAAAACAACGATATACTATAAAACAAAAGCCAATTAAAAGATATAGCTTCAATAGCATAAGGGCTATACATAATACCATATTCTATAAAACCAAAATAAAAGTTAAGAATCTTAGAGATATATTAGTTATAGTGTTAAATTAGCCAAACCCCACCATCTTATAAATAACTATTACAACCAACCTATATCGAAAATAAAATACATAAAAAAAAAAACGAAGATCTCAAAATTCTAAGAGAAAAAAGTTTATAAGGAATTTCGTACGGAGTTCCCTATATAATTAGAATAATATATTAATATACCTAATAAATAATATCCGCCAATACTATATATAGTATAAAGAATTAATAACCTATCTTAAAAAAAAATATTCTAGTAAGACTAATATAAATAGTATAAGTTACGCTTTTAAAGAGAATAATTAGAATATATAGAAGAAAAGTTTAAGTTTAAGCACTACTATAATAAGTATATAAAAGATTAATCGATTTAATACCGATAACTATATATTCTCTAGCGAGCTTATAATCGAAACTAGATATCCACTTCATAATATTAGATAGAAGTCTTTAAATATCTTTAACCTATAAATTAATAGAAACGTTTCGTTAGAGTATTAGAAGTTTCTCGACTAATAATAGTAAGATTAATTAAAGAATAGAATATTCGATCTGGCACGATTATTACTCTATTAAAACCATAAAGATAATTATAAAGTAAGATTTAAATATATTCGATAGTATCTAATATTATTCGATATTTAGAAGAGGCGTTTAGAGAGAAATTAGTAATAATAGTAAGGAGTATTAAAGATTAGAGGGGATACCTATATATAAATCTCTTATATATAAAAAACTATAAAAACAATTCATAATAGAAAGGATTAAATAGAGTCTATAGAATGATCAGATTAGAGTAGATTATAAGTAGTTATAAAGATAGTATTAATAATATGGTAGAAAGCATTATACCTCGGGCGGTTATCGAATAATAAAGATAACTATCTTTAAAAAAAATATCACAAAAATACAAATATCTAAGTTCATCTAAGAAACAATAGAATATATAGAGAAAAGTTTAAGTTCTAACTACTACATAATAAGTATATAAAGATTAACGATTAAATCAGTAACTAAACTTCGGCTTATAATAAATTAAATATCTACTATTAATATTAGATAGAATCTTAATATCTTAACATAAACAATAAAAGTTCGTTAGAAGTATAGAAGTTTAGCTAATAATAAGATTAATTAAAAAAGAAGATATTCGATCCGCCACCCGATTATACTATAAAATACATAACAATTATACAATAAATTAAAACTATACAGTCTATATTCATTACATCAGAAAGGCGTTTAGCAGAAATAGATAAAGAGAAAATGAGTACGCTATGAAAGCTCTTATATGTAAAGAACTATATAAAAATTAATAGGAGGATTAAAAGAGTCTATAGATGGATAACAAGTAATAAAGTAATGGAGTGTAGTATTAATAATAGTGGGGCGGTTATGTATAGACGCGGGCTGTCTCAAAAGGCCGAGATGCCGATCCTTCGATTGGCTACGAGTGCCCGTTTCTTTCCTCCCCTCCAGAATTGTCAGAATTGTTATTATATAAAGTACATGTACCTACGTACCTAGGTACAGACTCTCGGGCAAATTGGCAGGATTCTACCTCCAATCATTTGCTTGTCTTGTACTTGCTACTCTAAATACGCTACATCATTACGCAGCGGCAAAGACGCCATCTGCATCATAGTGGTGATTGCGGTGAGAGGATTGCCATTCATGTGTCTTAGGCGTATTTGCATTCCATCTCTGGATATGCTGTTGACGATTTTAGGACCCAAATGGAACCGAGCGATATTTTTGCTTTCGAGGTAAGGAAGAGCGCGTAGGGGAAGAAAGCTCCGACAGAGGGAACCGCTAGTCTCAAAGGCGGAGACACTCACACTCATACTACCTTTCTTCTCGTCATCACGAAGCAGGTACTGAGATCTGGCGCCTTGCTCTTCTCTTCGCCAGCCTGCGTACCCTCATCCAAAACTTCTCTCCACCCTTTCCAACCACTCCGGCTCTTCAGACGATGCCTGGTGTAGGGATCCCCGAGCACGTCAACGTCACCCAGATCACAGTTCCTGTTGTGTGGACGAACCACCTGAATAGGCGTGAGCAGTCCGCTCAACAACAGACACATTAGAAGGTGCTTACATATAATATAGGCCAGTATAGCCACCGCTGGAGCTGTCATTCATTCTCAAAGCCCAATTTGTCACAAACGACCACGGTATACTGGTTGACGTACACCATATTTTCAACTGGAAAAAGGCCGAGTTTGCCGTGAACAAGTTGCCGGCTTTGCTATTGAGTCTGGCCGGTAAGGAGGCAGCTGCGCTTTGTTGACTCATGGCAGACGCCTGTCTCTTGATGTTGCTGTAGAAACTAGAGCAAGGTTTATCAGTGAATGATATGCTGTTGCAGGAAGAGGATCGCTCAGGAGCTCATACGACTCAAGAGCCTGGGCCGCTGATTCCACAGGCACCAGCGCGTAGTATTTGATGACGTGCATAGTCCATTGGCCAAGTTCCGTTGACACGAGATCATTGATATCAACGCGTTTGGCGAGCGGACGTGGTCCGAGAGTACCGTCGGAAGAAAGAGATACTTGCTCTCGCTTGGTTTCGACATCATCGCCTTTTCTGGTAAGCAATGGCGTATGTGGGGTAGCTGAAGAGATGACTGTGAGAAAGGCAAGGACAGCTGACAGCGCTGAGACAGGGCAGACATTGATCAGGCGCATTGTTGAGCACCTAGAAACTGTTGCCAGCTCCAGTAGAGACAGAAAAGCTTACTTGTCTCTCAAAGTTATGTCTTCGTTTGTGTTTATCCCTCACTGGTGATTCCGCACTGGCGCCCACGCGCCATGAGAGGTGCCTGGCGAAACTGTTGATGGGTCGCAATCAAATTTGAACTGATAGGCGGCTGTATGTTTCATCGGAGATTTCCCGTCGGAACTGCATTCTCCTCTCAGCACTTGATTGCTCCCAATTTTCATGGTCGCAAAAGAATGCTGGTGGATGTCGCGACACCGCGACACCGGCGCTAACCAAGATCTTTGACATGAAGGAAAAAAGGTGGAATTGCTCTTGAACAAGTAGGCAGCAATTCGTGCTCTATCGAAGAACTCACGACAGAGATTAGTTCATCAAATGAATGGAATGAAAGCATTAAATTGGCCAGACAAAGTGGGACGAATGACCTAGCGTTGTGGAAGTAGACGATCATCGGAGAGCAAAAACCCAGTGGAGGGTAAAGTCTGCCATTTCTTATCATCAAGGAAAACCCTAGCATACAGAGAAGGACAAACTGTATCTCGAAGATATCTGAAGTATTGGGAGTTCTTGGGCAGGCCTCACAATCTTGCCTCGAGCCTGAGGATAGGCTTTCAGCATAGCAAAGTGCTCCCCAAACCTTTGGGATCAAATAGGTAGAGGAATAACGGCATTCTTTGTCAAATAGAACGAATCCGATTCTCTGATGTTCTAAGTCTATGATCGCCTCATCATCTCGTGTCGTGGATATGCCAAAACGTTAGTCTTCTGGCGTTGTACTGGAAGCTTCCATCCAGTTCAATATCCCACTCTGCTCACTTTGTTTCGAGTAAGCTTAACCCTGGTGTCGTTTGATCAGCCCTCCAGAGAGCAATTTCGATAGTGAAGAGTGCTTGTTTCCCCTGTCTTGCGGGACCGAGATGAATGTTGCATAGTCGCATATGCGAGTGCATGTGTGTGCACTCCCCTTCTTCTTTTACCTCAAATCAATCCCATCCTCATTCCTAACCGCCCGTTCGTTCTTTTCTCGGTAGCTCTAGCATAGCCTTTTCATACGTTGCTTCAATTATATTCATCTGTCGACCCTGAAGTTCTCAACTCCGATGGTGCCGAGAACAGCAATCGCCCTCCTATCAACTCGCACAGTATGTTCTGCATGGACGTTGACCTTCGAATCCTACACCCTAGTGCGCCATAGTGCCGCCGGGTTCGCTTCGACGCCATCGGGAACTGCAAAAGAAACCATGCGACAGAGGTACATTACCACTTCCCCTTCCTTCCCGACAGCAAGCGATGCTGACAGTAGCAAACCGCACAACAGAGTCTCAACGGTCTCATTCCTGCTTTCACTGAGGTTTCCAGGGCCCCTTCCCAGAACCGAACTACCCTTGTACATATACTTCCTCATCATTCCACTATTCCTACCAGAAAACCGCCAGTCAAAAAGCATGATTTTCGGGAGTAAAGGTCTCTTACACCCTCAACCCAATTAAGCGTAAATCGCCTAGTATTCGCATGAAAGAAGCAAAGTCCTGACCCAGTTCTGGTTCTTTAGGTTCCGGACGTGTTTTCGAACAGCCCGACATTGATGATGGTCCGCAATATTCATTGAATCTGAGGTGTAAGACTAGTAGATTGGAGTGTAGTAATAGGTGCGATATGTGGGGAAGATTAACGATTAGGAGGAGGCGAGATGGGCCAGAGCACAAAAAATCAAACGTTCCATTATATGCGTGGGCTTTCATGAAACTCTCGAGTGAGGAGAAGGCACTTCTCGACTGGAAAAAAATGGTTCGATAATGACGACGCATGTTTGGTATGTACTGTTGTTGCGGGTTATATTACGGCAAGAAGCCAGAGATACGGGTAACGCTAGCGTAATACCACCTCCTGAAGCTGTAAGGTACACTTACGTCAACCTAAGCTGCAACGTGTTTTCGGCTTCACCTCCGTGTTCCTGTTGAGATGCATTCGACCCTAGTCAGGGCTCAGAATGTCTTTGGCTTCTTCACTACTGTAGCATTCTGCACCGCGATACTCACTGCTCTATCCGTGGTTTTCACAACTCAAGAACCATCCGCGAAGATTGAGTTGCGCAATGTACAGGTGTAAGCTGCCCACTAAGAGACGCGACAGCTTTGTTGTCTAACAACACATACAGAGTAAAGGGACGGCCGCACTACTATTCACCGAAAAAGGAAGAATACGCCCACATAAAATTTGACCTTGACGCTGGTTCGTCTGCTTCACCAAAGCTGTCTGTGCGACAAGCCAGTTATTGATTCTACGTAGACTTCACCTCTCTCTTCAATTGGAACACGAAGCAGTTGTTTGTCTGGGTTGTTGCAACTTATCCATCTCCCGACGCATCGTCTTTGTCCCAGGCAGTCATTTGGGACACCATCATCAACTCCCATAGCCAATCGCATCCCTTCAACCCACTACAATTGTTCACCAAGCCTCCTCCTGCGAAGAAGTCCAGCAAAGCTAAAAAACAATCCGCGAAGAAGCAAGAAGTGGATCCAGAACCAGGCATTCTTCGTCTCAAAAACACGAAACCCAAGTATCAGGTCACCGACATCAGCGGGATCCTTGCGGAGCGTACCAATGTCACTTTGGAAATCGGATGGAACGTTCAGCCGTGGGTTGGTGCATTAACATGGACGCTTGGTGAAGGTCAGGTGCTGGGTAGATGGAAGGGGGTCGAGGGGGGGAAGAGCAAGGCGTTTGACATGCCTCCGTTGAAGAAGAAGAGCGTTGGCTCGGAGACAGTGGTATCATCAGGAGAAACGCCCCAAGCAGCCGAAGCGTCTGCAGTCATATGAAGATGCGTCTATGGATAGAGTGCGAATACTGCAAGTGTTTGGAGTTTTTCTGCTTTTGAAACAATTTGGGGTCCAAATGATCTATTGACAAGAATCGGCGAAGATACCCCTCCATTGGAGAATAGAGCCCACAACACATTGCATTTCCACATTGTTTGGGGGATTGGGGGGGAGAGAGAGTTCATATTCTTTGCATGCCACACCTACCCAACTGCTGAGCGTCAGTGAAACAGTGATGCGATGCTTACAGCCCGCCCCCACACTGAGTGTTTTCCCTTTCGGCTGATCGACAGGGTTCAATTTCTAGCCTCAGGAATCGGGCCATGACCTCATCTCACGCACTCCTTCGGGTTCACAGTTACTCTACGATTATTTGCGTGTAAATTATCTTCGCTACGCACGACTGCAGCATTCGCTTCTCGTGAACTGGTCGCTGCAATGCCGCAACCGGAACTGCCTGAGCCCGCACACGCTGAAGTCGACTCGATGCTGTCCCGAAAATTCGGCAAAGAAGTTGCAAATTATTTCTCTGGTTCGCTCTTTCACCACTGCCATGCAAATCCGGGAGCTCACCTGCCTAGGATCACCCTTGAACAGAGTGTCCTTTATGCGAACGGATCATGCCTTTCTATCCGCGGCCTTGAAGCATCCTTCGACCTCCTTCTTGCTCTTCAACAATCTATCACCGTTGGCAAAAGACCCTACCAAGCTCGAGTATGCCTCATTCAAAGACATTCAACCTCTGGTTGGTGATGATCCCTACTCCAAAACCGAGGAGCAGTTGGTATCAGAATACAATTCATCGATCACAGTCTCTCAACTTCTGTTCCTTGGCCTTGACGAACGTAAGAAGTCCGGATTTGAATGGTCCATTTACCATGGGTCTCCCTACTTCGCTCTTGATGTCACTCCAAAGGGCACGATTAGTTCTGCGGCTGAGACGTTGATCGAGTTAATGAAGTCTCGGGGACTGCAATTCGTCGAAGGCCGTATGCACATGTCTCTTCCTGCCGAACAGGCAGCTGTATACGCGCAAGCACGAGCTCTCCTTGATTGGAACGCACGCAATCCTTTCTGCGCTCAATGCGGCCAACCTACCTTGTCCATCAACGCTGGCACAAAGCGAACTTGTCCACCGAAAGACATGGCCTCTCTGACCAACACCACCTCTATTGGATCAACGACTGCTGCCACACCCGCGACAGAACGCCCAGACTGTGCAACCAGAAAGGGCATATCAAACCTGTGTTTCCCTAGAACCGATCCGGTATGTACATTTCGGAGCAATTACCTCCCATTTCGTACCACATTACGAGCTGCAAGACAACCAATGTTTCTGGAGTAGAAGTGTTCGTTTACTCCCCTAAAGCTATCTCACCGCTCGAATATTTTCCACGGAGAACAGATGCTAATTCCGAACCCTCCACAGACAGTCATCATGGCCGTGCTCTCCGCTGATTCTGAGCGCATTCTCCTCGGCCGGCAGAAACGCTGGCCACAATATTGGTATAGCACATTAGCGGGCTTCGTCGAGCCCGCAGAGTCTGTAGAAGAAGCGGTCCGTCGTGAAGTTTGGGAAGAAAGTGGGGTAACCCTGGGCCGCGTAGTAATCCATTCAACGCAGCCATGGCCTTATCCTGCGAATCTCATGATTGGAGCAATAGGGCAATGTACACCGGGGGGAGAAGAAATCGTGTTGAAGCATGATCCGGAGTTGGAAGATGCGAAATGGGTGACTGTGGCAGAGGTGAAAGAAGCACTGCAAGTAGGAACGAGTGGATTGGGAGAGGAAGCTGGGGAAGGTTATAAAGAGGGCGGTCTCAGATTACCACCGAGAACGGCGATTGCAAATCAGCTGCTCAGCGCTGTCACGGGTGGACTTTTAGAAGGAGGAAACGGAGAATCAAAGATGTAGAGAGAGGATGTCATTCCATGTTCGTGGATATTGCGGCTGATCGTTGTTCGACTCGAGACCATAGATCGCCTCACCACCAATAGAATCTTGTAAAGGCCATGTAAACAGACATCTTCTACGAGCTTGCAATTTCGCCTTCTAATTCCAAAGATCGCAATAAACAATCCATTGGCCGAAATCCTCTTTATACCCAACGTACAACTGGTGCAGACGGGACCTTGGCGAAATGATTGCGCTACTGTAGTGCTTAGCTCTAACCATTACTCTTAGGCTGTGAGAAAGCATCTTGATTCTCTCAAGACTCTAATGGACTCGCTACCATTTCCTCCAAAATCGATAGCTGCTATACCCTCCTATCTGATGAACGGAAAAACGCACACAGCTCATAGTAGCTCTCCCCTACGTCCCTCCACGCGAACGTCGGTCAACGCCGAAGAGCGAGAGAGACTCACAGCTTCTATTGCATCCTCAAATGCCGGACGTCAACCTATAGATCTGGATTCCGTAGGGTCGTCAAAGGTCAATGGCCATGGATCATATTCCCTGGAGGTGCCAGACGAAGATTCGGCAGCTCCAACCAATATCGATGTCTCTGCCAGGGATCCTAGAGACGAAGCACCGTCTCAGACGACTCCCACTGTGAGCCGGCCTGCCAGCCCATACACGTTAAATCCTCCAATAGACTTTGATGGGTTGAGTTGGCCGAGTGAGTCATGGCTTGATTGAGGTTGCAAGATAATGCTGAAGGAATATCTTAGGTCTTGGGACGAGAGAGCGTCTGGAAGCTACACCCAAACAGGCTGAAGAGCGGTTACAGAGATTGGAAGGAGCTATAACGACCATCTTGGAATGTATAGGAGAAGATCCAGACCGAGAGGGTCTGCGAGGGACGCCGGAGCGCTATGCAAAAGCCATGCTCTACTTTACTAAAGGCTATGAGGAGAATGTCCGTGATCTGGTCAATGGAGCTGTCTTCCACGAAGATCATGATGAGCTTGTCATTGTCAAAGATATCGAGGTCTTCTCGTTGTGCGAGCATCATATGGTACCTTTCACTGGAAAGGTAGATTCCCGAGTCTTCTCTTAAGACTTCTAATGTGCTTGGAAATCTTGGTATTGACCTTATTCAGATGCACATAGGCTACATTCCAAATCGTATGTTGCCAGGAGATCATAATTTTTGGTAATGCTGATGGATTATAGGACGAGTACTGGGTCTCTCCAAACTGGCACGCCTTGCAGAGATGTTTTCCCGTCGACTTCAGATCCAAGAGAGGTTGACGAAGCAAGTGGCACTCGCGATCACTGAAGTCTTGAAGCCTCAAGGTGTAGCTGTGGTCATGGAGTCGAGTCATCTTTGCATGGTTATGAGAGGCGTAGAAAAGACTTCGACGTCGACCATCACGAGCTGCATGTTAGGCTGTATGCGATCAAGGGCAAGCACAAGGGATGAATTCCTTAATCTGGTGAACAAGCGATAACAGTTCAGGCAAGCGAGAAGAATGATCTACGATCGCATGAAGCTTGAAGCCGCTTCGACACATGTGGTTTCTTTCTGGAGTTCTAGGGGACCATTCGCGTTCTTGATGGTGCTCACCCACCACGTCAAAACCAAGTGCTGGTTTGACGACTCAATATGCGTGCTTGGATTTTTGCATACAGGATCTGCCATTCAACAGGCGAGAATGGGAGCAAAACTTTGAAAATAAAGCTTGGGCCGGTCTTGGCTTCGTGCAAATACAAGACCTGACTATCTTCTCAACATCTGAAGTCACCTTACTATATTTGTTCAAATTGACCATGGAAGCGACAGACAGCTTGCAATCAAGAGAATCTTCGCAAGAAAATTTATCGAAAAAGGAAACAGAAACATAATAGAAACAAAACGGCAATGGGTGTGTTGACAACGTCAGTAGGCAACGGAGAAAGATCCGATTGTCCTGAAGTGAATGTACTGTCCATAAATCCAGCCATCAACTAAAATTACAGCGCCAGCGCCTCTGTACTTCTCCCATGTCTTCCCTCCTCGCACACCCACCGCATCATCTTCGCACAATGTTCGTCAGCGACTTGTAATCGCTTTGCCAAGATTCTGACTTAAATTCAATATCAAGCTGCCAGGTGTTGGCCGGAAATATACTTCTCGCTCGATAGACATCCGAGTGATCATGGCATGCCCTTTGAGTGCCATTCTCAATGCTGTCGATGCCACTGCTCAAACGAACCCCGTGCCCGCTACAGGCGATCACGACGATGACGCTACCATTTCTGAGGCATCTACTGAAATCATTGATGAGGGAATGCCGGATGAGGAGAAGCCAGACGAGGAAATGCCGGGGTTCAACACCCCGACCATGCACCAACGAAGCCCGCCAGACACCAACCCAGGTATTGGCGAGTCCGCAAAGCGAGGCTTCATATCTCCTGTCATCCTCTCACCCGACAAAGACTCCCTGTATGACCGTCGAGCAATCCTATCTCCCGTTTTAGTGCCTGTACTTCCAATACCGCCAAAGGGAAATTCATTGCACTATCTCGCCAAAGATCCGCCAACACCATCACATGGAACCAACTCGAGAGACTTTAGCATCTTCAATGCTCTTCTCAATTATCCAGAGCTGACCCTCGAGTTCTCCAAGCAGCTCGACATCGAAGATTTGATTTCTCTCTACGCTATTTCGAAAGAATTCCATTTCCTCGTCAACGGCCGGTTCACTGCCATGATCCTAGGCCAGTCCAACGGCAAAGCATCAGAATCATCCAAGACCTTCATTTTCCGCTGCTACAAAAGCCTCTGCATGCGTGACCCCGCCCGCCGTCTCAATGAGACCAGACCAGATGAACTGCGCTTCATTCCAAGTTTCCGCTGGCTTCGTATGATCCTCTTCCGCGAGGCCGTCGTGGACGACATCCTCCAATCCTTGGCTGCAGAAGGACATCGTTTGCCCAAGCGAACGAGGTTGACGATCAAAAAAATCTGGTTCACAATCGATATCAGTGACAATGCACGTCGTATAGGCCTCATGCACAACACCACGTTCTGGTCCAACAAGGATCTATTCCTCGCCACCATGTTCTTTCTCAAGCTCGATATGCGCCTCACACATCCAACCGCTGGTAACGGTGAGATCGGCTTGCGCAAAATGCTGCTCGGTCAGAGAAGTCTATCTATGTTGGCGCAGGTGCTGAAGCGGGAAGAAATGAGGACGCAGGTGGATATGCTCCGGATGATCGTAAGATTTAGATATGAACCTCCCAGACATCGGCAGATGGACATCATGGGAGTGCCAAGTCATGAAATCGGGAGGCTGCAATATGAAGGTTGGGGAGCCAAACATACCAAGTTCATACAGATTGACGAGCTGGTTATGAGGGAGGCGGTGAAAAGGAAGCTCAATTTGCAGAACTACTACATTGATATGATGATCTACGGGTATATCAACAAAAAGACTTTTCAGGATATCAGGACGCCCATGCGAAAGCAGGAAGACGAGGCTGAGGAAGATTGCGAGGATGACACAAGTAGTGGTGAGGATGAGGAGGCAAATCAGAGCGGCTTCGGGCCTGACACGGAGGCAGAGGAGCAAGGAGGTGCAGCTGAGAATGGGGGAGATGTTGGAATGAACTATCATGGCTACAGTATGGGTTGGCCAGGTAGAAGAGGGTTATCCAGTGGCGATGACCTCACAGAGTAGCATCTAGGCCCGAAAGTCGCCTTGATTTGAAAGACAATATCGTCCCCAACATCATCAATGTATTGTTGTTGCACTGATTAAACATTAACTTCTCAAAGCAGCGAAAAGCGCGAGAAAAGGTATCATCGCTTGAATTCCAGCCTGCATGCAACAAGCACCTCAAGTACTGGTACTACAATCTCCACTCTTCTCATTGTGTCCGGTCCATCATCGTTTCTCTTTCCCCCCACCCTCAACTAGGGTGCCTAAGCCTGCACAGTCCCATAAGAAGTGTGTCCCCCGTTCTGGATATTCTCGGAGTAGACTCCCGGGGCGTGCTTCAGCACAGTGTTGCCGAGACGGACTTGGTCGCGCTACAAAGGTTTCGGAGTCAGCCTTCTTTTCCTTAGACGAACAACCAAGCAGCCAAACAGGTCAAGTGAGAATTGGAAGGATTTGGCTCCAGGAACATGTCTTGCAACTCGTACAGTGGTCCACAATATGAAGAGCGTGCTCCGAAAAAAGCACTTACGCGGTTGAAGTATACGTATTCAAGGTAGAACGCGTGGATGTGGCCTGGGAAGTAGCTGTATCGTTCTCGTGCATTAGCCAGAGTACAGCTCCTCATTGTAAAGGAGAGGTGGAGAGCAGCTTACCCGAGACAGGTGAGGCAGATGTTGATGAGGAGGTCGGCGCCGCATCCGGCGATGAGAAAGACACCGACAGGGGGGACTACAGGAGAGGACGAAGTCAGCGATAGGGACTCCGACTCAGGGTTCTGGGGGCAGAGACGGTGAGGAAAGGGAGAGCGCTTACTGAAGATGGTGACGATAACGACAAGGATGGCGTTGACTGGGTTAGGCATTTTGTGATGGGTTGTGAAGAAGAAGAGGTTGCTAACTTGCTGGTGAGGTTGCAGAAGATAAGTTGAAAGACACGGTGCTGTTTACTTATACTGTTATCCTGTATTTTGGTCTCTGGGAGATATTCACTTGGCGCGCGCGCTTCGGATGCTATTCCCAGAATCCCAGTCGTGCAACCGTCGCGCTTGGCAAGTGGCAACAGATGAAACAATGATGAAAATCGTGGCTGAGCTGTGGCGCGGAATTGGGAGCCTCAGCCACGACAACAAGGCTCGTGATACATGCACACCCCCATTCGAACTAATCCTATCTGCGGGGTGTACAGAAACATGTCCAACGAGTCGCGGTGAATTGACAGCGAAGAAGAACTGGCCTCAGCAGTTTTGGTGGTTAGACAATTATCGAATCACTACTCCGTACATGGCGCATAGATTCGAGTCAAAAATAATACTTTCGACAAGCATATCCAGCCAGGAGCGTTGGAGAGATACAATACGGAATATGCAAGCTCGCCTTGAAAACAACCAATCCATATATGTACAGACCCTAGAATGTACCGTAAGTAACGCCCAAAGATCTGCCACTGATCTAGCGGAACGACTCCAGCGCTATGCATAACAAATCGCCAAGCAGAATATTTCTATGGACGATTCATACCCTTCATACCCTTCATCTCGGACTCATCTAGCCCTGACTCGAGCTTGGCCTCACCCGTTTCGGCTCCCTTTCAGTCGTCGCAGAGCCACTTGCTCGCCTCTTTGCTTTCTCCCTCTCGTGCTCTTCCATCCTCACAGCGCGTCTCGCCTCCTGGTTTTTGCGCTCATTCTCTTTTCGGAGGGCTTTAGATTCGAACTCGTGCCAGTCTCCTTCTAGATCCTTGAGTCTGCGATAATGATTAGTGATATCATCTCAATGTGGGGCAATCAAGGTAGACTTACTCAATGGCCTGCCTTGGTGCTGGCTCCTCCGTGGTGAAATACGGATGCTCCAGCACATCGCCGGCTGTTGGTCTCTTTGCAGGATCGTACATGAACATTGCTTGAAGCAGCTCAAAAGCGTCAGGAGTGAGTCTCTCCTGATACTTTTCTGAAAAAGTATTTGGCTTTCGTTCGGTGGGTCTTAGCAGCTCAAACCACGCCATGTCAACCAAGCCTGGCCACTCGGATCTTGTAGGTGTACCCAAGACATTGTAGATCTTGTCGAGTTGATTGATCTCTCCACCATCGCCGGGAAAGATGGCGTGCCGCGTAAAGATTTCGATCATGACGCAAGCAGCACTCCAAATATCAACAGCGGGACCGTACTGTGTCTCGCCAAGGAGAAGCTCAGGTGACCGATACCATATAGTGATGACACGATTGGTATAATCAGGCTTGCCACGCTTGGCGAAGAATCGCGCGAGTCCAAAATCGGCCAGCTTGAGCTGTCCAGTGCTACTAACGAGAATATTGGCTGCTTTGATATCGCGATGGAGCACCCCGCGGCGATGAAGGTAATTGAGCCCCTCAAAGAGTTGCCGGCCAAGATGCTTTTTGTGTGCATGCTCGAGCTTGAAGGTAGGATGGTTGAGAAGACCAGTCAGGTCATGAGACAAGTACTCGAAAACCATGAAGCAGTCATTATGCTCTACCATCACCTCTTGCAGAGAAACAACGTTTTCATGCTTCAGAGACTGCAGAAGCTTGATCTCACGCACTGCAGTGACGGGGAAGCCGTCCTTCTCACCATCCATCCGAATCTTCTTCAGAGCCGCGAGATTCTTCGTATAGACATGGATAGCCTTGAAGACTTTGCCGTAGGTCCCGGACCCTACCACTGACTCGTTGCCGGGCTTTCGATAGTAGACTGATGTCGAGGTAGCAAAATCAGTTGGAAGTGTTGGCCGCGGTTTCATACGCTTCATGATCTTCTTTTGCTTTAGAATTTCGGGAGATCGCTCACGCGCACGCTCTCGTTTCTGAACCCGCTCAGGTCGTCTATCACTACGGTGGTCCCCTCGTCGCTGATCACGGTAGTCGCGATGGTCACGACGCTCATCTTCGTAATCACGCTCTCTTCGCTCATCCCGCCTGTCACGCTCTAGTTGACTAAGAGCAGGATACGAGCTGGGCTTAGTCTTCAAGGCGTCCAGCAGGTTTTCCTTTTTGATTGGCTCTTTTATCTTCTGGGTTAAATCAGTTGGTGGCTTAGCAGGTGCTGTAGTTCCAGGTTTAGCTTTGAAAGCAAAGCTGAACTTGGACTCTTGTTTAGGCGAAGAATCGGATTCCTGTCTTGACGGCGGTGGCATCTTTGTGTCTTTCTCGCTCTGATCCTCAACCTGTAAATTTTTCGAAGGTCGAAATGGGTTGTCGTCGTCACTCGGTTGACCTGTGGCTGGTTGCGGATGAGGAGAAGTCTGCGAGTGCCCTGAAGAGGATTGCTGATTAAATTGACCACCGCCCCGACCGTCAGTACTTGCATTGCCTGCAGTCCACTGAAGATTTTGGAAGTGTCCTCCTCTCCCTCGGGTGGGAGTGGGAGCAAAGTTGGGGTTTGAAGGAGGGGGACCCGAGCCAGAGAATCTGCGATCTGGATTTTGAGGGTAACTACCACGATAGCCTGCATTACCGCCTCGAAAAGGCTGGTTCTGATAAGCATGTTGGAATTGCTGGGACCCACCATAAGGACTTTGCTGGCCGTTGGCGTAGTAATGCCCTTGAGGACTTTGTTGAGGGGGGTAACTCCCTTGCCGGTATGGAGGTGAATACCCATTCACACTTACAAAAGGTCAGCAGCAGAAGGAAGGTCAAGTGAGTGGCACCTACCCTGCCTGCCCATGATATTGCTGCTGTTGGCCTCCCCATCCACCTCGACCCTGACTGAACGGTGACCCAGAGTGAGGGGAATTGTGATGCGATGATGTCGGTGTCCACTGCGGAGATGTTGAGTAAGATTGTTGAGTATTGAGATGCGGCGGGCGACTTGGTCGATGTGTTCCATGTACATCACTTGCCTTCATTCCATGCAGTGGGAAGGCTTCACTTATCATGGCGGGGTTATGAGGAACCGGTTCGTAGCTGGGGATAGGTCGAGGTGGGGAAGGTGGACGTGACCCATCGTTGATGGTGTTTTGTATAGGACGTGTGGAAGATTGCATCTTTGTGCGGCCTCCTCTTGCTCCTTCTCGCTCTACGGGAGATTGGGGGGATCTTCGCCTTTTCCCTGGTTTTCTCGTTCCCCCACGACACGGTGATGGTGATTGATTTTGATGTCGGCTTAGCTCTTTGTGCCTTCTTGGTGAATTCCCAGAGCGGGGTAAAGGACGGTAGCTGGATGCAGTAGATTCACCCTCTTTTTTAGACCCACGACCAGGAGATGAGCGCCGCTTTGGACGTGGACGTGGACGTTCAGGAGAAATTCTCCTTGATCTTGAAGGCCTGTCTCTCGACCGAGGACGCTTGTGCGGTGAAGCGTGTCGAGGGTTTAGAAATGCAGGAGGCGGCGACCTAGAACGTAGTCGTGACCCGGGGACGTACGAGTCTCCGAAACGGCCAGCGGAGCCACTCAAGTCAGTATATGTGGACGAGTAATGGTCACCTCGATTTGAACGTGGCGGTGAGTTAGCTCGTTCGCGACGTCTACTGCTTGGGCGGAAGGTGTCAGTTCGACCGGAGTGAATCGGGCTGCGATGCCTTCTCCGTTCCTCCCTGAAACCAAACAATTCACGTTGCGGTGATCTACTCCGTGTTATTCTCCGTCTATCAGTCTGGCCTCCTTCGTCTCGATGTCGTGGCCTTTCGGGATATCGGTCCCCACTAGATTCTCGACGTTGGACCAGCTCCTCGTCTCTTGGCCTACGTCTTGGCGGCGAACGACTGGATCCTCTTGCACGATCTTTCCCCAATGTGTTGTCCCTCTCCGAGCTCTTATGATCGGATGGTGACTCCGGCGCAGAGTCGGCTGCTGCTCTGCCCTTGATCTTCAGGCCCACGTCTGTCTCTCGTGGGGCTGCGGGCGAGATCTTGCGGCGGTCGTCCGTGCCTCTGTTTCTTCGACGATTACTGTCCCTATGGTCGTCGCCGGCTCTCCACTGATCTCTCATCAATGGACTCCGTCGCGACGCAGCCATGTAATCGCTGCGTTCATTTGGTCAGTAAGTGTGATGAATTGATGGTGTTCATGATTTTCGCTCAAAGTTACCTTAGTGCAAGCCAAATTTCGTGTAAAGTTAGCCGCAGGTAATTTAAAGGAATTCAAAAAAATTGGGAGAAGGGAGTGCTTACCTGATGACCATGATTGACTTCTATAATGTCCTTGCTTCCGTCGCAGGTCAGAAAGGTGTTGACTCGGGTTGTGTTGCAGTCGCGCCTCATAGTGTCGTTGCCTGTTCTACGGTTGTTGTGGATTGTTGACCAGCAACTCCAGGCAAGTTGGAGTGGCTCGGCGGTGGTTTTCCCATGGCTCCTGCCAAGTATCTCATCACAAGCATAGCTATCTACGAGGACGCTGCAGTCCAAAAGCAAAGCCAAACAAATGACAGCAAATCCGTAAACACAATGGCCCTGCAGCCTTCCCGTTCTCGTTGTCCAATACACTTCCTTCCGAAGCACGATCAGTTCGTAGATAGTCTTAACCTTTGCGGCAATAGTCTCCTGATACTTGACTTTGGGTTTCCCGGTCAATTATAATCAGGAGCCATTCTGTGACTCCAATATATAACCGGCGTAAATTTGACCGTCAAACTGATTTGCGTGGCAAGGAGGCATCGAGCGCTGGCTATTTATTAGTCTTCTTTGCTATATAGGCCGTCCAATCGAGTGTAATGGACACCGAAGTTTGCTACAAGGAAAGCGTGGCTGGTCCTTCAGAAATGAAGACATCAGAGAACCCGCTGCCTGACATCAGTATCTGGAGCGACCCGAGATAGACCAGTCCTATCGAGCTTGCGCCCGACTACCTGCCGGTGGGCGTCTGAACCGCTGGTGTCACGGCAATGGCAGACATTTCCTTCTACCTTGTTTGTCGTACGTGTGGCCCATGAATGTAGGCTCTGAAATGACTCGGGGGGAAGGAGGGGGAGGTGCGATGCCAAAAGAGTAGCAACCCAAGTAGGCTGCTGTTTTCATGTGAATCAGGTAACCATGCAATCTTCAATTTATCTTTGCAGCCCAGTATCATCCGGAACAAGGCGCCTTCTTCGTGTGGCTCGTTGCCCTTTCACGCAATGCTGTGACAGTATCCCTTCTCTCTCCATTATGACCACCACATCCATGACTGCAACGGGTGGATGATATATATCTAGACCTGAGATCCGTTGAGAAACAGTGCATCAATATAGTTCGGATTCCTGATGGATGGTGATGGAGAAGTACGTGGGCGATATGGTTCAGGTGTGAGACAGAAGAGGGGAAAATTAACTTTTATACCTAGCGCAGTGTATCGTACCGTAATCTACTGTCCTCGAGCTTTGATACTCGTAAGGCTGAAGCACTTGACCCACGGCATCGCCTGGAGGCTGTAAATGCTTGTCCAGCTGTTAATAAGTAGAGCACCAAGTAAGATATCTAATCTGGGTATGGTGTCAGTTACTGCTCTGTAAAGATGTATGACTATTTTGGCTAAGAGGTGGCGGTTCATTTGGAGCTTCTTTTCATTATTGGCTTTTTGTTTGAGTCTACAGAATCAAGGAATAATAACACTTGATTAATTGACTAATGACGCTCATCATAATAGGCACCCATGCTTTTATTTCTAGCTCTTCATTTGTGAACCAACCAATGCTCAAACAGAAGATCGAACGGGACGACGTCAAGAGCTCGCTCATTCAGACCCCAGCTGTATTATGCCACGGCCATGAAGATGAGCGGTCCACCCCCGAAGGTGTTGTATCCGCCGAATCAAAAAGCTCCATCACTCGATATGCTCCTTTCAGCCCATAGCTCGTGGGTGTCTCACAGTTCATCGCCCGAGTTCGAGCCGCTACTGTCTTCTAGGAAGATATCATCAAACCCCTCAGCTAGGTCGTCGAGGCTCCTTCGAATAGCCTCATCCAATGCCTTCTTCTCATCCTCGCTCAATCTTACTTCTTTATACTCAGGTACAGGTTGATTTTCCTTGTCGCTGTCCGACTGAGAAAGCAATTTCCAGAGTTTGGCTTGCTCTCGACGGCTCACTTTAGGGGCACGTGGATCTTTCTCTACGATGAATTCGACATCGCTCGAGGTAGAGCGAGAACCACTAGTCGAGCTAGTACTGGCGTGCTGAGGAGAAAAGGATGCCGAAGAACTTTGGCGTAGACCGACTTGTCTCTCCCGGTCTGGGAAGAACGAGTTCGAAGGAACGTCTTCCGCTGCTGTTGCACCGTCGTCAAGACCGGAGGTTACAGGGGACGTCTTGTTAGCCAATTCATCGCTGCCCGTGATTTCAGTGTCCATGTAGCAACCCGAGTCCTCATTGCGATGCTTGATGTTCTTGCTGGAGTTGGTGGACGCCTCTGTCTCGCAACCATGTAAAGCTAGAGCGTCTTCGCCAACGAGTAAAGTAGAGCTTCTGACATCACTCAATGGGCCGAAGGAGTTGTAGAAGACATTACTGGAACGAGTCCGGTTTTCTTCGTCCTTGGAATCCAAGAGTGGAAGCGTGTTTCTGCCAGGCTCTGCAGAAATCTCCTGCTTGGGTTGCTTAGCGGTCTCTTTGAGACACTTAAAAGCCGATATCTGGCCGAGGCTTGATTTAGCATGCCGTTTGCGGCCACGCTTCCCGGAAGTGGAAGGAGTCGCTAGCTCACCCTTGACCATCGGAGGGGTTGAAAGAGCTTCAACAGGTCGAGGGAATGAGTGAGCCGTGCCTATGTCGTTCAAAGAGATTGATGCTTGTTCAGGCAAATGCCAGAGGTAATCAGGTTCTTGGTTCGAGTGCGATATTTGAGTCATTAGACCTTCTTCTGGAGCCGCAAACTGAGAATTGGTGCTGGGCCCCAGAGTTGGATCACAGCCAGTGCGTGTTGCGTCTAAAGCATTTCTGTCATTAGAAGTCTGTGAATCCAGCGTTGGACGCGTTACTAGACTGATCGCTGAGGGTGGCAGGACTGAGAACCTTGTAATGGGTCCAAGCTGGAAGGTAGCGTCTTTCCCATGCAGGGAGGGAGATGAAGGAGTGGCCAGATGCTCCGAGGCATAGCGTGAAATGCATGGGACTGAGGATCCACTAGTAGGTCCATTGTGTCCGGTATGATGAGAAGAAGGAACACGGTAAGTATCGTTAAGATATTCCTCTGGAATTGGTACATGTAGCGTCCCGTTATGGTGGTCGCTAAAAGGACCAGACATCATGACTTCCTCCTTGACATTTTCGAGTTCTCTTGTCAATTTGGCGCACTTGGCCACGAGGTATGCTTGGGTTTGAGCCAGGCCAGGCAAGTCAGTCTCCTTCAATCCAGCCCCATTAGCCGAGGAGCTCATCACCGAATGATTGTCTTCGGATCCCACCCGGTCTATAGTAATACGATTGTTTGGCGTATATAGATAAGCTCCTTTACTCCGCTGAGGTTGTCTGCTTGGAGACTGCCCAGGCTCTACGGAATTTCTTCTAGGGCCTTGGAGGGCGAAACGCTGAGCTGCAGATGCAAGTCTCGTATCTTGATACGCTTTGGGTACGCTCGGTTGTTCCTTGATCTCACGGGAGTTGACATTCGCGTACCATGGAGCTACCTTGATTGTGAGGCGTGCGCGCAGGATCCGCTCATAACGTACAGAGGAGCCATTATCGTCAACAAGCATGGCCTGAACGATGATCTTCAGCGAATTAGAAATGCTCTCGCGAGGATCTCGACGGGTATTTGTAATATGTCGATCGTAGCCATTGACCTCGGAGTAGAATGGCACGATTCCTTTGAAGCCTACAATCTCATCATCCCAGACAAGCCAAGAGAGAGGAGAATGCCGCGATTCAGACTCGATGGAATATTTGACGTTTTTGGGAAAATGAGTGGGCCGGAATGCGGATTTGCTGTAATACCTTGGGACGATAGAGAAAGTTTGACCCTCAAGTGGGAATTCGTCGAGACCCTCAAATAGTAGAGAGTCAGGGACCCATGCAGCATCCACGATAGGATAAGATCCTAGAGAAAATGGATGACAGCACACGCGAACTGTAATGGACGTGTCGCGGGAGCCATCCTCATGGTATTGTACCAAAGCATCAGTTGCGATAAGGTATAATCGGAGAAATCCTGACTTCGCTTTTGACGTATTCTCCTCGGACGAGTACAATGCCTCTGCCATTTCACTGACCAATTGATCACGACAGAAGCTGATTCCGCGAACTATACCAGCAGAAAACAAGGTGTGGATGGGCCTGACATTCCCTGCAGAGTCCTGCTGCTGAAGCTGCTGGTAAATCTGCCACAACTCGTTGGCAAGCATCTTCTGAAGCGTTGAGACAAAGGCCCGGTGGACACGAAAGAGCTCGTTGGCATCCACATCGGATAAGCCATTCCAAGCTGTGGAGATGTTGATATGCTCAACCGCAAGATTCCGGCCAGAATCACCGTGCAGTGCCTCACGACGTTGATCCTCATCACCAGGGTGGGACCGGGTAACAGGTACGCAAAAGTCTAGAGGTTGGATATACCCTGAAGTAAGGCCTTGTATGGAGATCGTCGCTGGCTCTGCTTCTGTGCAATTAGAGTCATGAGCACCATACTGTGGGCTGTGGTAGATTTGCCGGTCAGCGGAGGCAGCCCCTCCCATTGTAGTTGAGGGTTGACTACCAGATGCACTGGTCATCCAATCATGAGGTATTGCTTGACGAGCTTGACGATTGTAGCTTGGTGAGAAGGAATTCTGTGTGTCATCGACATAGTTGCCCGGAGAAAGGTGAAGCCCATGCAATCCGGCAGGCAGATTCTCAATCGGTGGCGATTTGGGTCTTAGATTCGAGAGGTCTCCATGTGACTTGGAAATATCACGGCGAATACGCAGATTGGTCCTCTTCGCAGAGGCGCTCAGAACACCTTGAGACTCCTTTGTAGGCGTCTTATGCCGATCGAAAGAGGACGAGACACGAATGTAGGCTGACCGCCCATTCGAGACGTTGCGGAGGGCACTCCGAGGAGCCCTGAGTCACCATTTAGAACGTGTAGTTCACAAAAGGGGGAAATAGGTCAAAACAGACGTATGCCAATAGGAGCGCTTTGGTGTATCCATGCTTGTGCAGATGATAGGAAGGCTGTAGGATGCTGTTACTCGCTGCGATGAAGGCTGCACCAAGAATGTGGGATATATCTTGTTCTTGGAATTATGCCGACTGATAGTAGAAGGGATAAAGTAAGAAACTGATGAAGAGTGAAAGTTGCGGAAAGTTTCGAGGCTGCGTGCCTGCCGTTTTACTTGTCAATGATCTCCAGAGAAGGGAGGCGCAACTCGGACATCTCCTAGACACTGCAGCTTGGACCCTGAGGAGATCATTTCGGACAAGAGCATTCATCGTTGCTCAAGACACTGGTCGCCGGCTGCTGGATGAGTTTAATGGAACTTTCTCATCCCTTCAGACAGCGTCCATGCTTGCTCTAGTGCTCAGTTGCTCATTCTTGTTTCCCAGCTTAGATATCTGCAGAAACGCATCGACGCCATAGCCTTCTAGACTATGCATTTCCAAAAGTCCCGCCCAGTATTCCGCATACACTCTACTCATGGGCAGCCCCATCCCAAGCCTCAAATTAGGCGGCCTAGAAGTGAGTGAGCCAAGTGAGCCGTCGTACGATCGTTTCTTGTCTCTATTGCTAGTGCTGGAATTGTCGGAGCTGCAATTTGGAGGTTTCAGCTCTTGCATGGTTGCTGCCATCTTAGGCACCTGAGAAAGGTTCCGCAGATGCGTTTGGCTGCGCGGCCCTTTGCTGAAGGACCATAGCTCTGGCATGACTTCATTGGGGATGCCGCCACCTTGATCGGATATCCTGATGATCACATGTTGTGGCGCTTCGCAAATGAGGACCTCGATTGGGGGTGGACTGTCATTTAGGGCAGACCGTCCTTCGACGACAGCTTGGATAGAGTTGCGAAGAAGCTCACCAATGACGTATTGCAGGTGGCTCAGGATGTAGGGGAAGGTAGCGTCCAGATGACCTTCGATTGTGATGTCCGGCAGTATGCAGCTCCAACCATAGGCCTCTTTAGCAAGGGTACTCGCTTGGTTCCAGCATGCCTCGACCACTTCACGAGCGTTGCAACGCAAGAAGACCTCTCCTACAAATTCGGAATTGGCGCCAACTTGAGACTTGGCATTGGGAAAGTGCCATGGGGAATTAAATGTTTCGGTCAATGCAAGATGTTGTTCGGCAATGACCCTACGAGAGATTCGCTTGCGGCAATATTAGCGTTACATACGTCTGCTGCAGCTTCAGGGAGCCTACAGATCTCAACAGAGTGTTCATGAACTTGTCCATCTCTTCAGGCCGCATTAAGTCCTGACATTCAAGGACCCCCATAGCCAGCCTCGGTATCACGGTTAAGTGTTCCTGAAGAGTCTCGCTGACGACTTTGCAGTATTGCTCGTTATCCTCGACGGATTTGATCTCCCTTATCCTTCGTAGTGTCTCGAAAGCCTTGTAGTATAAATCGTACACGTGTGACATGTGAGGATTGGTGACAACGACGAAAGGCAGCGTCTGCATATCGCGTAGGCGGTGGGCAAGCCTGCATCTGGTTCAGGCGACAGCTAACAGGAGAGACCTAAGGGCCCAAACCTTGTAGGCAGTTCCATTCGAACGTAGTTGGCTGAGCTCAGAAGCCGATTCTCTGTCAATGTACGGCCGAAGAAAGTCAATTGTCGAAGACTGATCGGCCTAGCCTCCTTCTGCACCCATCTTTAGGCCGTAAGCAGAAGCCATGAAGGGCGGCAATGTATAGTCATGTTGGGTACTAACTCGTCAAGGACCGCCGCAGGTCGCCATGGAGCTGTTGCAGAAGCTATGGGCCTTCGGAAAAGGTGCGGCCTTGTTGACCAGGCTGCTTTCTCGAGAGCCCATGATCTAGAACGTGGCATTGCGTGGCTGCCATGCAGCAAGGACGAGGTTATGGCTCACTCATTGGCATTTATCTAGCCGCGCATGCCGAAGAGGTTGCTCGTTTTCCGGAGAATACTTCTCAATATCTGTCGCTTCATGCGGAGAGAGGGCCGAAGGAGCGGTCAATTTGCGGAGAAGCGAACCCCACCTGCGCAAAGCATACGAGTATCGCAAGGTAATGCGGCCACAGCGAATGCAAAAAAGGCACAGGATCCTTCAAGAATATTTGATACCTTGCTGCACTTGACTGTTGCACGCATGCGGAGCTGTAGGAGTAGGTATGTACTAGTGACAAACGAGTGTTTTCAAGAAGCAGGCGTTTCTCAACACACTGCCAAACTTAGAAGACTTCGTCATCATCCGCGCCCCATGAACATTTCAAGGAACTCAAGGAATCTGCAATCCCATATCCCATTAGGTCGCACACAACTTATAAAACTTCAAGCCCAACCCTTCACTGTCGGCAAGTGTGGTTTTTGCGAAGCAGCTCATTCCGCATGACAGAGACCCCGCCCGCATCACCTGTTCCGACCTTTCCTTTCTCACTTTCTCTTGCCCAAGATGGATCCTGTAAGCACCAATCTCGACAACAGAGCCATGGATTCCGAGGATGGGAATGAGGCAGTGGCTGACTTGGACACCCGTCTGGGTGAACTACAGATGGGAGGTGGTGGTGATATGCTAATCGACGAATACGATGTGGTTGATGAGAAAACTGAAGTGGCTATCATCACTGCAGAGGACTCTCCAGAAGAGCAAGAACCCGAGATCCGGGCGGACGATTGTATACTACCTGAGATATTACAGTATTCCTCTTGGGAGCTCCGTTCTAACTCACTGGTAGATGATGCTATGAAACTCCGAATCCTGCCCAAAGATGCCGATTTAGAGACAGACAGTGAAGCTGTACACACTTGGGTTATTGATGATTGGCGACACCTGGAAAAGAAAACACGGGGCCCCAAGTTCGAGTGTGGCGGGCATCCATGGTGTGTGGGATCCTAATCTGGCACTTGTCGACTCGAAGCTTGGGAAATATAACGTTGACTGTATATTAGGAGAGTACTGCTATTTCCATTTGGAAACAACGTCGACTTCGCGTCTTTCTATCTCGAACAAGGCTATGAAGATGGAGACCAGAAGCCGCCTGAGGGCTGGTACGCTTGTGTACAATTCAGCTTGGTTTTGTGGAACAAGCATGACCCATCGATATATGTTATGCATAGTAAGAGAAAGAAGCAAGCATGCAATCGACGTCCGTGCTGACATATATTCCACCAGCTGCGAACCACCGCTTTAACGCCGAAGAAAGCGACTGGGGCTTCACACGATTCGCCGAGGTACGGCGGCTTTTCGCTCCACAGTGGGACAACAAAGGTCGGCCCATGATTGAGAATGATGCCGTTAATGTGACCGCATATCTCCGGATATACAAGGATCCAACAGGAGTCCTCTGGCATAACTTCATAAAGTTAGTATTTTCCTTGGCCAGAGAAAGCTTTGCTGAGACATGTGCAGTTACAACTCGAAGAAAGAGACCGGCATGGTTGGCCTTAAGAACCAAGGCGCTACCTGCTATCTCAACTCACTCCTTCAATCCCTATACTTCACGAACGCTTTTCGCAAGGTACGCCATGTTTCTGTACAGAAAGAAAGCCACCATCTAACTCTCGCAGGCAGTGTACCAAATACCTACAGAAGCCGAATCTGATCGAAAGACAGCAAACAGCGCCTGGGCTCTTCAAAGACTCTTCTACATGTTACAAAGCTACGAAGAAGCTGTTTCGACCCAGGAGCTAACAGCTTCTTTCGGTTGGGAGACCAAGCACATCTTTGAGCAACAAGACGTCCAGGAGCTTTCAAGAATCCTTATGGAACGTATGGAGGAGCGAATGAAGGGCACTGATGCTGAGAACGCATTAGCAAATATGTTCGTGGGCAAAATGAAAACCTACATATCCTGCATCAACGTCGATTATGAATCGTCGCGAATAGAGGACTTTTGGGATATCCAACTGAACGTCAGTGGGAATAAGAGCCTGGACGAAAGCTTCAAGGACTACATCCAGGTAGAGACCATGGAGGGCGAGAACAAATATTTCGCAGAAGGGTATGGCCTGCAAGACGCCAAGAAGGGTGTGATCTTCGAAAGCTTCCCTCAAGTTCTCCACCTCCAACTGAAGCGCTTTGAATATGATATCAACCGTGATGCAATGATGAAGGTCAATGACCGCTACGAATTCCCTGAGATCTTTGACGCTTCACCCTATCTATCAAACAGTGCAGACAAATCTGAACCATATGTCTACCAACTCCACGGCGTGCTCGTGCACAGTGGTGACTTCAACGCTGGACATTACTACGCCTTCTTGAAGCCGACTGCGAACGGACATTTTTACAAATTCGACGACGATAGAGTGACGCGAGCAACCTTGAAGGAGGCATTGGAAGAAAATTTCGGTGGTGATTACGCGAAACTCAATGGCAATGTTGGCGTCCGAAATCCATACACGCGGACTCTATCAACCAAGCGATCGATGAGCGCTTACATGCTCGTCTACATTCGTCAAAGCCGTGTGCAGAGTATACTACACGAGGTATCTGCGGAGGACACACCCCCCCACCTTGGTTGGTTGGCTTTAAATTTATGTTTTGACATTTACTAACAGGCAATAGCAAAACAACTCAATGAGGAGCGAGAAGCTGCTGAGCTTCGGCGGAAAGAACGTGAAGAGCAACACCTATATCTCTCGATCGGCGTGGTTACCGAAGATAACTTCAAAGCACATCAAGGTTTCGACCTTACCGATTGGGATCCAGACGAAGCAACGAACTCTACACCGAAAGTCCATCGTGTCTTGAGGACTTCAACCCTAGCAGAGTTCGCCAAGACTTTAGCCGAGAGTCAGCGGCTCCCACCTGAGCAAGTCCGCTTGTGGGTGATGGTAAATCGCCAGAACAAGACTATACGACCAGACCAACCCCTTCCGGAGCCAGAGATGACCATAGACGAGGCTTACAGCAAGTACGGTGGCCGGGATAAGAGCTTCCGGCTGTTCCTAGAAAGGGCCTCGCAGATCGAAGCAGGGAAATCCATGTGGTCAGATATACAACCACCAAACACCACCAACAATCAGCCGATGCTGATATTCCTCAAATACTTTGACGCCGAGGCGCAGACTCTGAAGGGCGCTGGTCACATCTATGTCAAGAAGCAGTGTAAGGTTGCGGAAATGGTACCCATGATACTGCAGCTTATGGGCTTGTCACATGGCCCAAACGCTTTGTCCAATGGCGTTACGAATGGTACACCTTCACCACCCTCGCTCGCACTCTATGAGGAAATCAAGCATTCGATGATTGAGCCAATGAAGCCGAAATCCACCTTACATCAAGCCGAAATCCAAGATGGTGACATTGTCTGTTTTCAACAGGTTTTGTCAGAAAAAGAAGCCTTGGGTGTTGCGCAGGCTGGCGGCTACACTGACGCCAGAGAGTTCTACGATTACCTACTGAATCGCAAAACCGTCAGCTTCTCTCCCAAATTTCCCACTGAGAGTGACAGCGACATTTTCAAGATCGATCTCAGTCGAAAAATGTCGTATGAGCAATTCTCAGCGAAGGTTGGCGAATACCTGAAGGTCGACCCGACACACCTCCGCTTTTCGACTGTCAACTCCACCACGGGCAAGGTCAAGAACCCCGTAAAGCGGAATGCAAACCAGAACCTGTATCAAATACTGAGTCCGCAATTTGGAACATATACCAACAACAATCAGCGCGACGATGCGTTGTATTACGAAATTCTGGACATGAGCCTCAGCGAAATGGATACGAAGAAGAGCCTGAAGATCAGTTGGGTCACTGAAGGAATGTCCAGAGAGGTTTGTGATTTGACCAGTCTGTTTCATACCTGTAAGCTGACGTGATCTGTAGGAGTTCTTCGAGGTCCTCGTGCCCAAATCGGGCACTGTACGCGACCTCCACCAGGGTCTGCAACAAAAGGCCAAACTTGACGACGAGACCACACAGAGAGTGCGGATATACGAAGTGCGCGCAAACAAAGTGTACAAAGAGCTTCTCCCAGATGATCACGTGGCGGTCCTCTCCGATTTTGCGGGACTGTACGCGGAAAAGATGCCCGAAGAAGAGCAATACGCTGATAGGAGAGATTTTGTCGACTGCTTTCACTTCGAAAAGGAGCCAAGCAAGCCGCATGGTATTCCTTTCAAGTTCCTCGTCAAATCTGTGAGTGATCACGCAAGTGTCAAAAAGCTGGGCTGGTATTGACAAAGCACAGGACGAGACATTCAAGGATACCAAATCGCGCCTGTCGAAGCGAATCGGCATCAAAGGCAAACAGTTCGACAAGATCAAATTTGCCATCATCCAGCGGTCTATCTATTCCAAGCCGACCTATCTGAACGATGGTGAGTTCGGTCTTTTCACCCTTATCATTACGCTCTACGCATCAGGATTGCAATAGCTAACGCAACAGTGCAGATAACATTCTCTCCGAAGCCATCGGCAGCCCGGATGACCAACTCGGCCTCGATCATGTAAATAGATCCAAAGGACTTGGAGGCAAAGGTGATTCGATATTTATCCGGTGATCATCTGCCCGCCTACTGTATTTACAGCACTCTGCAGATTGCTTTTGGAGCGAGCATCATGAGCTGGTGCTTTCTTATTTTTGGAGTCTGGGAAAAGGAGGATCTCCTTGCTCCCGTGCCCAGGGCAGGAGAAACAGCATGGCATGGGAAATGAAAGTATGGCTCAGTATGAATCATACGTCCATCGAAATGATAGTTGTTTGTACACTAGAATGTAGCGTGCATCGATTGAGAGAGACTTTGTGAATGTGGATCGGATCAACATCTCATGTGCAGTGCTCTGATTGGCGTATTTCGCTCCGGTACTTGACATTCTTGTTCACTAACAACTGGATCGCAAAGTCCATCCTCTCCCGGCCCACACGCCCATACCGGGAAAGTCATGTAACACCAGGCTCTTCCAGGAGACAATGAGCCCCTGAAGGGAAGCTTTGCAATCCAGCAGCTCGGTTACATTCGCTTCTGATCTCGGACCTGGTTTGCATCAAAATTGGCCGATATGCCCCGTGGATGACGGGGACCCGCCCATCTTGATGACATCAACCTCCCATCACGGGCTCAACGATGATATGCACATCATGAGCATTACGTGAGATATTCAGTGATCAGCATGTACATCAGGCTCCCCGGTTGCAGCATTATTCTACGTCACGTCCCTGGTCTGAATTTGTCCGTGCCGTCCTTGTATCCGCGACGCATGAAGGTATCCAAGGTTACAAAGGTCTTCAGACGCACGTGATTTGTAGGTGGTCTTTGTCATGGCGTTTTTTTGGAAGCCGGCATGCCGGAAACCGGCTTCTCTACCAGTACCTACGGCGCGATGGTTGCTCGGTTGAACGATCTTATTGGCTTCGGTGCCGAGGCATTCGTGAAATACACCATGGTTGTCACGATGTTACTTTTTTGACGCACGACGCCATGCTGACGCGAGGATTTGACGAGCGGCATCTCATCGCGAGCGAGAGTTGATCGGGGACAGAAGGACGTGCGATTTGGAACTGGGGAAAGGTCCAAGCAGGGCATGCGCAGATGCTCTGAACATCATTGTCGTTATTGGATGCAACCAAGCATCGGTAGTTGTACACTTTTCATTGACTTTTTCTCTTCTCAAAAGACTACGGTCTAGGTACGTCTGAAGTTATAGTTACAGCTGCAATCCCTGACATTCTCATCAAGAGTAAAAACTTAATAACCGCCCTGCGGCTCCGACCCGATCAGGCGGTAATGTTGGTAGAAGGTGAAATGCCGTGTTACGAGTAGAATGAATATATGCGAAAAGTCATTTATGCAATGTGCCTATCGAAGTGGATGGTTGAAAGGCGAGGTAGGTAGGTGAAGAGGGCTGTGGTGACTATTGGAATGCTGCGAGAGATGTTAGCGTTTTAATCGTATCTGTGTGGAGCAAGGAAAGAGGAAGTACCTGGGCTCAAAGGCTTCACTTTTTATCGTAAGAAGTAACGCCGACCGAAGCACTGGCAAGAGGGGCTGGTACTACCGCCGAATTCTGGGCCACCTTCTTTGGGGTCCCAGTAGAGCCAGCGCCCGCTACGCCCGAGACACCCACCTTCTTCTTCTTCCCATCCAACTTCTTTGGAGTCCCAGTAGAGCCAGCGCCCGATACACCCGTAGGCAGAAAGCCGCCAGGGGGCAGGATGCCGGCAGGGATAGAGGCGGTAGCGCTTGGCTCTGGACCTGTTGGTCTCTGGTGCCACTTCCCGGGAGGGCCGTGAGGGCCGTGAGGGTGCCACTGAGGACTCGCGAGGACAGCCATGGGGGCTAGGACGGCCACGAAGATGGCGAGGGAGGATAGATGCATCTTGAGTTGTTGTTGTGGGATAGAAGAGGCGGTTGAGATTCGATAGGGGGGTAAGACAAGGATGGTTTGATGTGAATGAAAGTAATTTCGATCAACGAAAGGCTGTTTGTGGAGGGTCGAATGAAAAGATTGTGATGATGAGAAAGAAGTCAGCATGGCGAGACCAGTTCTTATACTGGCCAGGGCCACAGGCGTTCCTGCAGCAAATTACCTGTACCCGAAGTACCCTCTCCAGCTTCAATCACCCCAGAGCTGGTTGGCTCGAAGGTTTCGGATACATGTCACACGAAACCATAGTCAGTGACGATGAGCAGAACCGGTCGTGCCGGGATGTGGGGCACGTCAAGCATCATGTTGAGCCATCGTTTACATGGCGTTGCGGGCCGAAGGTGTACGAAGATCGCTGCGATCAGCAAGCTCGGACTTGACCAATGCTCGTAGATTGCCACGCGCGCAGGGGAATATCAACTCTTCAAGAGGCGTTTCAAAACCATGACCTCCTTCGGGATCACCCTAGCGTCAAATGCGAAACGACATTAATGAGACATCCTTGTATTCCTTCACACACCATGAAGATTTTGCTCGAAACCCCGAACGAATCAGACATGGGACACATCAATGTGGCACAAGAGACCGCCGTCTCAGCCATTTGTGCGTTTTTCAAGCCATTTAACCAACGTACGGCGTTCATACAGAAAACCTCCACCAGACTGTTGAAAAATAGTATCGCAATGATGAATGCAAAACCATACGCTTTGCAGCAGTGACAGAAGTAGATGAGGAAGACAAGGTAGTCGGACTCGATGGCGTATTCCGTGTGGTCCAAGTGGCCGGCGGCAAGCCCGGCTTGTCATGTTTTGATTGGATTACCCTTATCATTACATATCATTGGTAACTTGGAGATAGAGTACGTATGCCCACTTCGGGCGCCTAGGATTTTGCACACGAAAGGATTATGGGAATAGTGAATGATGATCGATGGCTGAGAAGAAAGGCAATGAAATTAACAGGACCTCTGATCAGGGAGAGTTCCGCATCCTAAATTGAGGATTTAGGCAGGTCAATGCATTATTATGATTGGTGTAGTCACCACCATTTACTTTACACGGCACATCCAGAGAACTCATGATTAAGGTATTTGTATTCATTGAGCAGGGTGAAGGTAGCCCCGAACGGATACGGTACTCGTAATAAAGTGGTAAAGTGGTAAAGTGGTAAAGTGGTAAAGTGGTAAAGGTATGCCAGCCGAGACTCTTATGCACTGTACTTTAACGCTGGATGCATAAAGTAATGCATGCTGAAGGCTGAAGCTCAGACCTACTCTACTCGCTTGCGGCGTGAAGCCGCTTAGCGTGTCGACCCACTCATCCCACCATAAAGTAGGATGTACTCTACAATTCAGGGGCTCAACCCTCCAGCCAAGACATCGTGGTCCCCAGGCGCCAGACGATAGGACAAAAGAAACACCCGGAGTGGCGATATCACGTTATATGTTACTAATATTGTATGTATCATTGGGCCGAACACGTAGATAATTGATCCTTTGCTGGAAAAAGGGAAGCTCCCCGCGACGAAAACATGCAGAGTCGAAGATAGTGACACATGGAGGAACGACTCAGAAAGTCCACGATCCCTTAATCTTCCCCAGGTCCAGGTCGAGTTAACGTGAAACAACCTGCTAATAACGGTGACAGAAAGTCTAGCCCGCATGCACTACTACTGTGTTTGCTGCAGGCTCACAGACACCAGTCACATCCAGATATTCTGGGGTACTCCATAGGTATAGAGACATGTGCTCTCGCGACTGACCATTAGAGCGGTACATTATTCCAGACAACATACAATGTGATCAAGTCAACCTCCCATCTTTCTCTAATCCACTTTTTCGAGACATGTCCTCTTGCCCGTCTCCATAAACCCAGTATTGGGCACCCAATCCTACATCACAGCAGGCTTGAAAAATACCGCACAGCTTGAACGCCCATGGCACCTTCCCAGGTTCCGACATGAAGAAGAACCCCATCTTCATTGCATCTCCTAAGAGCCAATTCACCAATACCGACAACCGGAATCCTTTACAGGAGTGAGCGCGTTGATTGGAGAAAATTTGTGGAAGCGGAAGCACCGCTTCGATTGCAAGCCCAACGTAGCCGATGATGTTAGTGTAGACAGAGGCAGCGATAGGCCGAACGAAGGCATGCATGACGAGCAAAGAGAGGGTCAAGCCGAGAAGGTATTCCCAGTACCTGGAAGGCCGAAGAGTTAGCATTCGGATGTTCCCGCTTCCTCGTCGTGGTCTTCGTGATCCTCAATCCGAACTTGGAAAGTGGAATACCCGAAAGAACGCACTCACGGTCGCTGCGCCCTCCATCTCCAAAAACCCCATGGTCTGCCCGGCTCCATAGTCTTGAAAGGTCCCTCTCCCCGCCATGGAGGCCTATTGTCCAGCGCAACTTTCAGCAGTACCACTTGTACAGCCACCATGATTACAGCTTGTATGAGAAGAGCAAGGTCATAACGGGCGCCAGGCCAATAGAAGATCTTCAAGATCGATGCTGTAAGCATGATCAAAGGGATGTCGAGAGAGAAACCAGTAGACGTGCGATTTCGGTGGATGGAAAGAATCTGATCAGTGTACGATGTAAGAGGAGAGAATATGAGACTGTGTAGATGAGAGGTCAGTGATCATACCGCATGAGGCAGCTGGGAGGGGAGACATACAAGAGAGGAGTGAAGGAAGAAATCAACGTTGCGACAAATGCCATAATGGGAGCAACGAAAAGCTGCTCAATACTCGATACGCAGTGACGGTTATGACAGTCATTGTATGGACATAGTTGGGTAGAAGAGGTAAATCCAGATGAAAGAGCTGTGGGCCGATGGGACAGATGGCAAACTTGGAGCCCCACGACTGGTAGACAACAGACTGTTCAGGTTGGATTGAAATGGCGAAGGTGTCGCACCGTATAGGCCAGATGCTTTCAAGATTGTCAAGTCGCCATTGAGCTCCGTATTGACAGAGATGGCGAGCACTGGACGGACACACTGGGTAAAACAACAACACTGAACCGGAACATGATTCCAGATTTTCCTCTCCAGAATGACTAAGCAGCTTTAGGATCTGTGATTGGTGGATTCGCTGCCCACCAAGACACGAGACACGACAACCTCTTACAAGTATACAAGCTCAACAACCACGGTACAGATGATGGTCGAGGACTGCACCGCCAAAGCAGGACAGATCTGGCGCACAGGGGATGATGTCAGGTTAAATTCTACCCTTCCTTCCCAACTTCCATCACGTCCTCCCCTTCCTTCCTCCATTTGCTTCCTTCGTTCCTTCGTTCTTTCGTACCAAACACTCAACCCTCGCAGCAAGAGGCTAGAGCGCTACCGGCATTCAAGCTTTCACTCAAGCTTTTTTTACCGAGGCATGTTTCTGAGAACCGAGCGTTAGGGACAGTTTTGCACGACGGGCGGAACGAGTGATGCCGTGTTGGTGCATGAGTGCATGAGTGCATGAGTGAGTGCATGAATGCATTCATTACCTGAACACCACCGTCCTTCTTTATCCTTCCAAAGAATCCACTGGTGCAGGAATCCAGAAGGGTGAACCTCTTATTTACTTTCGGACATTATCACCCAATCGATCATCTATCTCGCCCTTTTTCGGCCATGTTTACGCAATGCGAAAGAGCCCCTCGAGCCCCTCGAGGGTCCCGCCTAGAAGGCCAAGCCCGCGGTTGGATGCACCCGGCCTCGATCTACCTTAATTTTAAGATTGGCCATCGCTCTCCTCACCACACAAGGCATACAGACATCCACACCTCCCTCCTCGCCGAAACATCTTATCTGAACTTGGAAACCTCTTATCGCATCAGCTTTCTGCACTCTCCACTATGTATGGCAGGGCAATCTCTGCAATGGCCCAGCTTGCCGGTTTGCCCTCATAGCTACCGGCGGTGTCCGTAATTCGTGACGTGATATGTGTGGACAAGGGCGTCAGGGGCACCAAGGGTAGGCCGACGATATGTCAACATTCATCCTGGCGGAAAGTATTGGCTGGATCGCTCCGGTCACGTCACGAAATGTAGCATCTTGACATCCATCCCTGGGGCATGCGGGCTCCGGTAAAGGTCTGTACACCGTCTACTTGTTGATGCATCGCGGAAGATTGGTGATTTGGATGCCTGTACTCGCAGAATCGTCTTCCCTTCCTTCGATCCCAACGGCTCTTGAAAGACTCTGGCGTTATATTGCTCCTTCCGTGCATTCAAGCGTCTGGGCCGGGCCTACGGTTCTACCTCTCCTAAATGTGGCTAGAAACCATGTGGACGAGTGGGGACAGCAGACTCGCAAAGCATCTTTAAGCGCCTTTTGCAAGGATTACTTGTTCATTGGATGATCATGGTGCCAACGCTCCAATCCCATCACTCTGGTCATGATTTTTTTCGGCATATAGAACATACAACTTCGTCGTTACCCTTCGGCACCGTCCCTCCTTCTACTACACCAACTCTGTAGGTGACAACGCTCTTTCAATATCCACATTCCTTTCGAAGCTTGACAACTACCCAACATTCTGAGGTCTCTTTTTCGCAGCTTGAAGCTTGCTTTCCGTTTTTTTCACTTCTAGGGTCAACTTCTACACTACATACTCATCATTTTTCGCAAACAATCCTCCTCGGAGACCTTTCCTACAAAATGAGGAATCATCGGATCTTCGCTCTACTCTTCGCCCTTGCCGGTCCCTGGCAGGTCACTGCTCAGAGGGAACATCGATGGTCCACATTCAGCGAAGTGGAAACCCCAACTTCAGGTATACTGCGTTGATGGCTCCTGCCGCCTTGGAAGCCTATTATCACACAGCATGCTGACTCCAACACGCTTTAGGATCACCTATCACGGTCCAAACATCGGCGGTGATCACGATTGCTTCCAATCCGGTAGCTACTCCCATGACGACTGCTTTGTCCGTGGAGAAGTCGCAAGGTGCCGTACTTCAGAACGCTACCATACCGGCCTCCGCTATCAGTGTAGCGCCAGCACCTATCAATGCTGGCGTCATGACTATAGCCATTCACAATTACTGGACGGCCCCATTATCGGTCTCGTACTTCCAAAACAGCGACTCCCCAAGCGCCGTCGGTGCCCCAAAGCCAGCTCCGCTAGGAACAACTACACAGGTAGTGTTGCCCACAAACTGGGCTGGCAGAATCGTCATTGGGAAGACCACCGACGCCGACGGCAGCAAGATCGGTACGTACATTTCGGAGCTGATTATTCCCAATCTGTAGTAAGATCGAGTCACAAGACATGTCTCGGGAGCAAAAAGACCTTTTGACTCCCGAGACCTGTCTAATGCTGCCTCGAATAGGTTTTGCTGACTCCGAAATCTGTGTAGAAGGCAGCACCACGGTATGGAACGATATCGACGTCAGCTACGTTGACGGTTTCTCCGTACCGATCGTCTGCTCGAACGCCACTGCGCCCGTCACTGGCTGCAACATCAACCTATGGGACGTTAGCGGGCCTTGCAATAATACCGTCGGTGAAGATGCCGTATGCCTGAACCCTATGCAGGGAGTCCCCAATGGGCCAGCCGATCCTTGGTTTTTGCCGTGCCAAGGTGTCGCCTACACTTTCCCCAACGACAATGTCGCGAATGATGGAAATACTGGAACATCAAATGTCTCATGCTGCATTGGGACCGAGGAGATGGGCTGCAGGGCGCCAGCTATGCAGGGAAAGGGCAATGACCAGGCGTCGAAGCGGGCGTTGCAGGCACCAGAGAAGCCGCTTGGGTTGGAAAAGGCGGTGAAGCATGATAAAGGAGATTCCGCATTGCGACATGCGCACAGCCATCTCAAGAAACATGTTGACCGGGCGAGGTTCCGCGAGCGAGCCTTTTAGAGGGCAAACGAGAGATTTCATGGTCAAGCAGTATAGAGGATGTCATTGGTTTTGTATCTATTTCAATTCTCTAGAAATATCTGGCGGGACTAGATAGCACGTTTCGGCAATAGAAGCCTTGAACTTGTTTCAAGCTTTTTTGCCTCTTTGATGTTTCCCTGATATCACTACTGTTCGTACGGCTACCTGGTTCGCTCCTTGAATCTACGGAGGTTGACAACCGACCTGAACGCCAAGATTTCTGTGCCAAGATCTCGGATAACGCCCGGCCTAAAGGGTTACCCAGACACTGCGCTTAAAGCTTCGGCAATTTACCTGGCATGAGCCTAGCTTCAAAGCTTGGCAATGTTCTCTGGGGTCCCTCGCTACGGGGCTGCCTTCCGAAGGTAGGGTTAGGGCTGTGACTAGTGCCGTCCAGGACTTTTGGTGTCAACCTCCGTACAAGGCCCAGGAAACATCCCGACACATGAATTTCGTTCATCCGCAGTCTTGATATCTGGCAATCACAAATCCTATCGTTGGAAGACAAGCTCTAGAAATATTGCTAACATACTGTATCATATTTCCTGAGCTAGCCTGAGTCTCGTCTGCGACGAAGTGCGACGGAGTTCGGACGACGGCATGGCAATAGCTTATACCATCTGAGGGTAGATGATTGAAGAAATTGATGTAGCCAACCCTAAGCTCCATAGTTCTCACGAGAAATCACAACCGTGGTGTATCAGACCGCCGTGGAAGACCGAAATAAATAGAGTATTATGGATCAAAGACAAAAAAGAAAAGACCGCTGAGCCTCCTGCCCATTTGTATGCTTTTTGAGCTCGATATCCTTGAAGAGCAAGAATGACATAGGCAAAACCCGTAGAGATATGATCATCATACCTCCTCAGACTCAAAAGACCTGGTTTTATTCGTTGAAGTCTACCTACTTGTGTGATTCCTAAGTTCAAGAGATTGAGGTGAGTTGGCTTCCGCGAAACTGCGTTCGACTGAATGCTACTTCCGCTGTGGAGACCCAGATTCATGAGGCCCAAGCCGCCTGTCGGTAATCATAAAGCATTTCAGGCTTACGCAGACAATGTGTACAGTCTGTGGCTTCTCAAGGGTTGAAAATCCGCCATGCCACAGCTCGGGCTTCCAAGACCATGCTGCATGAGAGTGGCGACCAGGAAATAGTAGTATACGTCTCTACTCGCACACAGTACACAAGATCATCTGATCAAAAGTGACGAATGACATGATTTGGAAGCATAGCCATCTAGGACAGACAAGCAACATAAGCTCTGGCGTTCGTCGGCGCTGTGTAAGCCTCTGACCTGCGTATGCGACTTCGTCAACCGCATCAATGAGCGATCAAATTCCCTTGCGCTCTGATAGCAGATTCTGTCCTCGATTGACCGTTGGACTTTCAGACGACCGTCGCAACGCAGACCAATCAAGCTTGTATCTTGAAAATTAAGCACTGTGTTTCTCCCGAATCGTCTAAAGAAGATGCTTCTTTCAGAAGCTGTTCACTACACCTACAAGACAGCAAATGCTGCCTAGATCACCTAGGACACCGCCAATGCCATGTCTCAAATGTTAATAGGCAGTCTGCCTCGGGGCTTCCGTTTCCACTGTCCTGGCAATTGCCAGCTGTAGGAAAAATCAGCGAAGTTCAACGATGTCAATGAGAGACTTACGGCCGGACAGCCAAGAGCAATGACACTGAGTGAAATTTGTGCACACAAAGGTCAAGGATAGATAACATGGTGCCCACCCAGCATGGAGAATGTAGCTGTCCCGAAGCATCTATGGAAGAAAGTATGCTCAGCTGATCAAAACGATTAGGTTAGTGGCCTCCTTGATTATGCGGAACAATTGACTGATGCTGAGAAGCGACGATAGTGGGACAAGATTCGATGGAGACGTCTGGAAGACTCCAAAGGTAGCGCAAGTCATAGCGTTTGGAGAATAATTTCAGAGCATCGACCAATGTCTTCTAGCGCGACAGATCGTTGTGTGCAAGAGCAAATTGATGCCGCCAACCTTTTTGGGGGTTCTTCTACGTCTCAAGCCAAGATGACAGCGTGTCATGGTTGGCAGACATCACAGCCAGGAATATCTTCATGTACCGAGGCAGGTATGCCTTCTTGTGCTTTCTTCAAGGCTGGGAGCATTAGGCAACACTATCAGCAGATAGTAGGATCGCTTTCTCATGGCAGATTTGGCGGTTGGATTAGCTGACAAATGCCTAGACTATACTGTAAAGTGGCGGGATGCATCATCAGATGCACTGCAGCAGGAATGAAAAAGTCCAAAAACGATTAAATGGCATTCCGGAAAGACCTGGTCAGTGGACGTTGGATCTCGCACCATATTACGTTTTTACAAAATCCTTATGCGTAATTAGTGTCATCTAGAAGGACGGGAACCAAGGAACTCTTTGGGATCGGAGGACGCGCATGACATTGAAATTTGTTATGCATGCGTTCCGAGCACTTATAAGTCCAATTATTCAGTCATAGAAGGCAGGTTCAGAGATGATTCCAAAAATAAGGCAATTTTTCGTGGTGAATGAGCGTGATGTATACTTCCGGCTCTTGAGACTCGAGAACAATGCGATCTTGTGAGTATCCTGGGTTTCAAGCCTTTAATTTTCAACGTCTTGAGGCTTGAAGAACAAGCGTACGGAAGTAAAATGCTGGAATTTGAGCAGACCTTGGAGTCTCTTGATACTGAGATGGAAACCCCTGAAAACTTGCTTTAGTACGTAAAAGTACAACGAGAAACGGGCTATTATCTATAGTTGGGTACTCAGATACTGGCGAGGTCAGCAGCGAAGAGCAGCTGGTTTACTTAAGTCATACGCCGAAAGAAGCCGAAAGAATATAATGTTACGATCAATCCTTCAGTCCTACTTCCAAGTCAACGTGTACCTGAAGCGAATTCAAATGCACGTACAGAAAAGGTGGGGTGTGTGCTTGCTTGACTGGATCAAAGCTATTCCTTGACGAAGTCACAAACCATTTTGATGATAGCCTGCCTGTTCGCCCTTTTTGTTCCACACATTCAGCCTCTGTACGAACTCCCTCCCACCGGAAAGCTCTTCAAAACCCCATATGGTCCTCACCGTCCACTTCTTATCAGAATTTTCCCCCTCCGCGAGGATGAGTCTGCCATCGCCTTCCTCCCAATCCTCACCTACATCTGTCATCGTCTGCTTGACTTGGCTTCAATCTACCCACAAACTTCTCCCTGTCACATCACCATACAAAGCGTCCTTCTCAGTGCGCCATTCGTTGTCCAACAGGTACTGCTGGCTAGTCCCTGGGATGGATGCGGCTGTTGCGTACTGACTGAAAATGTATCGGTTGGCCTTGGGCTATCGGATTTTAACCTTTGTAGAAGTAGACGAAGCGGCTTTTCCAAGTAAGCCATAAATCCCTTAGACTGCGAAGACGGGCGAGATGTCGTCGGAGAGGGGTTTGTTGAAATTCCACGTTCCAGCCAGATCCTGGAGTGTCATGTGAGGTGGCGCTGCCATCGCGATGAGCTGCTTTCTTGAGCGATTTGCCAAACGCGAGAGCAATTCGCTTGCAGGGTATTGAAGAGAAGCAGCGTTAAGATGTGAAGGGATCGTCCATGCGCTCCACTTTTCGTTATCATCATCAAGGACTCTCCATGCCTTGCGACGGACCCAGATTTGGAACCCTCGCTTTATTCCCAGCGCTACGAACAACAGGGCAGCAAAACCACGGCATCTTCTCACATCATCAGAAACAATGTGAAAACATTGATACGTTTATGACAGGACATCAGTGCGCTTGACTCGATTGGAGGAAAGAGGCGCGTTAAGCGCTGCCCCTCCTTACTGCTGGTGCTGGGAGTGGGACGAAGCTGAGGAAACAGCACCGGAAAAACATCTCTATGAGCCTCATGGCTCTAGCAGCAGCATGATATGGATATAAATTGGGAACACCATTGTGAACGCTTTTCTAAGCTCTACTACAACTACGGGACGCACTTTTTTCCGTGGCGGCCTCCGGGCAATGCCTGCCGCAAACCCGCACTTCATGGCAGGACACTCGTCGAAGCTTGTGTCCTTCCAGCTATCGAGACCACAGTCCGACAAGGATCGGCCCAGAGTTGGCCGTCTCACCTTCCAAGGCCGCAATCCAATTGATACTCCTCATTATGTGGCTGTCAGCTCACGAGGAGCTGTACCTCATCTCTCTCAAGACATGACGAGAGACAACACAGCGATTCGTGCCCTGTATACGGCTGTTGAGGAATGTGAGTAGCTCGAAACCTCTGCGGACATCTCCTCCAAGTACTGACGAGCGAGCTCTTACTGGAGCCCGCAAGTTGTAGAGAAAGCATTCCATCAATCACAAGTCCCACCAGTCTTCAACTTCCCTGCCTCTTCTGACGAATCACCTTTGCGGAAGTTCATTGCTCTCCAGAAAGATGCTCTGCTTATTCTTGGTACTCGACGGGTACCACCGTTACCATGTCCGGCCTCGAGTACCTCTAGCGCTATATCAATCATCACCTCACTAGGCGTTGGTATGCTGGAGTACACCGACTACGCAGAAGCGGTTCAAAAACTCCGGCCGGATATAGTTTTGGCTATGGGAGATGTGCTGTTCGGACACAAGCCGGGCATGAAACGGAAGGTTGTGATGGGTGATAGGACGCTCGCTTGGTTGAAGGAACTGATATCTGCGATGGAAAACGAGGAGGATGGCACACCAAGGACCGCATTGTTCGCGCCAATCCTACCCATTGAGGCCGAGCAGCAAAATTACTACCTAGGCGCTCTTCAGGACGAGCTCAGAGACAGCGTGTCTGGGCTTGTTCTCTACGATGCTGCCTCCGTTGATGCTATTCCTGACAACCTGCGTGGCCTCCCTCGATTGTCTTTGGGTGATGCCACAAGCCCCCACAAGTTGCTGGATGCCATGGCCTTGGGAATGGATGCTTTCACTATACCATTCATCACTGACGTCACAGATGCTGGGATTGCCTTGGATTTCTCCTTCCCGGCTCAGAGTAATGCCAATTTCGAGGGACGATTGCCTCTCGGCATAGACATGTGGTCCTCTACGTTTGCCAATGATATCTCTCCACTTCTAACGGACTGTCCATGCTATACTTGCACGAACCACCACAAAGCCTTTGTCCAACATCTCTTGAATGCAAAAGAGATGCTAGGTTGGGTACTACTACAGTTGCACAACCACCACATCATTGACGAATTCTTCGCCGGGGCTCGCGATAGCATACAAAGCGGATCCTTTGAGGGCGACCGAGTATTGTTCGAGAAAATCTATGCAGCAGAGCTACCAGCGAAAACGGGGCAGGGTCCGAGGTAAGTACAGCGTTCTTACCCTGAAGCTCATGTATGCTGATGATCTACAGAGTCAGGGGCTACCAGTTCAGGTCTGAGGGCAAGGGCGGACCTCGCAAGAATCCAATTGCGTACCGGCCGCTTGACGATGGAAAAGAAAAACTCGCCGAGGCCGCCTTGCCAAGCCCCGACGCCGATGCTGAGCATCTAGAAGAGCAAGGATTTGCGGAGAAGGTGAAATGATAGCCCCCTCGGCCCCCGGAATGATGTCACAAAACCCCCCCCCCACCCTTATTCGCTTTGGTATTCGAGTCTTACTCGCTGTACCACACTCGCAAGTCTGTCCTTCTGTCTAGGCTTTTTGGCATATGAATGGCGTTATTAGCAAGATGAGGCAAACGGTGCAAAGCCCTCCACAAGAAGTATCAGCAGAAAGGGTGCAATTGCTAGTCAGAAGAAAGCCACGTACTGACGCCCTTCAACTGTTAATCTTGCGAGCTCCATAGTCTACCATCCTAAGGAAACCCGTGGCACTTCAGACACGCAGCCAGAGAACCAGCAAAGTCAATAGGCACCGGTCTCTCAGAGGATCTACGATGGAGGGCCTCAAGCCCAGAGACTTCAGTCAATAAACACAAGCACTTCAATAAATCCTAACTGATTGAAACAACACATCACTCTTCTCGCTGAAATCCCGCGATGCTTCTGGTAATCTTACCATCAAACCCGCCAGATTACGCTGAACTTCGTTTCCAATATTTGTTCCACACTTTAAACCTCTTTGATGGCGTTCACATGTTGCCCACCCTTTATATTTGTAACTCTCTTGACCGGTCATGGCAGAGGTGCCCAGAACTATGATATCCACCATCCCCATAAACACACTCAAACCCCCTCAGGATCCAACTCCGTTCTTGTACAAATCCTCTCCTCTCTTCTCATTATTCCCTCATCGCTGTCCTTATCTTGTTACAGATACGGAAATTTCATACTAAACTTTTCAAATACTCTCAAAATGAAAAACATTATCTCAATCGCCGTCCTTGCTGGCCTGACCACGGCCTATAGTGGCGACCTAACCTATTACGCCGCTGGTGTCGGATCCTGCGGTGTCACGAACACCGACAGTGACGCCATCGTCGCCCTCTCTCTTCCCATGGTATGTATCTTGGGGCCAAGTTTTCAGTACCCCGGACCAATGCCGGAGTTCCAAGACGTGCTCCGGGAGCAACAAACGGCTCTCAATACCTCTCCGATATGTGTCATTTTCGGGCCTTTGCCTTGTGGAAGGAAAGCTGACCCCGAAACGTTTACAGATGGCCAACGGCGGCAACCCAAACACCAATCCCAAATGTGGGTCGAAAATCAGCATTCACAACCCCACTTCCGGTCAGACAGCCCAGGCTACCGTGGTCGACTCGTGCGCGGGGTGTGCCATGTATGATATTGACGTCTCGGGGTCCCTGTTTACGACACTGGCGGGAGGACTTTCGGCAGGCAGGGTGTCGGTGGACTGGGGTGGGCATACCACTCGGTGGCTGGAGACTCTGTGCGGAGAGAGCTGACTGCCGAACAGAATTCCAAGGGCAGGTACCCAAGCTCAAAGAGCGACGGAAGAATCGTCTCTGTTGGGGCAGCTGGATATGCTAAGGGGAGACCGGTTTGGGATGGCCGGGATCACGGGAAATGGTCATTGAACTCTGCCCCCTTCAATTCATGCCGTGTATTTACCACGAAGCAACACCACCGCTAATTAACCACCAACCCTTTTCCACTTCAACATTTCTCATGTTCAAGGCCGCTAGTTGGAGAGACTCGCCTACCCCGACGGCTGTCGTTAAGGGACGCCCAACTCTTCAACCCGTTCCGTTTTCAAAGCCCTGCCCAGCGCTGCTCGAATGCTTCTTGTTCCATCAATCCTTCCGATCCCATTCTCCACGTTATCGATGCTCTTTGTGAATTCCTCTCCTACATTGTTGAAGCCAGATCAGTCGCCTCACTCAGCTCATGTCGACGAGCCCTCACCTCGTTCTACGACGAACCAAACATTCAATTCTCCCGAGCAGACACCGCAGACACCGATTGAGGTTCTCTACAGCATCCTCAACCACAAGGTAGCCCCTTACCGCTGCTTCAGAGAGGGATGGGCTAGCCAGGTATCGTTGTCCATCGGGCTTTCGTACAGTTGCGCTCGAGGCCGACCTCGCTTTGAAAAATCGTTTGAGAGATAATGAATCTGCAACAGAGTAACACAGTAAGAGGGTAGAACTCAAGCATGTTCGGCAAGGCTGTGCGACGGAGAACAAAGGGTCCTCGAGCATGGTTCGGAAAGCATCCAGGCATGGCAACCAAATCGCAGCCAAAGGCACACCGGTGCACTGCCTGTGCGGTAGACTAGGTCATTATTCAGCTGTACGGGGCTGTCTTTGCTAACAAGATTATAATGAGCACAGTCTGAAGTCCGAATCGTGTGTGATTTCCATATCTACCGCCATCTAAGATACATAAGTTTCCTCTTCTCATCATCATATGCATGCCGTCTTGCAGTGATAGCACCATTTAAAAATAGCACCGTAGCTCAATAGAATACAATGTGGTCCTGGGTAGAGCAAGTAGCTAAACCAACCATGGGATGCATGTGTTCAATCGTCATCTCCACGCGGCAACGCCTAGCTTATGATCAAAAAAGCACATCAAAAGTATTACCAAGAAAATGAATTGTATCCCAAAGGTTCTGCCAACCAATTATTTGCGGTATGGCTCATGCACGAAATCATCGAGCACGCCGTCATCCTCATTTTCATGCTCACGGCCTCTGTCTTCTAGTGCTTCTGCAACCTCGTTCCTATGATTGACATCGTCTTCCGGCTGCGTCACGAACTCGTCGAACATGTTGTCCACATTGTCACGTGCCGCAGACTGATGACTGTTCGAGTAGCTATGGTGGGGAGAATTCATGATGCGGTCGTGAGGATGGACATTGTCGTACGGATTGTCGACTGGGCTGAAAAGGTTTGGATCGAGGGCGGAATTGGGATGGGAAAGTGGTGACCGCGGTCCATACCTGGGCGATTCCACGAAGGGCGAATGAGGATGGTGACCGTTTGGGAAGTAGGGGCTGGTGGCAAATGACGGTGACTCAGGAAGCTGGTGAGGATTGTGAGAGGCTGGAACAGGATAATGGGCTGTATATGATGGGTCTGCGTGGGTTGTATTCGATGAGGATACTGGGAACCGTTGGGAGTGAGAGTAAGTCTCTGAGGAATTGTTGGTTGAGGTTGAATGGGATGATCGTGGCCGTTTTGCGGGTGCAAGTGTATGCGGATTCTTCAATTGCGCATCGCTGCCTTTGCGAGCTTTGTTGATGTTGTATGGCTTGGTACGGAACTGCAGAGGCAGCTCTTCCGGAGTGTTCACATTATGCGCCTGCATCAGTTTCTGCTGCTTAGTCGGTCGCGGCTTGCGAGTGGAAAGCGATTGCTCAAGTACTGGAGGAGGCGTAGGAGCGACCGGGGCCCATTTGTGAAGCTCTTGACGAAAGAAGTTAGTTTCAAACCCCAGGAGAATCTCTGCACCCTCGATCTTTCGAAGATAAAAGCGCTGCGTGGTCACTTCTTCCGGGTTGGTCATCACCGGATTGATATAAGGCCGCATGAAGTCTCGAAATGCCTTCGCGGTAGCAATAATTTCCTCCAGTACTTCTTCTTCCTCGGGCTGAAAAGGCAAGTCAGGGATCTCAGCTTGCCAATCCTGAAGGTCTTCAAGCTTGGGACGAGCTGCATCACGAGGTATCTTGACACGATAGTCGCATATCGGGCAGGTGTAATTATCATCTTCTTTGACCTTGCCACGGGCAATTTTGAGGCACTTGCCATGGTACCTATTGGAAAGTCAGCACACACACACCTAAATGAGCATAGCATTTCTCACCATTCGTGACACAATTCGCACTCAAGCATCATGCCAGCTTCAGGTTGACGACACATGCAGAATACGTTCTTCTCAGACTTGACGCCGTCAACGTCTTGCCCTTCAACTGGAGAATTGTCCCTCGATGCAGGTTCCACAGGCATCCTTGGCTTATCGGATAGGTCGTAGCAGTACGAGTTGTGCTCAGCCACGTAGTTCATATGGGCCTGCAAGATATGTAATGGCGCGTTTGCCTTTCCAAACAGCTTCTTCCCTTTCCTCATCCAGTTTTCATGGCGCTTTATCATGGTCTCGAGGTCGAGGGTACCGGTTGGCTTGCTATTGAGCTCAGAGAGGCTCGCGAGAACATTGCATACCACCTTGTACATTGGCCGTTTTCGAAAGTCAGAATCCTTAGAGTCGTTGTATAACTCCCGAATCTTCTTCTGCGCTTCTCTCTGCTTAGCCAATATTGCCTCAACTCGTGCTCGAGTCTCGTTGGTGATAGGCAACGTGTCAGCTTGATTCGCAAGTGCCTCGAGTTGAGGATGATGAATCGGCTCAACAGACATAAGCTCTTGAGCCTTGTTCTCCCAGAGCTCGCCTCGGGTTTGCAAGTCTTTGTAGCGGACAAGAAGCTCGTCATTGTCAGAGATTCCAATGTCTCTTCCTCGCTTCATAAGTGTGGCCACGTCATCCAATGTTTTAAACTTATCCTGCATTTCGCGCGCTTCATCGGTCCATTTCATTTTGTGGATGACAGTCTCTAATTCATCGACTTCCGGAACGTCTACATTGAATGTCTTTCCCAACTCAGCCAGATCGACAAAATCTTGCGTTGGCCGCGATGTCTTGGTCGATAGTGCAGCTTTCGCATCACGCTGGAAGTTTGCGATGTCTTGAGAACGCTGGGCGAGCGTGTCTATTTCAGGGCAGTCAAAAGAAATTTCTTCTGCTTGCGCGAGAAGCTTGTGGATGTTTTCGATCTTCCTCAGCTCCCTATCACGCTCTTCTTGTTCAGCTGCCTTGGCAGAGTTGCTTTTGCGCCATGCTTTTTCATTCTTGCGCCTGTTCTGCTGTTTCCTGGTGATGTAGTTTGTAGCTTCGTCGACCCATTCGTTGCATCTGCCGACAAATGCCTTGAGATCTGGAAGACCAGGTAGTTCCCACGGTATCTTTTCTCCTTCACTCACTAACGAGCGGAGAACCTTGAGCGAGGGTTTTGCTTCATCGTCTAAAGCCTTGTCCAACTTCTCGTGCCAAGCTTCTGGCATATATGCCCGGTCGACGACTTTTTGCACAACGGTGTTTAGAGCATCGTCGGAGAGCCGATACCTGAGCGTGTGGCCAGAGCCTGTGAGGCGTTGCTCTTCACTAGCGTCACAGCACCCGTGGCTACCCGCATGAAGCAAACACATGACTTTAGACGTAGTCTCGCACCGGAAGGAGGAGAGATAACTGTAGGCCTTGCAGTAGGTGCATTGATACTCAATCTCCGGAACATCTTGATCCTGCACTTTGAAGCCGAGAGCACAGCTGTCGCTAGAGTCGACTTTCTCTTCGATCTTGCAGTGGTGAGACTCAATATGATTCTTGTGCCGTTTGAGGAGGTCATGTCTCTGCTGCATTTCACGGTCCCGTAGTCGGATCAGGGCAGGTGCAAGCCACTTCGCTGTTTGTATTGTAGTATCTCGACCAGCCGCTGTCATCAAAAGCTCGTCATGCGAGAAGCACGGCTGTTTCCTAAACTCCTGAAGCCGCTCTACACCTGCTTCACCATAAGGTTCCCAATCTTCTGGCGCAAAGTTGACCGCTTCATTGAAATTGAACCCGTGGTTGAAGCCAGCATGATATGCTTGTGGGAAAGTGATGACGAATTGGCCAGCTCTTTGGTCTAGGGCATACACATTGACACCTGCTTTCTTCAGTCGATCTGGGGGCAACAATGTGACAAGCTGGAACAGTAGATCTGGCTGCGATTCAAAGAGCTCTGGAACAGCTTGCTTCATGGCCTCTTCAAATCGTTCCGCGTCAGCGCCGGGAATGCCATACCAGGTCTTGGTCGCACCAAAGTGCTGGTAATTTGCAGAGTAGCCGTAGTGGTCTTCATTGTGCCAGCAGAATGTGGAAAAGCACATTCCAACGTAGAGCCATGGCACCGTCATACCTGATATATCAGATTTGATATGCCTAAAGAGTGATTCTGGATGCAACGGAAGTATGTTGAGGTTCCACAGGTCCGTCGAGTAGGGATCCCTTGGGTTCTTCTCGATCGTGGGAAAGCCGCTGCCATGTGTGGTCGAATGTATGTCCGCTCCATATTCAACTTCAACTTCTTCGGAAGGGCTCTCGACTAGTCTCCAGAACTCACGTTCCACGTCATCCTCTGTAGCTGTTCGTTTTGCATTCGTTACCGGATCATATGGCATCTTAGGCTCAAAGTAGCTGTCTTTGAAGCGGTGGGCCTTGTCCTGAAATTGTCGCAGAGAATAGATACCACCTTCTTCGAAACCGAAATCTCCTGTGCCAACGAGACAGCGTGGGCAATGCCAGTCGTGAAGCGGATTGATCTTGGCAGGTGGGTCTAAGCAGTTCTGGTGGTAGCCCAATTCGCAGCCATCACAGATCAGCAAACGAGAACGCTCGTCTTTGGTTCCGCAAACTTCGCAGACCTACATGGTCGTTCAGCACTTATAACGAACTGCATTTGCTGAAAAGCTTACCTCTCCCGGCTTCCCATTTTTTCGGTCACCAGACAATCTCGGTGTTGTAGGACGAAGTAAACTCATGTGCGACCCCACAACCGTGGGAGCTGTGTACTCGGTCAGCATCAAATTCATCGAGCACTCAATTCAATGATTTGGATACTAAAATTGATGAACCGCGAAATTACGAACCTTTCTTTGCTCGCTTGCTACGACGCTCATTTTGATCATCGGCGTCAGCACAAGCACCAGAGTCCGTTCCTGATAGTCCATTCAGGCTGTCATGGCTGATTGTGCGCTTCAAGGGGTTGGAAGAGTGACCGTTTGTCAGAGGAGCTGGACTCAGGTAATCGGGAAGATCCTTTGGTGGAGGACCGAAGCTTCCGCTTGAGTTATGGCTGGGGACGCCGAAAAGCCCATTTTCTGACTCTCTTTTTGGCAAAAGAGGAGGTGCATTGACGGCTTGAAAGGACGCTTGAGTGAGGTTTACCGGTGTGAAACCACCAGCATTCACGGCTGTGAAGCCAGAACTAGCTACTGGCTGCGGCTGTTCTGCAGCAGGCGGGCCTGCGTCGAGCGGATCTCCGATCTCTTTGATTGATGCATTCAGAGCAGCGGAAGCTCTGATCGCTGGTGAGTCGTCCCTCATACTTACAGGGGTATGTTGATGAGAATCCTTCATCGACTGATTGGCGGACGAAGGAGTAAAGGGTCCCCCGTGCTCGAACTCAAGCTGTTGCTGTACACCAGGTTTGGCGAGCTTCAGATATTCCTCGTATGGGTGTAGCCACCGTTGATACGAATTTTTCAGCGAGGTCGAGAGAGACGACATGATTTTTCCGCTGTATCCCAAATCTCTTCCGATCTCTGCCCATTTCTTCAGCTTGCAGACCTTCTCGAAGCCACCGCGTTGTGCCACTGCTTTTTTCAACTTGTACAGGTCGAGTGGTCGTTTATCGACGCTGGGAAAGCGATTGAGGTTCATGCCATGTTGTTTGTGAAACTTTGCGAGTTGATCGAGGTAGTTGAGATTGGTCCGGGTTCCTGAGAGGCGTTAGCTCCGTGTCGCAAGCCAATTTTGGTAGCAGAGGCGTGGAGAAAGCTAGGACTTGCCTCCTTCGACTGAATTCAGCTCTTGGCGGCGTGTCTTGAAGAAGAATCTCTGGCTCGGGGTTAGCTACACTTCTCTATGGCCGAACTCTGCCACCTTCTCATCTTCTTCAACATAGTGAAATGCGTACCTCTGAATTGATGGCAAATGCCGGGTTCCACGAGTCTGGCGGTATGATCTTGGCGACTCCGTACTTCTCTCCTTCTGGGCGTATTTTTCTTATGTATGCCATGGGATCTTTGAACTCTTCTTCTGTCGGTCTGAAGGTTGGGGCCTCTTGTAAACCGTGTGGCCTCGTCCTCCTGTGCGATTCCCGAGCAGCGAGCGGGTGTCCGCGCCTCTCGACCGTGGACATGTCCAAGGACGGGGCTCGCCGCTGGCTGAAGGGTATATGGGAAGCATAATTGTGAAATATGCCATTGGTAGTAGGTGGGTTTAGATTGACTTGGAAGCTCCCAGTCGAAGGTAATTGAGATGCAGCTGGTGTCGGCGTGGGATTACCTCCACTTGAAGGAGGCACCACCATCTCCGCAAGCTTCCCAAAGATCGGACCACACGAAAATGTCGAGGACGTGAATGATGATGCTCATGCGGTCGAAGATGGTGGCTGACAGTAAGATAGCGTACTATGCAAAGAGTGTCGAGGTAATAGGACCAAAGCTCGTTGGTAGAATTAATTAAGCTGTGTTAGGCCAGGTTTGATACAAAGCCACTATTCGTACTATTCGGCCGCAGATGGAGATCCTTGGCGAGATAATTAGTGAATGAGAGAATGAATGAATGAGTCTTAGACCTTGATATCACAACATGTAGCATGAGTGAATTACAAGATATGTGGGAAGGTCAGGAATATTGAAAGAATGGCAGGAATGAGGAGAGCGGGAAATAGAGAGGTACAGGCACAGAAAAGGCAAGGGCGAGATCGATATCTGGAACTGGTCGCAAGCCACAGAAGCAGCCTTCGCACCCTTGTCAAAAATACGGTAGCCTCAAAGTCGCGCATAACGACGAATTAGCCGAAACTTAGTGTCAGTCAATCCCTGCACCTCACTCCATGTCCGGGGGGAAATGCCCTGTAGTACCGGTCACAAGGTACTATAGGTAGGTAGGTATCGAAGGCTAAATTAATATTTCTTGGTTGTAGCTGACAACCAGGTACCCAAACCAGCAATTTCCTGCACACTCTCCAGAGTAGTTGCCAGATACAAATGCCGAAACCGATACGCTTAATCATTATGAAGCTGTGACCTTTGCCATTCAGCAACGTACGGCCTGAGATTGCCATATTCAATCTCCTGTATATGAGTCACGCGAATGAAATTCACCATAACATCATGGAGGCCAGACCAATCCCAGCTTTTTACTGCTGCTACTTGCTACGCTCTACAGAACGTCATTCATCACTTTATGTGGGCTCAACTCCAAACCCTGCCCGTCGACTCGCTCAACACAATGGACTCTCCAAAGGAGGCGCTGTCCGCACATCGCGGAACAACCTCCGGCCCTGGGAAATGACATTGTGTCTGATGGGGTTCCCATCCAAAATTGCCGCTTTACAGTTTGAGTAAGAAGATCACTCTCTCTTTCCGTTTCAGCAGGATATGCTAGACTTAGCTGGTACATGCTGCAAGCATTGCTCGCTTTCTGACGCGCCTCATAGATGGGCTTGGCACAACACCCATATAACCAGGAGAATCGCCGATGAGCAGCGCATCACGACTCGAGAAACCAAAGTTCGGACCTTCACCAAGACAGGGCCTACCCGAAAACGTCCTGCAAGACCTCGAACGTCGCTCATCGACAAGCTCTCTAACCTTCACCTACTCCTTCGAGTCCCGAGCTTTTCGAGATGGCCTCTTCAGGTACGGTTTTTTTGCGAGGACGTCTATCAGGTATGGCAGGGTTGGAATGAGAGAGTAGATGGCAGCATCAGGAGCGGTATCAAGGTATTGCTCGACCTGAAACAGCCAGAGGAAACCATCAATGACCGCGAACCCCTCATGAGTACGCAAGCGAAAGGTAAGCGGAAGCGAGAGGCGTTAGGCAAGGGCGGCATCGAGGGGCTGGACGTCGGATACAGCAGGTTGAAGAACCATGTACGGAAGAGCACTCTCTTCCTCACAAAGGACGAGGATCTCAAATGCGCAGTGTGTACAAAGAACCTGGGTCCGACGACAGCGATGGCGCTACTTTGTCCTCAAGAGGACTGCAGGACAGCGTCACATCTGACCTGTCTGGCGACCAAATTCATCGAAGATGAAAAGGCGAGCGCCGCTGTTACACCAATCTCTGGGAGATGTCCAGGGTGCAAAGCAGAGCTCCAATGGATCGATCTGATCAAGGACTTAAGCCTGAGGGCAAGAGGCGAGAAGGAAGTTGCCCAGATGATGAAAAAGCCCAAAGAGCGCAAGACTAAAGTGCCAAAGACAAAGAACGCGGGGGCATTACATCTTGAAGCGCATACTGTTATAGAGGATGTAGCCGATCCAGACGAAGATTTCGTGGAGGCTGACATGCGCGCCCTAAATGCTTCAGATGAATCTCTTCCAGACGATTGGCAGTACCAAGATGACGACGATGATGATATGATGTCAGTGATGAGTGGCCACTCTGCTCTCTCAGATGGCGTTGACGCTGCGAATGCCACGAAACGCTCCTTAACCGCGCCAAAGCTGCCAGCTGTGATTGAGGACAGCGATTGGGATGATGCAGAACCAATCAATTAGAGTGATCAATGCAGGAGCCTTGGATTCAGCCCTGTATATGTGCCATCTCTTCCCAAGGCAGAATTGCTGTTAGCGGCTTTGCCATTTTAGGTTGTTCCATCACATCATTCACTCTCTCTATGATGTCTTGCTCAACCTCTTCAACGCTTCTCCCTGCATCAACTACCCGTATATCCAGACCATCACTGGTACCCATGAGCTCATAAAACAGCTCTCTTACCCTCTTTTGCATGGCGCTCGTTTCATACTTCTCGCGCCCGAAATTTCCTCTCTTCGCGGCAACTTCTGGCGCAATGTCCAGGAACACGCACACGTCTGGTCGGGGCAAGCCGATCTCCGGATCTCTTGCCCATTTTAAAGATAGATCTACTTTGTCTTTGGCAGCGGAGTAAACTATACCGGAGTAATGATATCGATCTATGACCACAGTAAACCCCTCTTCAATGGCGCTGCGTATCTGGCCTGCCGCTTCCCATCTGTTGGCGGAAAACAGTAGATGTATCACGTGGTCTTCCTGTTGGCTTTCGCCCCTGAGGTAGGCATCTATCGACTTTCCGATTGGAGTGGTTCTGTCTTGGTTTGTGCATTAGATTTGGGGCTATTAAAAACAGAAGGCAGAGAGAGCATGACTACCAGGAAACCTCAAGGACTTGACTCGGCGACCTTGGCTCTCGAGATTCTGGCAAAGTCGGGCATGTTGGGTAGACTTCCCAGCGCGATCAAGTCCTTCGATGACTATCAAGGCACCCCGTGAAAGTGGTGGCATATCTTCAATATTGAGCGCTCTCTGACATTGAGTGGAGACTTATCAGGTTTTTTTTTTGAATTTGGTAGGCTGTACAGTCACTGCAGTGTGAGGTATGGAGATGAGGCTGAAACTAGCGCTCCCGGGAGCGGTTCGCGGGTGCCAACAACCAGTGACGCGCTTTGTTTATTTTGTGCAACTCGAGAAAATACAGCTTAAGCACAACTTGGCGCATTGGATTGTTACAATCCACCACTTTCTTTTTCTCTTTCAATTTGCTTGAGGATTCATGGGGCTGTTCATTGCTTCTTCTTCTTCTTCCGTTCGACTTTCGCTCGTTCAGCATCCACTGTTGCTGGCATTTTCCGTCCTGTACTATACGGCGCTCGAATTACTCTCTCTAACGACACTGCACCGGACGAAACTTATTGCACGATTTTCCGATATATTCATTTGTTCCGACAACATCAGAAGCGGTGAATTGGACGGCAGCGATTATGGCATTTGTAGCGCCGAGTCTGCCCACTCGGTTTCCCTGCTGGTGTCGAGCTACGTACTCATGGGGGGGAGAGTCCAAAAGAGACCTAGGGTTCGTGGAGGGTGACCTCATAGAATGCCTGAATGCTGGGGACGGATCATGGTGGATGGGACGATTGCGCAGGGACAGACGGGCAATGGGACTCTTCCCATCGAATTTTGTACAAGTGCTAGACGCAAGCTTTCAGCCTGTGAGCCGAGTCTCAAGCCCGATGCCTGGAAGCGCAGCAGGAAGCCTCACCAAACCTTCTCCACAGAAGAGCAAAACTTTCCGCAAACCATTCCAGGCTTACGCGCGCGCTGGATCTCCAAACCCTGCTGCAGCTGCGGCCAACATCAACAACGGACCGACAGCGCCGTCCCCTGTCCCGTCCAGGCAGTCGAGCTCTTTGCAATCACCGTCTAAGGGTCCTTCCAGACATCCAAGCTACCTTCCAAATCATTCGAGTCCCTCAAGACAACCAAGCTATCTACAAATGTCCGAGAGTCCTTCGAGACAGTCAAGCCATCTGCAAACATCTTTCAGTCCGACAAGACAGTCAAGCTATCTACAACAATCCACAAGACCTTCATCATCAGGTCACAA